CGCGGGGCCGACGCCCAACCGGGCACAATGGACAATGTGGCAGACAAAGATAAAGTTGCAATAAAACCAGGAAGTTTGCCTTTATTGACCCAGTTCATGCCAACGTGTGTAACTACTTTTTATATGCGTGCAATAATACACCTCAATGTTGGCTATAAAAAAGAAAACCAGTGTGTGTGTGTGTGTGTGTGTGTGTGTGTGTGTAGCACTGCTCCAGGGCCAGACTGAGGCCACTGGAAGTGCTCGTCTGGGTCGTAACCAGACGAAGCCTGGTTTGGTTTTCAGAAACGACCTTCAAACACGTTGTACGAGGATGAATGAGAAAGAGTTTCAGTTCAGACAACTGAGAAAAGCAGCACATCCACCTAACGGACAAGATAAAACCAGCAAATGTTTTGACGTTTGAGAGACCTTATTCTTAACACACCCTCTGCGGTGAGGCCCTCGGCTGACAAATGAACAAGACGTCCAGACACATCTGATATTTAACTTCTGCCTCCTTGGCTTGGAGGAATATATGTTGTAATATATGAAAGAGAGAGAGAGAGAGAGAGAGAGAGAGGGGGAGACCCACCGTTCTTCCTCTCCTGCAGGGGGCGCGGGACGGCTCCGGGGTGAAGGGTCAGCTCCTGGAGCTCGCAGGTCACCGCCTCGCTCTGGGGGCTGGGGACCAAGCCTGGCGCCCCGGCGACCTCCATGCTAGCAGGACCTAGCGTAGCCAGTGTGACGGAGAGAGACCTGCAGCAACAAACAGGGCCTTCGTTAAAGTGGAAGGAATAAACTAAAGTGTGATTTTAAGTGATCGACTGCAAACAAGAAGGCATTTTTAAAAAGTAATACTTCACAGGTATTCAATAAGAAACAACTACATATGTATACATTCCACATACGTGCAAACCTTTGGTTTAGTGTTTTATCCAACATCTACTTTGGGTGCATCCCAGACGCTGGACTTGACGATGATACCAAGGTTGGCATTTAATTATCAGACAGGTAAGCAGCTTAAGATCTACCTGTGGAGCACAAACTCTGGCGGTACGGCGTTTGTCCCTGATGCAAAGTAGCAAAACATCATCACATTCGATAACATCTTACCGACCCCCGGAGGTATTTTCATTGGGTTTTTAAATTGAGCAATAGATTTGGGTGTGTGGCCCCAGCACGCCCAAAGCAGTGTGGAGTTGGGGGAGAATTACTTATCCTTTTCCTAGCAAGGCCCCTCCCCCCTCCTTGAATTTGCTCCATTCTCCAATAAAGGAGATACTTTATCACTTCATTAGTAAAAAGTGTTACGTCTTCAGAGAGAGATACAAAATGAAACTTTACATAAATGATACTGTTTTTTTTTTTACAGGCTGCCACAATTATGGATTGTTTTTCCTTATTTGCCTCAAAGCCATTTCCATACATTTAAACCGTGCAACAACCCCCCCCCTCCCCCTCGGAGCTGGAGAATTTTTAATAAAAAGAAAGCAATAAAGGACGTGCATCTACAAATCAACAGACGTCGTCATTAGGGACCAGTAAGGTTGAGTTTAAAGTTGAAACGGGGCTCATTGTGCAGACTAACTCTGAAGACGGCAAGGAAAAGAGCGTTTCCATGGCGATGGTCACACAGCAGCGGATTTCACAGTATGCAAAGACCAGACTGTAGACGGGAATGGACCAAACCGCCCGTCATGAACACAGAACCTGTGGCGAGACATTACCGACCGCTAGTGAGTAAAGACCCTTAGCTTGAAATCATGACATCATTGCCATACCAATAAGTTATTGGTACCAATAACTTATTGGTATGGCAATGATGTCATGATTGGCAATAACGTCATCTTCCGATCAGACCAATCTGCAGAAGCATACGTAAACTGATGTTCAATTCAACTGTGCACTACTGCTGCACAAACGCCAGCCATCAAGTTGTGTGCATATGTTACAAACACAGATTTAAATAACTAAATATCTGTTTTACATAGTAGCTTTTGCAAAATAGGCCCGATAACGTCCAGACATGTCGCCTCCTCCTATCAGGAATGAAAGTGTTGGTAACAACATTAACAGCGTCCCTTTTCTAAATGACAGCGATCCAGCAATTACTGAACCAGCAACCGGAAACTGGAGGACCTAAAAAATTCAGCTCATTCTTTTACTTAACATTAATGACACCAAAGGAGTGAAAGCCTTTGACATCTGAGTCGATGCAGCTTGAGCCAGAATGTGTTAACAGTCCAGCAGTAATGACTAACAATATAAACTGGTTAAGCATAGAGGGGAACCAATTTCTCAGCTTAAACTAGTGGAGGAAAATGATCATAAATATGCTGCCAAGTAACGCTCATTTATTTGTACCGGCTTTGGACATTTACTGCAGTAAGCCTGGTGTTACTCTTAGAAAAACACTCCCATGTACGGAACAGGCCCAGTAACAAGGGCGGCACGTTGCTAATTGTTATTTTCCAAAGGCAGGCCTGCTGCCGGGGTGTGTGCCGAGCTTCCTCTGCAAATATGTGTTTTAGAGCCACGCGGCCCTGTTGATTTGGATTTTTATTATTAAGTTTTCAAATATCTGAATAATGTGCAAATTACGTGTCACTCAAATCCTTCATCCGCCTCCCCTGAAATCTGAGTGACATGCACCCGGAAATGACATGTTAAGAAAACAAAACAAGTCCAGATGAAGTAAAGAAGTAAAGTCAGACAGCTGCATAAAAACACTTCTGCAGAGAAATACGGCAAGCCAGTACCTTGTCTACCATGCTGATAACTACATGCATTACTCGCAACTCCATCGGGACTGAAGGCCGTCTACCGTGCGAGAAATTGTTTGCAGAGTCACATGTGATCTCTGTCTCAGCACAACACATCACTTAAGAGACGCAGACATTCATATAAACACGATACCCTGACACGCTATATTGACACATACTTTTAAATACACCTGTGATCCCACTGCGGCCGAGACACAGCAAACAATGGAGACAACAGTAAATCAATTTTTCCCAGAAGAAGGCTGCTGTTCAAACATGCATTGGTACGCTCCAGCATTCCTCTGCAGCGGCCCACGCTGGTCCTTCAGATATGCATCTTGGTCCCACAGATAACCAGCGTCCTGACACCCCCTCATAGGAGGGAAGCTACACCAAGAAGTACCACCAGCAAAGGTCATGGAGCACCACCTCGGCCTGCTGCTTACCTGCTTCACTGAATACTGAAGGGGGGGTCGCGTCTCAGCAGGACGGAGCCATGAACGGTTCTGTTGAAGAATAAAAAAAAAACAATAAAGAAAATTGCAAATAGAGAATAACTGGCTTCTGGTCGTTTGTTCAACGGAATGTGACGTTGAGTTGAAGTTTCAGTATCAGAGTAAAACGAGGCCCCCGTGGAGTAAATGAGATTAACAACAAAATGTATGTCGGAGGCGAGACGAATCCACGTTGCAGGAGGCCCATTCCACGGATGTCACGGGGCCGCAGCCGGCTGCTGTCAGTGTCCAAAACACAGACGAGCTAGCTAAGCTAGCGTTAGCTTGTCGAAGTGGGAGTTAACCTGAACAGTCCAGAGCCAAATTAAAGTGTGGCTACTATTTCAAATTGCACACAAGCGACCTAACGAGCACGAGGGGCTACGAACGACATAAAGACGACCTTATTATTGATGCCGGGTTACGTCTGCAATCTCTTCGGCATCCCCGTTAACCGCAGACTGGCCAGACACACCGAGTTAGCTAGCTAGCGTTAGCATGCTATGTCTGACAAGCGCTACAACTCGTGCTAACGTTAGCTAATCCCGGGGCGCCATCTCTCTAATGTAACGTTGTGAATCCGCGCTTACTTTTCATGGTCGCGACTTTTGTGTTGCGTCTGTGGGGATAAACGGCGCTGGCGTAGCACCAACACTTCGGAATCACAAAGGAAAGTTTAACCGGAAAACCCTCCTCTCCGTGGGAAGCGGAGACCCACTTCCTTCACCTCACAACAACAAACAGCCACTTTACTGTGACTCCTTTGACACGATGGGTGATGCACTCGCGTCATGACCGCAGATATAAGACCCGGGGCCGTCCCTGCGTCTGTAACGGAATATGTTCATCGTTTGACGTGAAGAAAGAGAAAAGTGTAGATATATGGAACGATGTGTGTATATTTATAAACTAACGTTACACGCAATCACGGTTTAGTCGAGAGGTCTCTGTCTCCATCTAGCGCCGATCCGCGTGGACGTCTCTACAAAATTAAAGTAGTACACTTGACTTCTATTTTGGACCAAACTGCCAATAAAATGCAAATGCATTAATGTCAGAAACATTGTTGACGGGCTTTAGGGTCCATTACAACTTTTAGATTTAGTGAGGGTCAAGGAAGGAGGGAAAATGCACGGGCTCACAATTTGTTTTTGTACCACTGGTCGCTTAAACGTGGTCAAAACAGGTGTTTCCCCAGGTGAGTTTACATAAAACCTTTACTAACAAGTTTTATCAAGACCATGATTAAAAAACCTTTTGCATGTTTTTTTGCATTGAAATTAAGGGAGAGCTGGGGGTTGAGGTTAGGGCTGGGGGCAGGAATGAGGTTGTGTTTAGGAAAAGTCGGGTGCACACTTGGTAGCGGTGATTTATGTGTGTAATGTACAGAAGTGTGTTTAGTGTGTTGCAACAAGGTAGTTTTTTTGCTATTTGATTCTGTTGACAACAAACGTTTTCACGGTATAAATCATCATCATCATCGTCATAAACATTTCCATTATCGGTTCCCACAACTACATATTCTGTTCTGTTGCTGGGGCAATTTTAAGGTTCCATGGTGTAATGGTTAGCACTCTGGACTCTGAATCCAGCGATCCGAGTTCAAATCTCGGTGGAACCTGTCTTTAGCATTTTGTACCTTCTCCTGCAGGTGGAGGCTGTCTGTGTGATCTTTTTCTACGTAGCATCAAAGTAAAGAATCCGGAAGCGTTGCATAGTTTTGAAGCAGTTACTGCAACGTTACATGAGTTACATGAGTTAGCGAATCGCTAACCATACTGACGTCAGTCCAACATGGCGGCGCACATCGCACGTCGTTGTTATTTACTATGTCTCCGGGCTGGAGAAAACGTGGTTCCACAGCAAAAGAATGTTGTAATAAGACACATTAACACAAATTGGCAGCAGAACGTGGGTTACAGGACGCGAGGGACAGACTCAACCGAGGTTAGTCAAACGTCCAGACTTATTGTGGAGGAGCGAACGACAGTGAAGGTGTTACGTCGAATATTGTACCCAGGTCAATATGTGTCTCTCTCTACCTAAACACGAACAAGCCCATGTCTTCCGCATAGACCGCGTGAAAAATTATAGCATGTTTTGTTGAATGTAGACATGAGCATTACTCAGCCAAAGAAACACAAAACAGTGTAAAAGTAGTATGACGTGGTCTAAACGCTGTCAGTACAATGGACGTAATGTCAAGGATGCCTAGCAACAAATGTGTTTTATTTACACTTTCCAGGACGTCCGGGTGCACATTCCAGTGGGTAAATATACAAATGCATAATCAAGCATTACAAAATTATTTTTTCCATTCTGTTATTTAACAATAATGTATTTGTTTTGTTTTGGTTCTAAGACCGCCTGATGGTAACTTACAGCAGAAGCAGTGGGCCGGGTGGTCAACATGTCAATAAAGGTTCTCAAAGTTTAACTCCATTGTTACACATATGTGTCGCAGTTGAATCTTGTTGTGTTGTCATTGTCATTGTGTAATGACATCTCAATCTGCAGTCAGCACAAAAGCAGAGGTCCGATTCCACGTGCTTACAGCCGACTGGATCCCTGAAGATGTTCGACGGAACATCTTTGAAAAGGTCTGCTTATTTTATTATTGTAATTCATGTATATTTCATTCTCTATCAATGGATCTTTGCATTTGCAGCAGAAAATGTGCTCAGCCCAAATTGCTGAGTTGTAAATGTTAAAACCCACCCTGCACATTTCTCTGATTTTCCCGGCTCAGAACAAGAACCGCATCAACAAAGCCGGGGAGCTTCTGGTGACCTCGGAGCTGAGCAGGAGTCAGCAGAGAAACCTTTCTGATTGTATCCACAAGATTTCTGCCATTCTGGCCGAGGCCAGCGAGAAGCCGTGTGAGCCAACGGCAGAGGACGTGGCTCTAAGGGCAGCCAGGTATTCATTCACCCGCTGTTATGCTTCCACTTGGATTGTGAACGTATCCTCTGCCGCGGCTCTTTGATGTGAAATGTGTTTTTCGTGCAGGTTAGAAAAGGGGAACATGGAGCGACTCAAACAGAAGAAGATCAATTCAGCTCTCAAGAAGAGCAGACGAGTGGACTTTGACTGATTGACTGTTACGTTTCCACCTCCAACGACTTTACTGTCAATAATTACACATCATTTTTATGTCCAGTGTAAATTATTTTGTCTTTCTGTTCCTATACAATAAAAGCAAGTAGAAGCATTTTCCTTTAAATACCAGAAATAGACAAAACAGTAATAATTGTTCTCTTACTGTTAACAGTTACTGTTGGCTGGTGTTAACTGCATTCTTTGACACATCGGATTGTTAGACAATGTGTAACAATGTAATAATGTTAGTTGTATTGCACTTGTTAACATGTTTAGTATGCTCGAGTGCCTGCTTTATCTCAACAACGAGGTCATTTTCCTACAAGAATAGATAAACAAGAGCTTATTAAATGTAGACATCGAAATAAATGTATGAATACAACAACAAATAACATGGAAATAAACAAACGCATTTACATGTAAAATCTGTTATTAAATAGGGCTTCAAGGAACAGGTTCACAAAGAGGTATTCCACAGAACTGGATTGAGACGGCCGAAGAAAAAAAAGCTAGCAGAGGATGGTTTCGATCCATCGACCTCTGGGTTATGGGCCCAGCACGCTTCCGCTGCGCCACTCTGCTCCGTTGTGCACCTACTGCCAAATATACTATTTATATTCTCCTACTATTCAACACCACTGATCAATATGTGATAAGTTAGCTATCGTGGTAACTAAATAACTTTTTTTTGCATGTTAAATTACAATGTCTGTTAAGTGATTGGTGTTGACTTAACGTCATGGATGATAATAGCGAAGAAAGCAACAAAAGTGTCAACCATTAACTCAATGGAGACTTGGTGATCGTTGACTCGTGAAGATACCACGGGCGGAGAATAAAATCTAAGCGCCTAGTAGTTTACCATAGCTTTCCCCTATAAAATGGCCACCAAATGCAATGATTTGGTGAACAGCTAAAAGACGACCACGAAGGGACTCGAACCCTCAATCTTCTGATCCGAAGTCAGACGCCTTATCCATTAGGCCACGCGGTCTTGGTGACTTCATTCGGTCAGTATTTTGTACATGTTGTTGTGAGACAATGATTTTAGTCAGGAGGGAAGGGACTTCCGTTGTACTAACTTACACCTAAAATAGATGTATACACACAAACAAGAAAATAACAATTAAAAATAGAAAAAGACTGAAATAGATACAAAATCAATTAAAGCCATGAATATCTACAACTTGAGCATTGTTGAACACTTATTTATATTTGTTTCGCCGACATTCAACTTCAATTCAACACTATATATACTAATGCTGTGTACATATGGTAATGAGGTAGGATATAACTACTAACTCCACCCTGGCATGTTATTTCAACCGAGGATTCTTTATCTTTAGATGCCACAATAATGTTTCCTTACGTCTAGATTGTAGACACAACAATTTGTTTGACGTTTGACATAAAGATGATCCGTATTATAACTACATTTACGTCTGCTAGCTGCATTGTTGTATTTTATGTCATTCTCTACACATTTTTCTTTATTTTTTAACTCAAAGTATTTATTTTCTTGCTTTTTTATTGCTTTTAGAGATGAAGGATGCAGTTTGAAAATATACAGCAAGTTAAGTTGGCTCAACTGATTAGACATGTTGGTCCTAATGTAGGGTGTTTTCTGTCTGGAGTTACATGGTCATTTAAAAGCAAATTCAATTTAAAACACCAGAACAACTGCTCAAGCACCATTTTTATGGTTTAGTAGGAACTTTAGGTAAAGAAGTTTATTTAGAGTCACAGCGCCTTTCTAACCCAATTCAGTAAAATTAAATAGAAATTATAAGAAAGCCTAAAAAACAATTTGTATGTAACAGTCAATTCAAATATATTTAGTTTTTTCAGTTTTTTCCCTTAACTCATTTCTACCTTATTTTACTTTCATTTACATTTATGTAAATATTGTATTTTTATTTTTATTTTAAAATTGGTGGCTTTCCAGAAAAGGCAAGTGTTACGGGTAACAGCAAGCATAAGAATTTCAATAGACAGGGGGTGTGTATTTGACAATAAAATCTTTGAATCTTGAATGTGTTTAAGTATGTTGGTCACTACTGTTAAGATCAATTCAATTAACGATATATAAAGCTGGAAGAGCCAAACTTTTTTGATGTTTTTGACCCCCCTCGTCACTTAGTATCTTTACATACAACAACACAGAATACTCTTCATGCTTTATTAGCAGGGTTAAGAAGGTCTAAGATTAGTAACGTTCATGAGTAATACCTGGGGAGGCTAAAATTCAATGCCAATATCTTAAATAATAACACAGTATTTGAAATGCATGACAGTAGTAAAGCCAGTCAAATAACTTTATTCGGAGAATTAAAATAAAAAGCAAAATAAAATGAAAAAATGAAAAATTCAGACACAAATAAATACAAGGGTACAATCTCATGTTAGCTATACTGAATTTACAAAAGATGAGGCGTCGAACATGTTCAAGTGCAATAGGTGAGACATTGCAGTAAATACACATTACAAGCCTTTTACCGGCTGTGGTTCGGCCTGGTTTTGTTATGCTAACGCACGCTGCTCACGCTATCTAAATAACAAGCGTAGACCCCGAATGCACTCCTGTATGCCACAGCTGTTCAGCACCAGGTAGCGAGCTCCCATCCATCCGCTGCTCTTCCTCCACACATTTGTCAGTGTTCAAGCTCAGCTATGGCTTCAAATGTAATAACACTAAATGTTTACACACGAAGGGGAGCTTCCCCAGAAAAACAGGCTGATGTAGTGTCTATTGTGAGAAATTCGTTTGCATGTCAGTCCTTAATCTGGTTGCTGTTTTGCTAAATTAAGAATTAAAGGGAACATATTCTTGACACTGTTAGAAATAGTTTAAATAGCGCCTAAGAATTTTTGTTTCCACTACTGGACCATTTTCCTCAAGGAAGAAAGAAGGGTCCTTATCTTTTCCAATCCAAATGTCAATGGATCCTTTCTTTTGTAGTAGTGGTCTGTTGCAGAAACAGAAACCCCCTCCCCCTAATTAATAAGAATGCTCACTCATATGACACAAAAAAAACACCATTGAACATCTCGATTAAGGGATTTTTATATTCTGTATGACGAGTGTCCATAATGGCCCAAAACTAAAAAAAAAATAACAATCCAAGTCTTTTGCCAGACAGCAGCGTTTTAGCATTTAGTGGGATCATCAGTGTGACACGTTCAAAGAAACCACCGGTACAATAAGATTATCAATAAACAATGCTCCATGTATCTAGACAAGCTATGGTATTGTTGCCCCGATGTAGTCCAGTTGGAGAGCTTAAGTGACATTAACACTTAAAAGGTGAAGGTATTTTGAATGCAAGCACAAGTAGGCCTGTCAAGAGAATTACATAATTGACCTATCGTACAATATACGGACGTGATGTTGAGCATTGTTACGCCATCGACTCATGTACAACATATGGACCAGGTTTCGAATATATTTTGCGACATCCTAAACCCTTGTGTGTTTGTTGATATTAGGATTTTCACATACTATTATAAGACTTAGGCAGAGCACAAACATTTTTTGTTAACAGAGCCCATTTTCTGTCATTGTTCTGGTCGTGTGGTCTTTAGCATATTTAGATATGCTAAATACTTAAAGATTCATCACCGTTTGAAAGGCTATACTTACAATATTATGCCATTATATTATACCATGAGGATAGAAATGGTCTTAAAAGGACGTTAATATCGTTTATTGTAACAAATATATTGTCTAACTACAGTAATTAGCGTGACAGGGGTTCTAGTCCACCATCGCGTTGCTCAATAAGATGCTAAAGGAGCACACAGCTTGCTTATCTAAAGGCAGAACACACAGCATGGCGATGTTCAAAAGAGGACTAAACCAATGTTATATCTCGCTTAACAAAGTAAAAACAGTTTGGTAGGAAACAGTCGGCCGCATACACAACCGAAGCCCAAATGTGTCGTCTTCTAGCCGTCTCATCCCACACGCCGGAGAGTGGCATCAATGTTCAGAACAAACTGCCAGGAAGAAAGCCGTTCCTCCACCGCGTCCAGATTACATTACACGTCAGTCTAGATTGAAGCGGTCGAGGCACACAGACAACGGTGCAAAGGCAGCGGCGTCGTCCACACGAAAGGGCTCCGTAAACCTAAAAGCAGCGTGCGCGTACTGTGACTCGCCGCCGCCGCCTCAAGCTCCTGGTAGAGGCCGACTGCGCTGTAGCCTGAGAGGATCCATCTTGGTTTTTCTAACTGTAATTATGCGTTAAGTGTTAGCGGAGGCCATTATAATACAACGGAAGAGATACAGATTCATGTTAGTATAATATTTTGAATTCCACTCGTTTATCACGGAGTGTTATTTTGTGACGCTTTGACATTTCGTGCACTTGTGAGGCAAACTGCTGTTATTTTATTATTGTGGTAGACGCCTGCGGTCAGGCAGGGAAGCCGGTATATTTAGTTGTTAACACTGAGTGAGAGTAATACGAGGGCTGCACTCAATCTAGCGCTTAACGAAATTCATTTATTTCTTAGAAATAAGACTGAATTCTGCAAAGCTTTTCCAATCGATCACATGCTAATCAAACTCTCTTATACAGTCGGACGGCTGAACTAAGCTGTTCCAAGCTACCGCCCCCTATAAGACACTTAACACTGAGATGGCGCGTTGCGGTCCCCTCCGAGCTAACCGGTGCACCTTTTACTGTTTACTAGACTTGCCGGATTTGCCAGATTTGCCGGCCTTCGCCGCTTTGGTAGCTTTGATGTCCATCTTGGTCTTCTGGATCCGAGAAAAGATCTCTTTGAAAAGCGCTTTGTACTCCGGAGTGTTCTGTCCCAGCCTCTTGTCCACCGCCTCCACCTGCTTGCTGATGCTCTCGATGGCCTCCGGGGTGGAGGGCGACTGGGTGGGGGTGGGCGGCGGCGCCGGCGTGGGGCCAACAGCGCAGTCCTTCATGGAGGGGTCCCGGGACACGGGTCTGGACGTCTGGACCCCGGCGTGACACAGGCTCTCCTCGTGGCGCCGACATTTCCCCAGCAGCTCCTCGTACTTCTCCAGCAGGGCGTGGTACTGCTCGTCCACCTCCCTGAGGATGGACATCCCCCTCTTCCTCACGCTGTTGGCGTGCAGGGCGTAGCTGCCCCTCCGGCGGCCGGAGGCGTCGCGGGCCACGATGGCGTTCAGCGCCGTGTCGCTGCAGCTCTTCCTCACCGGGCTGGAATCGGGGAGAGCCTCCCCGCCGACGCCGACGCCGCCCGCCCCGCCCTCGGTCTCCTCCCTCACGCCCCCTCCCGCCTCCCCGACCTCGCCTTCCAGGAAAGTGTCGGTCTCCGGCGTGCTGTTGAGGACCGTCTGGGTGAGAGTGGCGCCGTCGTCCTCGCTGCTCAGCAGGAAAGTACGAGCGCGGCGCAGCTGCTGGAGCTCCTGAAGCTCCACCTCCAGCTCGCGCACCCTCGCCTGGCAGCTCTCAGCATCCTGCAGGCAGAGACGCGAAACAGCGCTCACGTGAAATGAACGCGTAAAACACCTGTTTTATAATACATACCCGGCGTGCACACACCTGCACCCGCGTCTGCAGGCGGGAGAACTCTCCGAGGAGGAGGCTGCACTCCCTCTCCACCCCCTCCCGCCGCCCCCTCTCGGTGCGGGCGGCCGCGCGGAGCGCCGACACCGCCTCCCTCAGGTGCTGGTTCTCCTCCTCGAACGGCGGCCGCTTGGCGTCCACAGTGAAGCTCTCAGCCCGGCCCACCACAAACTCGTCCTCATACCTGACGGGAAAAAAAAAAAGACTTTGTTCTCAACGTTGTGAAGAGGAGCCTCCACCTCCTCCTCTCTCTGGAGGGTGGGAGGAGACGAGTACCTGGGGGCCGTGCAGAGCTCCCTCAGACAGGGGAAGGAGTGGATGGTCTTGCGGCGTTCCCTCTTCTCCCTCCTGACTCGGAGCTGCTCCATGGCGCCAAGCTGCTCCACCTGCCCCGAGAGAGACTCCACCTGGTTCTGCAAAGCATCTATGGTCCCCGTTAGCCTGGACCAGGGGGAAGAGAAGGTGTTAGAAGGGTATGAGAAGGAGTTTTCTTTTTTTTTAAACTCCCATTTCCACTCACGTCTCTATCTTTAGCTGGGAGCCCCGGCTTTCCATCACCAGCGTGCGGTTGGTGCGCTCCAGCTCTCTGGCGGTCCCGTCCAGCTGCTCGTACACTTTGGCATGCTGCTCGTTCATGTCCCGTAGGACCTCCAGCTGCTTGGACAGGTACTGTGGGGCGGACAAGTGGACAACACGCACCGAGACTGAAATCCTCTTAAAAAGGAGCGACCATCTTGGACGCTGAGGGGCAAGGCGACCGCTCATTGGCCGCCACGCGAAACGAGGCGGTTCTGGTGAGATGATGATACACGATGAGATTAATTTATTCATTATTTAATAGGATTCATTGCTCATTTATTACGGCTACAGAGAACTTCATTCCAATTCTAAAAATAAGATGATTGGTATGAAATACTGCCTCACTGTATTCAGTGGAACATTCCCAAATTACCATTTACATACTTTTGGGGGTTTATAAAGTTAACCACCCTTCTACTATTGGAAAACAGCAGTAAACCAAAGTATTCAATAAATAAGGTTATGAATAATGTCAACGATGGCGCAACCTGATTATTTACTTTATTTAAGAATTCACAAGTGAGGAATAATAAAACTTTCACACCTCGATCTCTTGCACTTGCTCTTCATTAGTGATGTACATCTGCTGCAGGGAATCCTCCAGCTCCTTGTTTCTCTCCAGAAGAGTCTTTCCCAGCTCTGCCGCCAGGTGGAGGTCTAGAAATCACAAAGAGATGGAGAAAGGGACGAACGAATGAGCAACAGGCGTCGACAGCAAGACGTCCATTTAGCAAAGGATGCAAAGAGCAAATGTTGAGGATTGGGATAAAAGAAGGCAGCAGAGGGGCTGGAAGAAGACCAGATGATCATCTAGGAGTGTGTGAAAGGAAATGGTGACAGAGAAAGAAGAATAGTCGGGGAAGGACACAGAGGACAGAACCGAGAATACTATATGATCTCACATCCGTAGAATTTAGATGGATTTGACGGAGCACGTTTTATCTTTTCCAGGCAAGGTGATAACGGGGCCTGGGGAAGAATGGTCAGAGGGTCCATCACGTCGTCCCAGTCTGCACTGAACCAGATCACATATACGGAGAGCAGAGGCTCGCTGTCTCGCTGCAGGTCCTCGGCTCTCCGCTCAATGAAGACGAAGGTCAGAGATTGGTGCCGAGAATTATTTAGCGAGACGCCTTCCCCGCTGAAATAGCCTGAAAGGAGACCATCAGATTTTTCATTCAAGCCTTGAAAACTAGTGCTCTAGGGATCTTGGTCCAAAAAGAAAGAACATCTTAGCAGCTTATTTCGCTCCGCTCTAGCATTTGTATTTTGGCTAGCGGGCTGTTTGAGCGCCTCCTAAGAAACACAAGTCACTGGCGTCGTACTTCATTCCAACGCTGCTCTGACTCAGCGGTATTGAAGGCCTACGTCATTCAGTCGGAGTCAGCAGGAAGCGGTTTTGCGAGAGAGAGAAAGCTGAGGACTAAAAGCAGCCAATGAATATTGGATATTGATGACTGGGAGGAAAATCACATTCGGACCCCGACTGTTTGTCACAATGGACCAATTGTAACAAATCTAAAAACCACAACTCCACCGAGGAAAACCAGACCACCCAAACGCCGTGTTACTCCCCACATCCCGCTGGCAGAGATGGAGCTCGGCTACGAGGTCACCGCAGGAGGAGGGGCACAACGCGAAGGTGGATGAGGGGAAGAGAGCCGATCGATACCACTCACTGCACTCGCACACCACAGCATCCGTTTGCTCCACGCCGGACTGACCAGCGCGCCGGTGTAATCTCATCACGTGTGACGAACGCCTTTCCGAGGTGCTACAGAGAACCGGTTGCAACCACTTGGCAGTGCGGTTGTGTGTATTCTGAGAAATTGGTGCACTGTTGACGCAAGGCAGATTTTGAGTTGAATGAGAGAACGTGTCTAAACTTTTGACTGGTCCTGTATCCGTTAACATGCTGTGTGTGTGTGTGTGTGTGTGTGTGTGTGTGTGTGTGTGTGTGTGTGTGTGTGTGTGTGATCTCTTCCACAGGCGGTGTTGTTTCGTTAGGTGCGTATCTCCCATGAGATTCGTTGGAATGAGGAAAACAGGACTTCTTCTCTTCCTCTGGTCCTGTGTTGCAGAGACAAAGATTCCAGAAGCATCCAGCGGCCAGAAATGAATTATTTAGAAAAATGGCGGATGGCTTTTTTGTCTAAAAACCCACACTAATGTTTTATTAGCCAAAGCAGCGGATTCCTGCAGGATTTCGTTGCCCTTTCGTACTCTATGGTGTAAACAGCACACATCAAGATCATTTAAAGGATCAGCATCAGATGTTGGTCCAGCAAACAAACCTGCGGTCTCTCCTGGACTCGGGCCAGTAGAGGATCTGGCGAACACACAACGGGCCCAACCAAAACGGCATGTCTGGACTTGGCTTTCCAAGATTGAAATCTGCTAAATGTGCACACAAACAAAGCCCTTCATTCACTGGCCTTAAAGGAAGAGAGGAGGAAAGGCAGTGAGATGCGTGCGTATGAAGATGCAACGCTTTGACGGGTGAGCTCTGGAGGTTCTGCTGGGCAGATCGTGTTACCAGGCTGGTTGTTTACTTTATGCTAAGCTAAGCTAGCTGGTGGCGTCGTATTAGCAGCACTGATAAGACACGCGTCATCAGCTTTGACCGGATAGCCTCACTAGGAGTTAGTTTTCTTGTTCCCGGTGAACTCGTTTGCAACCAGGGTCCACCTCCTGAAGACCTTCTATTTTAACCAAGCATTCTGATTTAAGATGGAAGTTATTAAGTGGTGCTTCTGTGTGAGTCTTTGTGGGTTAAATCAATTAATGATTAGTGGAGTTGAAACAATGAAACAAAACATTTGCTGATCCCTTTTCGGTTGATTTAACCGATCAATTCATCGGCTCATTTGTTTAAGCTCAACGGCCTTTTCCTTCTACCACGTTTCCACCATAAACGTTCTCCATCACAGCACTGAGGTCAGCCTGCCGGAGGCTCTGGTGTGACGACAACTACAGCACCGTAGCACAATGGCGGTTTCTGTCTCGGCTTCGTGGCATCCTGAAACGTCGCACAATACATGACCTCTGCTCCGGAGGCATTGTGACCTTTTCTCCTGTATCTCTTTTACTCTTTCCTCCGCTGTAAAATAAGGACTAATGTCATGATTGCGGTTTCTTGTATGTGCCAGTGTGCGCAGACGGGATTAGGTCAACACCACTGCGTCAGCACCCTCTCAGCTACGGGAATGAACCGGTGGGATTACGTACAAGCGAGGGGAGACAGGAAATGGCCGGAGTGGTGCGGCGGACAGAGAGGCGTCTTTGTGTGTTGGGAGCCCGGCGCTGTGATCAAAGGAAAACATCTTTCAAGGGAGCCATATCAGCATGAGAGAGATCCCGATCTTTCTTTCTTCTATTTGTATCAAATAAAATGTGTTCGCCGACAAATGTCTTAACCGATGTTCGTGCATAGCAAAATACAAAGTGGGACCTCGTCCAAAACGCACTTTGCAGTGTGTGACTGGTTATTGTTCCCCTCTAGAGTCCAACAGTCTTGGGCTATATGGAAATTGGCTAATACCAAGTTGATCTGGAAAAGAATGTGACTTAATGTTGTGGTTTTCAGTCTGATATACAGTATGACACCTTTAACGATTAGTTAGTTGGCCTGTTGATTGGACCCAAGACTATTATAATATATTCAAATATTAGTAGGATGAGTAAGAAGTGTAGACGATAGATTCAGTTGTTCAGCTGCTGCCGCGTGCAGCAGGTGGCCTTTTAATGGAAAGGTCGAGCGAGTGCATTAGCTGGAATTAGGTTGTTTAGACAACGACTGAACAGCGAATCCCGAGTGGGTTCCTTTCTTTGTCTTAACATTATAGTAAATTTAACACCAAAACAAGAGATTTTAGGACATCACTTTGGGGTCTAGACAACTGTGATGTGCATTTGACGCGTTTTCTTTTTAATGAACCTAAATAGTCATCAACTGATGGAAAGGGCGATCAACAATGAAAACTATCATTTGTTTCAATTATAAATAGCACCAAGTTATATGGACGATGCAGATTGAAAATGTCTCTTTACTTATTGGTTTGTGACATTTTTAAGAAGCCAATAAGTAAGTGGGGCGTATTTTTATAAATACAGTTTGGAATAATAGGGTTGTATTGTATTTAATTGCAGACACACAATACCATAGTTTTCTTTTTTCAGCAAAACATCCAAACCTTTCTTTGGAAAAAACAAATCCTGCACTGCTTTAATTTCATTGATTCTAATCCAATGTGCAGCCACAACAAATCTCCCATTTGAGAACCCAGAAGCAGAAAAAAAAAGAATGTGCAATTGCCTGGTAACCAAAAAATAAATGCACAAAATCCATCCTTTAGAAATAACCTGGTTTAGTCATGTTTAAGCTAAGTGGGGGTCTAGGAGGGGAGCAGGCAGCAGCAGGCCCTGTTTGGCATGCTGTCAATGCATTGTTGTCACAGAAGCACCGCTCCATCCTCAAAATCTACTTCGCCGTTGTTCGAATTGAGGAAAGGCCTCGTGAAGGACGTCCGTGCCGGTTCCCGAGCCCGACACAGAGCCTTTGTTAAGCGGGGGCTGGCTAGTAAAACGGCCCCGGGTGAAGGTGATGCTGCGCGGAAGGGAGGATGGTGTCTTACCCTGCTCCAGGTCCTGCTGGTCGTACCACGGCTCCTCCTCTTCGGTCACGAATTCCTCCATTCCCCCGGCGGGGTTTAGCATGGGGGACCACCCGCTCTCTCCTCCCGGACCCGGGGCAAGCGCAGAGACGAGCCGCTCCGTGCGAAACAAAAGGGCTCCGGCGTCTCCGGGTCGCTCGTCCCCGGCTCGGAGCTGCTCGCTTCAACCGGGAGGGTCGCGGCTCTGTGTGCGTCTCCTCGCTTCCTCCTCCCGTTGTGGTTCCTCGGTCACTCGCACCGCGCTCCCTCTCATCCCCACAGCGCCCGGCGCCGGCCCATCATTCCGGGTCCTCGCTCCCGTAGTCCCCGTCGCTGCTGCTGCAGAGGATCCGTCAGACGTGGCAGCGGCGGTGATGCGACGGCGCTTCCTTTCTCCCCGCTATCAGCTGCACGCCCGCGATGCCTTCAGGTGCCGCTCGTAAAGCGCGAGTGTTTTAGTATGTTTCCGTTCACGTAGCCTTCTACGCGGCTCGTCCCTGTTGATTCGTCCACGTAAACACGCTATGACAACATGCACTAGACACACTCTTTTTGAACACACACACACGATTTAACCAAATTCTACGTCAGTGAGTTTTAAATATTAAATTACCTCATACTTCTGACTTGGAATCACTCGTTGTGCTTGTTTACGAGTAAAAGTACTAATGCATTTGATTGGATTATATTGATTAATGCACGCATGTGTTCATTATTTCAGGTTTTCAGCTGGTAAACGTTGACCTAATTTTAATGACTTTATATTAGTCATTACTCATTATTAATTAGTTGATTATAATCATGTACATCTTTGAACTACCTGAAGCTGTCAAATAACTTCAGTGGGGTAGAAAGTACAATATTTGCCTCGGAAATGTAGATCAAGAGAAGTAGCATGAAATGGTAGCATGTATTTCTAAATGTTTACTTACTCTAGAGCTAATGTATTCGTTAAGTTGCATCACTGCTTGAAGCCGAAAGGTTGTTTTGTAAATACATTTTGTGTAGTTGTGAAAAAAGGTTAAAAACTGGGGACTCTTTCAAATGCGTTCCCTGCGTAATCACACAGATGTGACCCAGTTTGATGTTTTGTTTTCCAACATATCAATGTTTCTGTAACTGTAATGCATCTTATTATTGTCCAAAGTGTATGTATGGCTGCTGTTGTGTTCAAAAATGAAGAAACGCCAGGCGGACAGAGGGCATCGCAGATCTAACGGTTAAAATGTATTTAATAAAAGAAAGGGTGTTGTGGTAAAAAGAACATCTCAGCTGAGGAGCCGCTGGTCTCAGCAACCAACAGGCCCCAGGCAGTCCTTTTGACCATCACTAGTGCCCGTCTGTTGCCTCCACCAGCGAACTCCAGAACAATGGTTCCTACAGGTATTTATACCGATCATCCGTAAAGGTGTGAAAGTGTCCACACCTCTGGGAGTGGTCTTCTGGTGAGTTCAATGTAACTCGGATTTCGAATGACCCTTAGTCAATGTCAGTTGTGGTGTGGTCAAGTATTACATGCATTCCAGTTGATTAGATTACATTAAATACAACCATAACTGTACATTGATATAGTATTTTTACAATATTGTCATTACTTTATTGATTACACAGTTTCAGATGTCTGTATTCTGGTGTACACTATATGCATTTTATTAATTTATGAACCGGGTCGTCAGTTTATTTCTAATATCCTACACTGCGTTTCAGCTAGTTGAGGTTTGATGTTCAACCGGATGTAAATAGAGGCCATATGAAACAAAGCGTGAGTTACTCCACTAGAGGGCATGCAACACAGGCCACAAAACACCAGAGGCCCCTCTGAATAAAGAGTAACACTTCCACGCATGGCTCCGTCCAAACGTGTGTTTAGTTTGATAAAAGCAGTGTGCGTTATGTAACCTCCATGTAATCTATTGTCAGCCTCAATAATAAATGACAAAAATAAAACTAAAAAAGGAGTGCAAAAACCCACAGTAACTAACTAGGAACTAAACAAATAAATGCATATGTACACACAGTACAGTGGTTATTGCACATTGTGATTCCAATGTCCTGTGGTTCACTGGGTGCACAGTTGGTTGTGCAGCCTGAGCGCGGCAGGAAGGAAGGACCTGCGGTATCTCTCCTTCACACACCGGGGGTGAAGGAGCCGCTGTTGAAGGAGCTGTGAAGAGCTTCCAGGGCGTCCACCATGGGGTGGGAGGTGTTGCTCACCAGAGACGATAGCTTAGTCATCCTCCTGTCTCCCTCCGCCTCCACCGTGTCCAGCGGACACCCACTGCTGGCCTTCCTGATAAGCTTGTTGGGTGTCTTCCCCTCGGGCCGTCGATATGCTGCTGCCTCAGAAGACCACTCCATACAAAATGTCAGATCCCACGACGAGGTCAAAAAAGCTCCTTATTAGGGCTCCCTTCACTCCAAAGGACCTCCGTCTCCTCAGCAGATGAAGTCTGCTCTGATCCTTCTTATAGAGCAATCAAGCATTGCGTTATTTTCCCTCCATCCCACTGAATATACTGCACATAAAATGAAACCCCAAAAGGAGAGCAGGAGGCAGATTTGGGGCTGGTATGAAGCAGTAACTTAATTCAATTCAATTACTTTTACAGATCAGAATTCACTTCATTTCTTAGAAAAATAGGATACAATGCTGCCATTCGTTTTCTCTAATAGCAAAAAGCAGTTGAGACTGTATGATCATTGTCAGTGTTTGTGATTTTCTGGCATTTTACTGTTTCATTAATTTCGGTCTTTTTACAGTTGTTTTGGTTTTTGCCTCCTTTGTATTTTTCTTTTCCTTGTGATTCCTTCATGTATCTTTGCGGTTGTATTGGTCTTGTCGTACTCCCTTTGTGTCTCTTCATAGCCTTTGCTCCTTGTGTGTTCATTTTGGGTTTCTTGGCATTTTGTGTTGATGAAGGTAAGTGGGCCTTTAATCCCTAAATAAACATGTTGTTACATGTACAAGGCCCAACGAGGACAGATAGCGTTTTAAAAGGGTATGGAGGCCACTCTGAGCGTGACGAGGGTCAAGAGGTTAAAGGTCTATCACGTTACTCACTCATTCTGCCTAAAACAAAGACTTAGTCATCTGGTCTCCTCCATTCACAAGGCCTCCCTACATCCCATCACACATGATGCAAATTAGCCTGTTGTTGTGCTTATTCAGAAACCCTTGACTCTCTCTTGATGACGAGCTAATGAGTAATGGCTCATTGCTCTGGGCTCCAGCTCGTACACTACAAAGCACAGTCAGCGATGGCAAACATTGGTGTAGTTTGAAACTCATGCTTTAAGCTTCAAGAAACTCCTTGAGAACTACAATCGACTTTCATCAAAGCGCTCACCAGAAATTACGCTGCGCCAGAAAAACAAACAAGTAAGAGAAAGGAACAGCCTCATTGTTTTGGAGACCCTTTCCGTAGCAAAGGAGACCCCTCCTCTGATCGAGATGAAGGACCGGGGAGGGTGTAGTCAGCCGGCTACGGATTTCACAATAGTCTCTGCGGTCTGCTGCGCAACTACAAATGCAAACCGCTCTCTCTCTCTGTGGAAACAGTCAGCTGGAGGGGCAGCGTGTGGATGCTCGCCGACCCCCTACTCCCTTTTAAAAGGAGCCCCCGTCTCCACGGTGACTCAAGACAAAAAAGGGGCCCTGGCACAGCTGGTCTTTAGCAAACCAAGGGAGAGAGAGAAGGAGGGAGGGAGGGAGGGAGCGAAGGGAACAGTGAATGAGTGTGTTCAGATGTACAGACTGGACGGAGGGCAAGGGGGGCGTGGGGGGGGGCAACGTAAGCAGCCGCGAACGGGTGTGTTCGGGACGTTGTTTGGGGTTGAGGCTGGGGGGGAGGAGGTACACAAACTCCCTGAGAACAGGAGCTGGTGAGTGGAAGAAAGTGAACACACAGCGCAGGGGGAGCAGTTGCAATCAGACGGCTGCTCATCTGCTCAGAGAGTCAAATTACCTCCAAACACCGAGTGCTGGTGGACCAGAGCTGATCAGATGAGGAGGAGGCTGAGACTGTCAGGCAAAGTAACAACAAGGAGTGAGAAGAGGGGGAGGGGGAGAAGAAGAAGAAGAACGGATCTGTGTACTGAGCTGGGTACTCCAGAGTTGACATGAAGGAACAGTGATCAAAGTGAAGCTTGTTCACCTCAGAGGTAAGAGGATTGTTTTTGAACTTCCATGTCGGCTGTCAATCAAGTGTCTCTCTGTTTTCTTTGGGGTGGGGGGAAAAAAAGCAGTTGTGATTGTCGGCAAGTGAAAAATTCTATTGTTTTCCAGTCTAGAGAATTTCTTTGGTGCTTATTTACACCACCTTAAAGTTCATCCTTCAACATTGTTGTGGTGTTCTTCATTACAGTGAGACTTGGGCAGCGCGTTTTGGTCTCTACGTTCTCTGCTGTCTGTGTGGGAGAAAAAAGGACAAAGAGGAGAACGCAGAGCAGAGAGGGTCACCAGCATAAGTCAGACATTCTTTCAGGATTATTCTGAACGGGGTTTCAGATTTTCAGAAACACAAACACAAATTTACTTTGGAACAAGTGCATTTACATATAGATATTTAATGCACATTTTAGAGACAGTGGAATGTGTTTTCTGAAAATGAAAACAACAAATGCAGTGAACACTGCTTCTGTATAGTATGTCAGGAAATTTGGTTCCTCCTGCACAAGCTGCACTCTTTCAGCAACAAACCACAAAAAACGACTATCAATAGGAAGCTGTCTTGTGTCTTGTAACACACAAATCCGCTTCCTGAGCAAGTTGATAACGTCAACATTTAACGTTATATAACTGAATTAAGATACGGTATTTTTGCTTAATGACAGTCTATTTAACTAGTTTAACTCAGTTGTCTCCATGTCCATGTGTCCATTGACACATAACAGCAGCTGCTCGCATAGTGATAGTGGTATTGTAGCAGCCTATATAATGTTGTGTAGTATAGAACAGGCTACATTATTCTATGCTAATCTAGCTAGCTGAGCATTGTGAAAGTACTTGAACGGTTGCCTAGCGACGGCATGAATCCCCCCGGTAACGTCACAGGGACTAACGTTAGATCGATCAATAAACCGCCATTAAATTAGCCGCGGATATTTTGTGTTATTCAATTAAACACGTGCGGTGGGATTTTTGCTTCGGGCTTTAACGTTACTTCACGTTACTTTAACGCTACAACGTATTTCCCCAACGCCGTCATTTGTAATTCACAATGCGCTACGTTGACGGACCCACATCTCAAGTGTAAGTCAGTTTGTTATTCCTCCACATGACGTTGGTTAAAACTTCACACAACTTTACGATGCCTTTGAATCCCATATTGAATGGAAAGTATACAAATATTTGATCATAGTTTGTACTATTAATAGTAGCTGCACATTCTCTTAATAAATCAGATATCCATATGAACTGTGGATTAATAATAACCCAGATATACTGTATAACTTTGGTATGACTGATACTGATCTTTGGTCCGTTTTTGTTGAATATGAAAAAAGGTAAACATTCGACTTATTTAGCAAATTAGTGTTGTCCATTCGGAGTTGATCATCTGATGACCGGATGTCTTCAATGTCCCGTCCCTCTGCCATTGCACAGCCTCGACTATAGCATCCGCCTGCGCAGGCTCACACACACACAGCTGCTCCAGTGGTGATGAGGGGCCCGAGCTTTGAAATGCCAGGCCTGAAATATCCTCCCTTGTTTATAATTATATTTAATATGCAGGATGATGGCTGCAGCAGGGCATTAGACACCACGTAGGGCCCTTGGTGTATCCACAAAACGCACCTCTGTCCCACCTAAAGTCATCAGGAGGCTAATTAGGGGTGCTGATACATAATGAGTGAGTGCTCAAAAGAAGCACACACAGTCTGTGGGATGAAGGACATATATGCTTACCAGGCCTGAGGGGTAATTGCTGGGTAGAAGGATAAAATTGCAGGAGCAAAGGGTGGAGCTGAAGATGAAAATAAACCTCTTTATTCCTACATTCGAAGCATATTTTCTCAAGCAAGAGAGCCTGCTGTGTCTTTCAGGTGTGGCTGAGCAAGTTCTTTAAAAGGCAACTCGTCGCATCGCCCCGGGGAACCTGCATTTGGGAGTCAGCATGTCAGAGTTTAAAGAGGAGGCGCTGCGTATTGTTCAGAAGGTGTGGAACAGGCTGCAGGAGCTCCCACAGGCCAGTCGTCTGGAGCTGGGGGGCTTCAGCGTGATCATCTTGTTTGTTGGTGAGTTTTTGCCTAATTAGCTGAAGTACAAGACCAAGATGCATTCACCAAAGACGCTAAAAGATCTGAGGGGGACAGCGGGGACGTTTGATATGTCTCTGTGGGTTTGTCATTAAAGGGGATCCCCTTTTACGTTGAACATTTTCAGTCAACCCCCCTTCTGTCTCTCCTCTCAGCCATGATCCTGTTCTTAATGGTGTTGACCTGCATCCACTGCTGCTGCTGTGGGAAGCAGAAACACCAGACGTCCAGAGTACAGCCGGCCTGAGCATGAGGCAGAGAGCAGACTCCCCCAAGTAAATTCCACCTACGTCCTTTTTCCCATTCTTTCTGTAGCCATTCTGCACACAGTTATAAAATGGAAAATGCCCTTTACCGTTGTTGCACTTCTTGGAGGAGAAGGATGGGAACAAGATGTTTGAATAGTTTCCCCATGTAAATCAGCAGAGGGGCATGACTCATGAAGATTCATCTCAGACCACGACAATGACCTACTGTGTGATGGCCTTTTCCCAACAACCAGTGGATTGAGAAGATACAGTGAGAGAGCTGTCGGACTGACTCTTAATGCCATGTAAATTCACTTGTTTGCTATCCTGTTAATATTCCAGGGATTGTGAAAGAAAGCATAAAAAATGTTTAGATATTCCAACTAGTGTACAAAGCTACTCGCCAGTGTAATAAGACGAAGCGCCCTCTGCTGGCCAGGACCAGAGCTTTTCTTCTGTTGCTAAACGTGCCGATATAAAATATGAGCTGTTCATAGTTCCACATACAATTGTTACAGATGTATTCCTGTTATGTAACATAGTTGTGGCTTTTTTGTCTTTTTTTTACTGCGGCATTGCGATACTGCATTTGTGGATGTAACTGAACTGTTAAAAATGTTTTGATATGTATAAATATAAATATATATGTTTATATATAATACGGAGTTGTGTCTTATTACACAATGGAAAGTCAAAATTTAACTATTTGCTGAAGAATAGCATGATCCCCTCTCTGAGTATTGCACATAATTCCAATTGTTCTGTCTACCATATTAGTGTTGCTCTTAAAGCCACAACTGAAGCATTCCACTAGTGTATGCATACCTTATCACCAGTCAATATTTTGAGTAAACATTAACCAGGAGCCGCTACCTTTACTTTGTACCTCCCACACAAAGGCACTGAAGGTGTCAGCAGAGTTGGATCCATTGGAGTTTCACAGAATGCCTCCAAAGTGCTTAAACTGGTGGTAAACTGTAAGGTTTGGGACAGTTCTGGGGCGGCGAGTGGTTCAGAAGCGGAGCTGAAGACACGTTTTGTCACACACAGTATACCGCGAGAGGATCACTTAGCGGGACATGGCCGCGGAGGGGTGAGTTCCTGAACAGGAATGTGTTTGTGTCGACCTTCTAAAGACTTCTATGGCGCAGACTCATAGATCACCTCAGCTTTAAAAAGGCTTCAGAGCTTAGATATATTATCGACAGCATACAATCTGGGTTCTGTAACAGCCTTTTTAGTGTAAACTGATGGCTTACTTATCTCATCAATCTAAGATCCGGACAGCCCATCTGAGCTATTATTTTGGTTTTGCTTTGGTGCAGTGTTTCAGAGCAACAGAAACCCACGGGTTCCCCTGACGACTGGGTAGAATGGTTCCTCCACCGGCTGCATCAGGAGCCGTGGGCGCTGGGCGGTGTTGTGGTCATAGGAGTGTTTGTGCTGGGAATTCTGTGTCTGGCTGCCTTCGCCCTGCTATACGGATGCTGCTGCATCCCACAGCAAGAGGACCCCAAGAAGAAGAAGACATCGAGGGACGGGGTGATCTAGATGGTTGTGAAGAGACCTGATTGGTACTTTACTGATCGATGACGTGATGGAGGATTTGCCCAAATGTAGCTGTCCACATTTGTCTTTTTTAGAGATGTGTAGGAAATTGGACCGTCTTTACATAATACTGAATGATGTGTCAGGCGATGTATCAAAATGGTCCCAATTTAACAAAATACAATACTTTTTTATCAAATGTCTTTTTTAATATAATTCACTGTTCGACTTATAGCACTTGATATGAATCTACCCATAATCATTCTCAGTCTAACACTTGTTCAGAATCTGCGATTGTTTTTCTTTGTTTTGTATTTGCCTTTACACTTTAAGAATTTAAAATAACCTTCAGGAACGTTAGAAAATGCATACAATCACAGATTACACAGTCAGGTCCACGATGTTCCCATAGTTAACGCCTGCTTCACCAAAATGCTGCTGTAACAACAAAGGTTGTAAAACAGCACACTCAACCATCAAATCGGTGTCTGCATTGTTTTTTGACGAGATATCAGGAGTCATTCAAACATTCTGAAAGACCAAAGTGAAGCAGGATGTATGCATGTTGGTGTTTTTTAATATGTAACAAAACTGCACCTCAAATTACAAAGGAGTTTTATCCTTAGCGGTAGCACGGTCGCTACTGGCAACACATATTGAGAAAATAAATGATTATTGTTTTGCAACAACTTTTAACAGAGGCAGCAGGGAGCAATGGAAATTTAATAAAAAAAATAAAATAACCAAACAAAGATGCATGTGATTTCACTTTTATTTGAAGTATTTTCAAATAACTTTGGTTATAATAATTTTGGTAATAAATGTTTCCTGATTCCTGATTTTAAGTCACAAACTGGTGTTCTGTGTCGCAACACAAACACGAGGACTACATTTCCCAGTGCCGCGACGTCTCCTACGCGGTGCAATGTGACTGACGTATTTACTATGCGACCAGGGGTTTATGCGACGCATAAGGCGACACGGCAATGGCGAGCGGTAAAAAGAGCGCTCTGCTTTCCTCTTTGGCAGACTATGGGGACGATTCAGAGCCCGACTCCGACCCCGAATCCGAAGGAACAGGTATACTATAATGAATGTATTAGTTTTGTTGGGCTTATGTCGGTGTATGTTAGCCAGTGCTAGTCTTCCGCCGGATTCCATGTGGAAGCTAACGTTAGCTTGTAGCTAATTAGCTAACAGTTACCGTAAGTGAGTTTACATTAAAAAGTGTCAAATATATTCAAGATGTGTTCGTGAACCAAAAAAACACCAACAACGAGCATTAGCATAATACAAAGTAATTTCCATAAGCTCTCGTTGTTTTCAAATGTTACCTGTTACCCATCATATAAAAATAACTGAAAAAAGTGAAGCTCGCAACAATAGAAGTATTTTGATTTTCTCTAAACTTACTAACGTTGGTTTCACTTCTCCGCCCCAACGTTTAACAGAGGGTGTAATGTTGTGATTAATTTATTATAATATCAGATATATTTTGAAATTGGGCATGGTTGTGTCTCCTCGTAGCCCTGACGCTCTGCATTGTGTGTGATGAGCCTTTGCCTCTGTGACTCTGTCCATCAGGGGGACATGTCTCTGGCCTGGTGTACAGCTACGGCGATGATGACCTGAACCGAACCGAGGGTGCGGAGATTATTGTGTCTGGAGATGAAGAAAGCAGAGAGAGCCACTCGGTCAGTACTTGTTGGATTCCACTGAAATTTTGGTTGAACATTTTGAAGTTAGAAAACGAGCAGAGCACATGTTAACTTTAGTCTTCACTGTACACAGAGAAATGAAAAACCCCAGAGGATCGCACCATGTATGTTTCCTTCTGGTGCTACGTCCTTTTCAGGATCAGACTTGTTTCAGTAAAGAATATATAATATAATAATATATAACGTCAGCTCACCCCCTTTACCTTAAATATAGTTGGTACTAGTACTGCAAAACACCTGAAAATAAGTCGTTTTTTGTATGGTAGTCTTTACTTTAATAACAAGGGCTATACATGTGATTCAAATACATTTTTTTGTTTAATATTGAGATTTTGATAAATTTATTAAACTCTCTTTAAATGTTTTGGTCTAACCAAAAGCAGCAGTGGCGATGCACGGGGCAATAAAGTCTATGATAAATAAGTAAACAAACCAACGACTTCCACACTCAAAGACGTGACTCTCTAGGTCGTCTTCATCAAAAACACGTTACTCCACCTGTTGTTCTGGTGCTGAATTTCTCTGCAACACACGCAAGACTTTTAGAACCATGAATTGAAACGAGTGCGTCGACGCAACGACGCAGAAGCATGTGCCAGCCTTAAAATTTAATCAATAATCCAAATTCAAACAAAATCGTCACCTAACTAGAGGTCACCTAACATCTTTAAATACCTAATAGAGTCCATTAATATATATTGGTTACAGCTTCTTAAATGTAAGCTTTACTGTGTTTATCATTTTAATTTGTATGTTTTAAGGTTTCACACTCAACAAATCCGTACACTCCTTTAAGGACATTGGACCCATATTTAATTTTAGATTTACTTAAATTGTAACTCGTATGCTACTTGTATATGTGTTTGTACTGTACATGTACAATACGTGTAGGTTAATTATAACATGGTTGATATGCGCAAAGAACCATGTGCTTTCTCTGCATGCCTGAAAGCAGCAGAGACCAAGATATCCTGAACTTTGGTCACAATGATTGGGTCAAGCTCGAAAAACACAGGCTGCTCCCTCACACTTCTCATCACTAGCATCTTATATTGTTGGATCGGAGGGACTCCTAGTTACCCACTACAGTCGAACCTCTTCAAGTTGGTTACGCAGACCTGCTGCCTAAAATGCGAGGTCTCAAGTCAAAGCCAAGATGGCCGCCTTGACGTCATCACTGTTATTTTTCACTACCAAGTGTAATTGGCACATTTTGTTATTTTTGAGCAATCCAAATGAACATTTTTGCCAGAAAGGCATCAAATACCCAAATGTTTGTAATGTTTCTTTACCAAAGTCTCTGTGGTTGTAGAATTAGTATTAGCAGCATGCACCACCCTCTCTACCACTTACTGCAGGGACAGCAGGCTCATCCAGCTGTGCTGTGCTATACACCTGGTCTTTTTACTGTGTGTTTTTGCTTGCGTGTTTGAGAAAAATGCTGCTGTGGTGAAAAAATGTCCGTGCAGTGTTAACCTTCTGCATCTTTTATTTTTTATAGGAGATGGAGGACTCCGACGAGGGGAGGGACGTAGAAGACGTTGAGGTATTTGAGGAAGAACCTAATTTGTTCTGTAACCAATCAAAACGGAGGTTGCTATTAAGCAGCACGCTCACCAGGTGGTGCTGTGGGTTTATGTATCTCAGGACTGATATCAGATGTGGGTAATGCCGCGGTGTGTGTGGATGGGGATGGGTGTGTGTTTCCTCCTTGCAACGGTTGGTGTTGGTCAGTGAGGTGAGTCACAAAACCAACAAGCAGAAACGATACAAGTCAACGTCTGCTGCGTGGTCGGCTCTTAAATGTGTCTCTTGTTGTTTTATTCCAGATTTTCTTGGGGGTGGGGGTGGCGTGCAACCCTTGTTCAATGGTAGGGGACACACTGACCTGTTTGGGTAAAAGTGAAAAATCCAGAGGACTCTAGGAGGGCTGAGAAATATGCTCCTGAAATCCAAGCTTTCTCGAATCCATGGCGCCATCATGCCGTAAATGAGTGTTTAATGCTGCTGATAAGCTCAGCTGCTAAACCTTGATGTCATCGCGGGCCTGTTAACTTAGTCGACGTTGAACTCAAAGCTGTAGGTTCAGCTTATAATTAGGAAATAAATGCATGTTTAAAGGAAGAGCTGTTGGTCAGACCCCACGTTTCCCATGAAGCAGCTGGGCAGCATCGTTTAAAATTAGCCTCTCCTTCCAAATCCCACTCAATGGGAGGGCGGTTGTACCTTTCCGTAGGCACTTGCTTAGAGTGGTTCCAGTAGAATATATTCTTACTGTGATTAGTGTCAGTTATTGTTACGGTTTGTCTCGACTCCAGTGGAACCACATTTTTTGTTGCAGTGAAATTGGGACCAAAAGCTTCTTTTGTAAGTCCCAATTAAGGAATCAGACTTAGTTACAGTTTTGTCATTTTTAGGCTGAAATATTTTTGTCACGTATGTTATGATGAGAAACTTTAGTTTACAGGGGAAGCGAGTTATTGCTGACATGGGTTTGTGTTGGTTAAGGCAGTGCTGCAGTCCAACAGCAGACTGTGACCTCCTGACCTTGTGAAGGACGGCAAACTGGAAAAAAACTTCACATGTCAATCAGTGAACCGCAGAATATCTCATTGGCTCGTTCTCAAACAGCAGGTGCCATTTATTAAAAAAAAGTTTGGTTGGTTTGGATTTCTGCTAATGGGGTCTGCTGTCCTCCTCTTCCTCCTCCTCCTTGTGATCAGGTCAATTTCACGACAATTCTGTGTCCCTTTCCAGTTGCCAAGTGCCGATGACATACCCGTGAATTCCTGCACTGTTCTTGTGCTGAACCTGTGTTTTGCTCACAGAGCTGGCACAACAGGCGGCATATTTCAGTGGCTGTTCCTCCTCCTCCACCTCCTCCTGGCCAGCTCAGGCATTCATTGGAAACAGTCTAGATTTACTCTCCTGGTTTCTGTAGAAGCGATTCTTCATGTCTGCTTCCATTCAGCGCAGTCTGTTGCATTCAGCATCTGTGATTTGTAGGTTTCATGTACTTCTGGAATGAGCTTTTGTCTCCAAATGTCTCACAAAAACGGCCAGTTCTCACCAGCCCACATGTAATCCACAGAATCCATGCTGGGAACGTTTAATTATACATTTTAGTGTTGTTGATTTGATCCCATTCGTTCTGTTTTAATATTCCACTTATCTCTGTCTATCTCACTCTTTTTCCTTCTCTCTGTCTTTTCTTTAACAGATCCCAGAAGTAGAAAGAAAGGACCCCAATGAGCTAGTTGGTGAGCTCTCTCACTCACTCACACTCACACACACACACACACACACACACACACACACATGACACACACACGTTTGAGTCTCGATAAAGCCTGATTGGTCATGTTGGTCTTGTAGGCTGAACACCATTAAAACGACACCAATGGGCCCCACTGTTGCTCAGGCACATGGGGCCCTTCACTGAAATGAAACGAGGCAGGTCTTGAACAGTCTTTTGTACCAAAATACCTCAGAAAACTTAGGGCCCAGAGGCTGGTTGCGCGGGTCTGTTGCTTAGCAACTACAACCAGCCAAGTGTAGTTGAGGAGTGCATTCGTGCGAGTCCAGCCCCTGGGGCATGAAATCTTTTGTCTGATTGTGGACTGTCAGCAGGTTTTACACACCAAATACCAAAATGAGTCATCAACAGGCTGTTTTTATCTGGAAATCTGTTCCTCTTTCAAACACTGTTACTACGACTTGCTGCTTGTCCTGGAGTCACCTTCATGTCAGCAATAATGTGATTAAGAATTATCTGATTTATTAACTGTAGGCCATGTGATCATATATTATTTTGGCTAGTATGATTTGTCATTGACAACAAAACAACCCTTAAATAATCAACCATTTGGATCAGTATGCAGGCTTATAAAACAAAAGTAGCGTCTGTGTCGGTGGGTGTTGGTGCGCTGAGCGCATGAATCACTCACAGGGCGAGTCCTGAAAGCCTCTTTGTCCGCTGGCTGACAGGCGGGTGACGGCCCAGCGCGCTGGCAGCGGTGAGTAACGGCTGACCCGTACAGGTGGTGCAGGTGGGCATCAGATCCGGACCGGATATGAGTGATGCAGGGAGCAGCTTTCCGCATACTGAGAAACGCCACCAACGGCTCACGCTGCAAAATAACACCCTAAAACTACACCTGTGGAGACGTGTACCCATGCAGGGGTTGAGCTGATAGGAACAATCCACATTATAGGAGTGTTTAATGACCTTGGTAAAGAAAGGTTTTTTTTCTAAGAGAAAATCCCTCGTGGCTTTTTATTGCCCCATGGGCGGCTGGAATGTTCTAAAAGTATATTTTTGCTGTTTTCAGCTGGTCATGCGGCAGCTCCTCCCTTTCCCCTGTCAGAAAATTTCACGCCCGGGGGGGGTGGGGGGGGGGGCTGAAGACGCGTCTTTGTCCGCTCACTGGAGACATTGTCCGTCTGTCCGAAAGCGCCCTCGGGGGCACAGACTGTGACTTTCCGGTCTTTTTTTTTTTTGGAACAGATGGTAATCATCTTTTCTGTCTGCTCATCGCTGCTCTCAGCTGCTTTGATTTATAAACGCGCGCACACACTGTGATTTATTCACTATTCCTATGCTCACGTGGAGTTTATTTGGTGTTTTGCATTAGTTTGTCCAACGAGGGCCTTCAATTTTTGACTTAAGTCTCCCAACTGTAGACCCCCCCGCCCCCACTCGTTGCAGCCACAGTGTGCAATTGTCTGTGAGAGTTTGATGGGATACCAAGCTAACACCTTTCATCGTTGAAGGCTTTAGAATATTAGTTTTTTCAAAGAGGTTGCTTAAACTGCTTAAACACCGTGCGTCTCCATGTAACTGTGTAGCTGATCATTGTCTTCTGCAGTCAGAAAGAAAGTGAAAAACCTGCCTGCGAAGAAACATTTCTGCTCAATGGGTCTCGCTGAAAAAAAGGCAACGCCCTGCTTCCCGCAAAGCGTAGACCGTGTCAGCCGTGAAGCAAATGGAAGGTGTGGGCGGCGTGCAGGAGAGCCACTGAACCCGTCCTCGGGGAAAGCGTCGGACTGAAAACTGAGAGAGAAACAGTCCGCTAACTAAGTGTAAATGCACTTTTTAATTTTCTGTTAAAATCCTTTTTGTTACTTTATAAATCAGCCACATTCCTCAACTGGAACAAAGTAAACGCACATACTAATTGCTCTAGAGATTCGGGCATGTCGGAGCGAGCAGTTTAATAGAGCCCTCCTATTTATTCACTCCCAAGACCGAAGGGGCATTGTGGGTACGACTCACTCGCTACAGTATTAGCTGTTACACTGCATAGGGGTGATTTTGAATTGAGTTCTTACAGAAAGGTACATTGGACTTTTTATTTTACATAAGGTCCGTATCGGTCATCAAGTATTGGTCAAACGGCTCTCGTCCATTCCACAGATTCCTGACACTTTAAATGTGAGAGTCCTGGACTGGAATGTTGGGGGGGGGGATAAATTGTCTAACATGGCCAAGTTAAAAGACAAAAAAATGATCTCGTACCCCGTCAAGTTTCAACTCGCTGTTGATCTTGAGCTGAACATCAGCAGGCACACACACACACACGCACATTTTGGGAGCGTGATTGACGGCCTCTGAGCGACTGTATGTGTCTGATTGGGATGTGCGGTGACACTGAAGAATGCGATCGCCTGCAGTCAGAGAAAGCAGAGCGAGGCAAGTCGAGCAGAGGGAGCAAAACAAGGCACGGGTACAAAGGGAGGAGAGGGGAGCCTCCCTTCTCCTCACAAGCCCGAACAGCTGCCACTCCCTGAACGCGCACTCCTCACAACACATAAAACCACTGGTACATGCACAGGGTTGAAAGGATGCTCAGCGAAGCCCCTGTTTGTTTGTTCTAACTTCAATTTATTCCCCTCAAACGCACAAAAAACGGTTTCACATGTGCAACAACCCCACACTGCGTACTGATGTTTTGTCTTGGTATCTTCTCGCCAGCTCTCTTCTCAGAGAAGGTGAGGAACATGTCCCCCGACAAGATCCGGATCCCCCCCGAGCCCCCCGGACGCTGCTCCAGCCAGCTACAGGTAGCCGCGCCTCCACGTCGCCCCTTTCACTCCTCTTTCCTGTGCTACACCACCCTCGCTGCCTGTCGCCTACCAAAGGCCGGCCGGGGTTTGTGGGTATTTTGAGCGAGCTTGCTGGACGAGTGTCGTTCTTTAACGTGTCTGCAGGCTTATTTGTGCTGGAGAAAGACTTTCCAGGTAGTGAATTTATGGCCCCAGAGGCTGGACGTCCCTGGTTGGTTTCCAGAGTTTAGTTTTAAGTTCACAGCGCCTGAGCCTTCCCGGTGTCGACGCCCCCCAAAATGAGCTGTTCTCCACGCCGAGTCAGCAATTGAAGTTTTACCTTCACTTCCCCACAAATACATTCTGGTGGCAACATGAATTCCAAAACACTCCCCAGTAACTGGAGCACGCGGCGTCATTGGTCACGGAAAAGGCTCCTGTTCCTCCACAAGGAGCGGAGGCAGGTCGGGACACACGGCTGACTAAATCCCCGCCGAGGCAGAACACTCCCCCACCCATGTGATGAGCACCTAATGACTCGCCTTCAGCCGGGCTGGGTATGCCGCCCCGGGCGCACACGTGTGCTTCCAGTGTGTGCTGCGGGTTTTATTAAACCTTTTTTTGAGCAAACCAGCGCGCAGGCTACTAAAGGCTTTGCGCGACCTTGAAAAGTAGACGTGACGTGACAGCCAAACAGCGCGGGGCGGTACAGGGGGAGAGGTGGGTCGACAAAGCCAGTTCCCTTCCCAGCGAGAACTCCAGGAATCTTGAATTTAGACATTGATTGAGAGCTGCTTCCTTTATTGAAGAGCAAGATGCAGAATATTTCTCACTGAAGTTCAAAGCCCGGAAAATGATGCTTGTGTTCAAACTCCATATCACAATCGCAGTGGTGGAAGATTACAAAGATTATGAACAAAATCACTTTGTTTTATGACGTCAGTTTTCAGATCGGATGATTGCGGAGCAGTGATAGCGTCTCCTTCCCGTCCTCCCATTTGGTCCCGTGTTGGCTGCACCGGCCAGCTCCTTGTGGCTCAGTTGAACCTGGCCGTCAAATATTTCCCCAAAGCGATCAGAAACTTCCCACACAATGGCTCCATTCACACTGCCTGTCGCTCCACCTGTGTAGTTTAGTTTATTCGGTGACACTGAGCCAGGGGGAGTTCGGGGGAAGCTGTGTTGATGACATCTGCTGCTTGTGCCCGTCTTTTGTTGATGTTTTGTTATTTTTGCAACAGGACAAGATCCACAAGCTGTACGAGAGGAAGCTGCACGGAGATTTTGACACAAACAACCACATCCAGAAAAAGAAAGAGTTTAGAAACCCAAGGTATGCATCAAAACACACACACACACACACACACTGCCAGTAACGCTTTTCTTGTGTCAACATGGTCTTTGTCTTTTTGTGTGTCTTGTAGCATTTACGAGAAGCTCATTCAGTTCTGCAGCATAGATGAACTTGGGACGAACTACCCGAAGGACATGTTTGATCCTCACGGCTGGTCAGAGGACTCTTACTATGAAGCTCTCGGTAAGCTGCTTTTAGCTTTGCCTCACACCTCGGCGTGCCGAGAACTCGACAAACAAGCGTGCGTGTGTTGTCCTTCCAGCCAAAGCCCAGAAAGTGGAGATGGACAAACTGGAGAAAGCCAAGAAGGAGCGGACCAAGGTGAGTCTGAAAATCAAAACAAAGAAACGCAAAAGAGAAGAAGAAAGAAAAAAAAAAAAAAAAGCTGTCGGATCTCTTCTGTTGCGTCGGAGGGCAAGTCCCCACCCGCTGCACCTAATTTCTACTTAACGTCCTCCATCAGACGCACGCAGAAAACTGCATTGCCAAGTTCAGCTCCCGTCACTGCAGCTCGGGCCCAAACCCGGTACGTCTTAACAGCTGAGCCGTGCCCATGCCTGTTTTTCACTGTTTTTCTGACGCGATGCACTTTCCAAAAACACACACACACACAAGTGCGTGTGAAAGAGTGTGTCTTTCTTTGCCAGCTATTTCTGCTGTTGGTTGTACCGCTGAATAATCCCTCTGAGGGGAAACGCGCTGCTACGATCAGCAGCATCATTCCAGCAGCTGCGCCTTAGTTTAGAAACTCAACTCAATGAGCACGCAGTCTACTGAGGCTGCTTCCGTATTCTCTACTGTGAAGTGTCAGCGCTACAAAGGAGGGAGATTGTTGGTGTGACAATGACCCGGAGGGATTGATCCCCCCCCCTCCTTCCTTTTGTTTTGACCAACAGCAACAGGTTGTGGTTGTAGGTTAGAAACCGGTTCACATCCAGCAGAGCCAGGAAAAGGAAATCAGCCGTCTAACGTCCTGTGCGTTTTCACAGATTGAGTTTGTCACAGGGACCAAGAAGGGCACCGTGGCCTCCAGCTCAGCAGCCTCCACCACCAGCAGCGCCGCCACCACCACGGCCTCAGGTACACGTCCGCCTCACGGATTCTGCTTGCCCCAGAAATGCACCGCGCTCCATCCAATGACCTGGCAACTGTGTCACTACCAAGTGGTTTTTCAAATCCGGCGAGCGCGACTATTCAGGACCGGGCGAGCTCTGTGTGCCATTTCCGTCTGCGTCCCCTTGGTGACGCGCTTCCGATCTGGCACCTGGCCGCCGGTTTTGATAACGGTTTGACGCCCGGAGGCACGGCAAAGTGAGGAGATACAGGCGCAGGGCAGGCGCGTCTCGTGAACATTGAGTTTCTTTTTCAGGAAAACGTGATTTTGTTGTTTTTCATTATTTATATAAATGTCACTTCATAATTGTAACTCTGTCCATAACAAGCATGTTTGCTGGCTAGCGGTCTTATCCAGGCTTCCTTGATTTTTGCGTTGCTTTGTTTCCCGCCCCCCATTGACCCGATGCTAAGCCCCGCTTCTGCTCCTTCAATCCCGCAGAGCTCACAAACTGCACTCCCTGCAGAAATATTATCTTAATGTTAGAAGTAAGCAATTTCAAGCAAAGAGTAGCTGACAGAAAAGTCCACAATATGCGTTTAAAGGACATTTCCAGGATGTCAAATGCATTGAGCTGCAAAATGAAAGGTGAACCCCTGCATCGCCTCGCTATCGAGACGCTTTTCCTGTAAAGCAGACTAAATCTTGATTCATTGTTCCAGTCATTAAAACGCTAAAGCAGCATGTGTCCAAATTTAGTACACTTTCAGTAGCTGGCATAGCATAGAGGTGCTAATGCTAATTATGCATGTGCAGGCTTACTCTCCTGAGCTGGCAGATTAAGCTATGTGATAATTAACCAATCTGCATTTAAGGGGCGGGACTTGGCAACTGTCAATTCAAGACTCTCCCAAAGTGACATCCGGTCTTTCCCCATCGTGGCGCTCTCACAGCTTTAATCACTGTGTGTTTGTTATCTGCAGAGGCCCAGAAGAGGAAGAGCAAGTGGGACTCTGCCATCCCCGTGACCCTGGCGCAGCCCACCCTCGTCACAACCACTTCCACCCTGCCTGCCGTCGTCTCCGTGACGACCACCGCCAGCGGCACCAAGACCACTGTCATCTCGGCGGTGGGCACCATCCTAAAGAAGGCGAAGCAGTGATGCATCCGTATCTGTCAGTGTGTATGAGTGAGCGTCCTTCAGGGAAGCTGCAAGACCTGCGTGCGTGTAAATATATATATATATATATATGTGTGTGTGTGAAAGGAAGCAGAGAGAGCTTGAACAAACGAGTGGACTCTTAAAACCAACTTACAAATTCCCTCTGCTACACTTAGATTGATCTAGAGACTTCACTGCCATCTATCTGGGATCTGATGGAGGCAAATCAACATTTGGCTGAAGAATCTCGTAGATCCTCTGAAAGCCAGTGTGTTGCGTGCAGATCTCATGCTAATAAAACATTCATTACTTTTTTTTGTAAATGTTTATGTTGCCAACAGCTGTCAGTTTTTTGAAGAAAGCACTGTTGCAATGATCTATTTTTCCATCCATAGTTTTGGTGTAGCATTTACACACACCTTGCAGTAGTTGTGTGTTGTAGGGTCGACAAGTGCATCATTTGTTCCATCATTGTCAAATTGACTACACGGTAACATTTTTTTTATGATTGTACATATGTATTGGTGATAAGTTGAATAAATGAATCGCATGTCTTTTTAATTGAATTACTGTTTTTGTTGTGTCTTTTTCTCTCGTTACAACTTGCAGACTGAACTCACTTTACCTGAAAGGGAAGCGAATGGACTGTTTGCAGGCAGAACGGAGAATCTCTCCAGCTCTCAAACAGACACACACAGTTTCTCTTTTTCTCTCGGGGAATGCATGTGTGTGTGCCAGGGGGAGCTTTGTTCTTCCTCCCCTCAGTCTCCACATGGGACTTCTATCTGGAGGAGGGGTGCAGTAAGGGGTTGGCGTACTTCTAAAGTCCCACTAGGGTTAAAGTCTACAGTGTGAGAAGGCCACCCTCCCCCACCCTCTTCGATCTTGACCTTTCTGTTTACTGTTCCGAGCCACAAATATTTATTCACAACCTTTTCACACTGAAATAGGGAATGTGTGCACAGTGTTTTGACTTGATACAAAGAAGTATGCAAAAATGATTTGCCTGTGCTCACATTGTTTTGTATTTAAAACCTTCTGTATTCATGTTGATGTCATAGAAAAATATACAACAGCTGCCATGAAGCGTGTTCTTCTCAAAGTTAAAAAAAAACAAAACGTTGAAGGTGAACGTTACAAAAATATTCTCTAGTGAGATCTGGGTGTGGTGCTCGACCCTAAAGTGTTAATGCAGGTTAAAGAATTGTGAAAAGATTGTGGCGCCGCCCTGGACAACCGATGACTTCCAGTTGAATCATCACATCTGGCCTCCGAGCCATCGCAGAACTAATACATTCGGTACAGAAGATGAACGAAATGCCCGTGGTGTTGCTTCTTGACATGTTTCTGCAGAGCCCGGCATTCAAACCCAGAACTAGAAAAATGCAGCTCCACTTAGTCTGTTCCATGTGTTATGCTTATATATCCCATTAATGTTTTAATTCAGGATTATATTATTATATATTAATATATTATATATATTACAATATTTTACAATTTCTCTGCAAATGTCCCCTTTTCTCCACAAATCGAAGTGGCCTCGTTTCCGTGTAGTATTCCAACCTCATAAGGTGAGTTGTGTAAAGTCAAGGCTGTGAGCAACAAATGCAGGATGTTCTTTGAAGGAATGCTATCGGGGTGATTCACCGTTACGAAACCCGCAACACTGCAAGCGCGCGCGTGTGTGCCTGTGTTCCGGTGCGCGCGCGCACACCTTGCAGGTGAGCGCGGGAGACGCACCCAATGAACAAATTGTACTAAACAGGTCACGACGTTTCCCTCAGCCGTCACACTGACTCCTTTTTCTCACGTAGTACTTAATTAAAGCAGAATACGGTGTCCGTGATATCGTTAAGCCCCAGATACAAAATATCAAACATGAGCGTGTTATTTGTCAATAACATGTTATGTTGCTTTAGGCCTGATTAGCTTCAGCTATTAGCATTGACAGAATGGCATTTCTGTTAGCTATTCCATGTAATGCTACTACAGTATTTTAACCGGGTCATATAAAGCGTACTTGGTATATTATTCTTTCCCGCGTAAAACAACGTGAACCGTCGCGCTTTCATCTTTGTTCTGATTCGCAAACAGATGTTTCACTTATTGTTACTGTTACTGTTGTCCGTGTTGCTCTTTTCTGTCTCTCTGCGATGTGACAGATTTATTGGAGCATAAAAGGAGTCTCCGTCAGACGCACTGAATGACGTCACTGATCCAAAAACTGCGGGTTTTCTCCTGTAAACTGGTGACAAGTTGGGCTCCGACCGGACTCGGTTTGGGGAGACTTGCTCTACTGGATTTAACTTCGATTCAAGAAAACATACGATTCTTCCGATTCTTCTTCCTCTTGAATTCCAGACGCCTTCTTTTGAGCTGATGACGTCATTTCACCTCTTTATCACCTTGTTTACGGTAGGTGACGTCATGGTAGGCAGGTATTTTGCTAAATATGCCATAGCCGTGATACCCCGTGGTCATAGTTTTAGGCTACTGTATGTGCACGAATGAATAATTTCATTTCACATTTTACATTTAATAAGCTTTCCACTTTTTACCTTTAAATTGAGTTTTTAGTACAGTAATGTGAGCGACCACTGTCTCATGTTGGCTCTCCATGATGTCCCAGGTCGTCCCAAGTTAATTCATTCACTATATCATCTGGGTTGAAGATAAAAGCCATACATTTAAAGCAGTCCCATATTTTATATTGAAACTAAAAGCCATTTAATTAAAATTGTTTAAGGGCCGTGTGCAAACATCTCCTCAATATTGTCTCAGTGTCCCTATTTGCCACAAAAATATTTCATATTAAATGAGCATAACCAAATAGACATTGTAGGGGTTTGGTGGATTCCCACTTTGGGTGGAAACATAATGAGTACTTTTAATTTGGTTCGATGTCAATGTTCCACGCACCCTCATCCTCATACAATGGTTTGAATCATATCTTACCAAAACATTTTTTCCATGTTTCGTCTAGCCTCCTAAGAAAGTAGAGCCACTCAATCCATCAGAATTCTGCGCACAGCCTTGCAGCTGATTAGACAAAAAATCTACGAGGTTATGTTCAGGAAAAGTTGTGGTTTGGTTTCAGATGAAGTGTGTTTACTTGTTTACATTTAAAGTATTTTAAATTTTAGTATTTTAAAGTATTTTAAAATGTGAACAGTCTCCTGGGTGAAAGTCCTGTGTGTGTTTGACCCTCTTTCCCATCTTCCCCAGGCAAACCTCCCTTTATACTACGTTGTCTAAGGAAAGTTAGGCAAATTGCAGTGTTTTACTCTTTGTAGGTTTAAGTGTAGATGATGAATTGGAACAGCCTGTAATATTCCCTTGCTATTATTTTACTATTGATTCTGTTATGTTTTTCCTTCTGGAGTAGGATCTTCTGTGTTATGATGCGTTCGCTCACTCTAACTTCTGTTTACTGAAAGCTCAAATCAAGCCTGAAGAGCTTCTTCCTTGAACCAGAACAAAGATAAAGTGGGCGGGCCGCTCCTTTTGGCTCCGCCTTCGGCAAGTGCCCAACTGTCCAAGTGTCGGCCAAAAAAGCGAGATAGGATTGTCTCTGCAGAGGTTTTGTTCACCCCCCCCTCCCCCCTCAAGAGAAGTTAGCCATTGTATAAAAGCAGATCTGGTTGCTGGGAGCCTGACTTTGTCCCCAGTGGGAATAGCCCAGTGTGGTATGCACAGAGGAGAGGGGAGGGTTGTTTTCTCCTCTGAGTCATGTTCTCTAATTCCAAGATAAGTGTCCGAGGTTCACCATGGCTACTGGTCAGGGTCTGTGTGAGTCCAGTTGGGGGGCGAGTGTGATGCGGCGGTCTGCAAGAGGAAAGGCATTTGTAGAGAAGTAATCCAAACTGGAACTCCTGCTGCTTCCCTCCATCCTCTGTCGGATTGCTGCCTAAACTAAGAAAGGAGCAATGTATAATGCAATGTGTTCAGTGTGTACATGAGTTGGTGCTTAGTTGATTAGATGTTATTTAATTCAGTATCATGTGCCATGTGAGCAGCACAACCTAAACCTAAATATGAAGGATTCTCACAACCTGTGTTGTATCATCCGCATGTTTTATATAATCAATACACTGAGAATATTTAGTAGCTGGTCTGATTCCTCGTGTGGGCGCTGGGTCATCCGCATGGAAATGAAATACAGCCGAGTGGATCAAACCGTCTCTGTCAGAAAGGCCAGAAAATGTCTTTGCGAATACTCGTCCTGTGGATCCTTGGGGAGGTTTCACAATAGCAGCAATGCCAGAGGATTGATTCACCATCTGAGCTCTATTCAGACATATGTAATTAAGAACAAATATTCAGAATAAAGGTTTGATTGGAGATGTATATCTGTTCATGGTTGGTGTCGTGTGTATAAAGTATGTAACTTTGTGATTGGGGTTCACATCCCATCACATAAGGACGGGGACATTCTAACCATGACCACGGTTCCACCTCAACATTATCCAGTGGTGGAAAGTAACTAAGCACATACAGTTCTGTACTTCAGTACTTGTACTTTGTGGGAGAATTTCCATTTTCTACTCAACATCATAGAGGGAAATATTGTAGCTTTTTTCTTTACTTTTATTCTGTAACTTTAGTTACTAGTTACTCTCAATATACAAAACATGATATAAAATGTGGTCAAACCATAATTAACAAATAAAGGATTATATAATTATCTCAATAATACTCTGTTGTTCCCCAGTTGGATATATGATTTAAATTTGCCAGCTTTGAATATTAAAGCATTTAGCACATCAGACAATGATATTTATAATCAAACGAAGTATTTGGACTATTGTTCAAAATTAGTTTTTATTTTATTTGACATGCAGGACTTTTACTTGTTACACCTGAACCCAACCAAGAACCAAGTGGTCGCTAGGACCCCGGTTTCAGTGCACGGGGTCAAAAGGGTCACTTTGGAAGGCGCTTCGGTAGATTAGCTGTTTGGCTGGTAAGCGTGGAGAACTTGTTGGAGCATATTTAAACCTGTGATCCTTTAGTTGTGAGACTGTCTTCACAAACATGTCCACTCCAGCCCCATCAGCTTGAAAGTGGTTTCACTTCCAAGAAAAAGGGGCGAAAAGGTACCTGGCCAACAAGATGTTCCCTCAAGTGTCTGACAAGCAGAAAATGTTGCCGTCAGCACGAGCGTGCTGTTGTGTGTTGCAAGAGTCTCCAAGTCGTTTCCCATGGCCTGCAGGCAGTGTTCTGCTGCCTGTGCCACTCCCAACGGCCTGGGAGGAGGAGGAGGAGGAGGAGGAGGAGTAGCCTCAAGCCCACACAGGTGAACTGCTGGTGTGGAATGCAGAGAGAAGGGGGGCTCTAACACACAGAGGTGTGGAGCTTCTTTAACTTAATCAGGGAGGGGAAGATAGATGTGTGTGCGTGTGTGAGAGAGAGAAAGTGTGTGTGTGTGTGCGCGTGTGCAGAGGCTAAAGTAGGGATACAGTCACAGCCCTCTCCCGGCCGCTCTGGGTCTCCCTATCTCTCCCCCGTACACACTTAAAAACACACGCAGCGAGACGCACACACAAACACACACGCTCGACTGAGCTGAGCTTAAGGACAACAGAGTCAATATTTGACCAGACCCAGCGGACTGTACGGGGAACAGAAGACAGAAGGGGAAAAAAGTTTGTCCTTTGAACTTGGACACGAGGACTTGGAGGAGAAGTTTTCTTTCCTTTTCCACAGGTGGATTCAAACTTTCCCTCCGACTCTTTGAGTGAAGCGAAGCAACAAGGATTTTTTTTTTCTCTTATTTATTGTCGGACTTTTGGACTCGGACTGGGCGAGAGCGCAATAAGAGGTTTGTTTAATCAGTAATCTCTTTTCATCCGATCCAACTTTCCCAAATGGCTTATTTTGTTTTCAAAGCTCCTTCACCTTCAACATTCTCCTAAAATGTTCAGATTTGATCCGCTTGCTCACATCCGCCCAACTTTTCAGAATTGCACGCCTGAAGGCTCAGGCCGGTTTTATTTTCTTATTCTGTTTCAAACAGCTGCCCACATCAGTCTACGATGCAGCTCAGGTGAGAGAAACTGGAAAGCGGGAGGGAGTGTTTACGCGAGCGGGTTTGAGGACATTTTTTATCCTGGTGTTGAAGTTCCTCAGCGGTGAACTCGGTAGCTTGGGAGGCCGTTTTCTTGCCCAGGTGTGTGTAGCCGGTGGTTCGTCTGTAGCCACAACAACAAAGGGCTTTGAACTCTGGAGGAACGTCTTGTCTGCCGTCCCACTGACTCAGTTCTATTCCTCGTCTCTCCCTCACTGTAATTTGTGTCCCCCAGTTTTATTGTCCGAGCCGTGAAGGCCTCCGCGCATATGATTTGGTTTGAAACGGAGGGGAAAAAGCACAAAGTGCCTTTTCTCCTCGCGGCTCATTTATTCTGTGACTGCTGGTCAAGTTTTAGAGGACAGGAGCGTGTCTGTTTCCCCCCCCCTTAGTTGTCTCAGTCAGTGATTTATGGGACAGCGCATTGCATGAACTCATGCACACACCTGTAGTCAAGCTCACGGCGATGTGCTACGGGGCCTTTCCCATGTGTTTTTTCAACTTGTTTTGAACGGCGACTGGCCGTTCTCTCGCCTCAAGTCGAAATTCCTTCTCCACAAATCACCAGTATTCAGTTCTCTACCCATTGAGACCATTAAGCAGACATTTCATGACACATAGGGCCGTTTGTTGGCTCTCCACCTCCTGTCATTAGTGGAGATCCTTTTTCTTGTTGTTTTTTCTGCTTACTTGCAGCTCGCTGTTCATCTGCCTTCTCTTTTTTTAGAGATTCCATCATACATTGTGCATCTTGTGGTTTTGTTGTGGAGAGTCGACACAGCACGCAGCCGAGAATATTTCCAGGTCCCACCCTGCACTCGTCTCTTCCTGTCATTATTTTTCTACCACATTTAATCATGTCACAACAGGCTCTTTATAGTTTGTCTCGATCTGTAACGAGCTAGCAGGCGGTGCGGCAATTAAAAACGTTAAATGCAAGGGATGGCAATTAAATCCAGATATAGACAGCATGGTAAGATTTTACGCAATAAAAAAACATATTTGGCCATTTAATACATCCACGTTTTGAGATATCGGTCTTTATGCGTCCAGCCCAAATGTATATTGGAGGTGAGTAGATTCTCTTACTGTGTAATTAGCAGACGTTGACGCTGACAGTTTTCCAAAGTTCAATTTCTTCTGTACAAAGTTGTTTAAAATAAATATATCGACACATTTCTATTTGCTTCCATCTTATTAGTATGTAGGCAGAAATCTCAAAAGATACATACGTCCACATTTGAAAATGAAAACCGTGCTAGATAGACCCTTTAAACGGGCACGCAGGTCGCCATTCATGCCTGTACACAGGTATCAAAGGAATACCTGTGTCTGTGGGTGAAGGGGAGAGTTCGGGCGTGTTCACTTTCACCGTGGGCTGAACTGAGAGAAAATACGGGTGGTTCAAGTTACGCCTTTAGTCTGCACAGATATGGCCAGCGGAGGAAGGCCTTTCTCTCTCTCTTTGCACCGGAGCGTTTGAGCTGCACACGTGCAAACACGGAATGCACGTGTTTGTGTCGGCAGGAAGGAGATGGGGAGATGGACGCCGCGCCTGTCAGCAGAGCTCGGGCTGCTCGCCGTCTTGTTGACCTGCTGTTGTGCCCAAGGTGAGGAAGCCAATCATTTCATGTCACTAAAAGTTACCCATCCGTATGTTATTTTGTATCCAAGCAGTTGCCTAAACATCAATCCCCAAGCATCTCTCTTTTAGTCTTAGCGAGTTTTCAGGAAGGTGACTTATTTGTTGAAGTCATTTATCAGAGAAAGACACTCTCTGTTCCACGCCTCTGGGATGCAGGGATTTTGTGGTTTCTTTTGTTTACACAATTAAAAAAAACAATGGGACACTTCACCGTGACCTCTGGGAGATTGTTAATCGATTTTGGCACTGACCCTAACTCTAACCCTATAAACAAAATAGTTGATATACCATTATGGTTTAATCATTTAATAATGAGTTAGTTTAATAAGGCTGATATGAAATGGAGACCGTTTTTTTTACTGCTGTACCATTGTTGCGTTGGCGTAGCCTGGAACACTATCGGGGGAATTCCAAGGCTGTTTAGTGTTACTGAAGGTATTCTAGCCACGCTTAATGCGTCTAACTCTCACTTTGTTGCCTCCCCAGAGAACCCCTGCTTCGCCGTCAGGGCCGGGACCTGTTCAGAATGCCTGCAGGCCTGGAAAGACTGTGCTTATTGCCCTGAGGAGGTGAGAGCATAAAACAGCAGCTACGCGCTCTTCTCTTCAACGTGATAACAAATTACAATTTATAATTTGACAAGTTAAACTCAACCTACTGGTTTGTTTTGGTGAGCTTCCAGTTTTTGTCTTCATCTGAGGAAGGGTTTTACAATACAGTGAAATGCAGTAATACAGTACAGTTGTGAAACACCTTTTTTTGGACCTCAAACAGGTCAGCTCTGATACACGAGATGGCTATAGAAAGACTTGGAGCAGTAATGTCCAGAAAGCGGCACTCACTAATACTTTCTACTAAAACTTTCTTTTGGCTCAGAGCTTTAAGGGCCCTCGCTGTGACCTGTACGAGAACATAATCGCCCACGGCTGCAGTGCTGCGGCTGCACTCACAGCTAAAAGCAGTATGATGATAGAAAGAGTAAGTCTTCACCACTCCCAAGCATTCCTCCAGTCTCAAATGTATGCTGTTGTCTGAAACACAAAAGTTGAAAGTTGTGACTTTTCATCCACCTGTGCTTCCTCTCGCTGCTCAGAAGCAACCTATCAACATGAGGCTCAAGCAGTCCCAAGTGTCTCCGCAGCAGGTCAGCATGAGCCTCCTGCCAGGAGAGGAGAAGGAGGTGGATGTGGAAGTGTTCGCCCCAACCAAAGGCCCCCTGGACCTTTATATCCTTATGGACTTCTCCAACTCCATGGTTGACGATTTGAACAACCTGAAGAGGATGGGCACACAGCTGGGTGAGCGTCTTTGCATCGGCAACTTGTCGTGCCGACTGTCGAGTGAGTTGTTGTTGTTCAACGCTGACGCTGAATGCATTTCCTGTAGCTTCTTTGGTGAAGGATCTGTCGGACGACTACACCATCGGGTTTGGAAAGTTCGTGGACAAAGTGGTCGAGCCCCAGACAGACATGAGACCCTCCAAGTAAGCGGGAAAATGTCACACTTGGGGAAAAAAATATCGCCCCTTCACACGATGGATTAAGCTCTGTTTCTCGTCTTTTTTTTGTCCTTCCTCCGTTCAACTTGGCAGACTGAAGGAGCCGTGGCCCAACAGCGACCCGCCGTTCTCTTTCCAGAACGTCATCAAGTTGACCAGCGACGCGGCGTTCTTCGACAGTGAGCTCCAGAAGGAGAAGATATCTGGCAACCTGGACGCTCCTGAAGGAGGCTTTGATGCCATATTGCAAGCTGCCGTTTGTGGGGTTAGTAGCGTCCAACCCTTTCAGAGAAGTTCATACAATGCTGCGGTGATCACAGTCGTCTCTCTGTACTTCCGCTCACCTTTGATCTTCTTGTAGGATAAGATCGGCTGGCGTGACAACAGCACGCATCTCCTGGTCTTCTCCACCGAGTCGTCCTTCCACTACGAGGGAGACGGTGTGAACGTGCTGTCGGGCATCTTGGCGCGCAACGACGAGGGCTGCCACCTGGACGCAGCGGGCAAATACACAAAGGATACACAGCAGGATTACCCTTCAATACCCACGCTGGTCCGTCTGCTGGGCAAACACAACATCATTCCCATCTTTGCCGTCACCGACCACTCCTACACGTATTACGAGGTGGGTTGGGCTTCCATTCAAACTTGGAGTCAGGGTTTCTAGGTCGGAGTTTTAGGTCGTAGATTAATTTTCTTACTTCTCGGTTTAGAAACTCCGAGAGTACTTCCCCATCGCGGAAATCGGTCGCCTGCAAGAAGACTCGTCCAACATCCTGACACTCATGCGGGTCGCCTTTGAGGTGAAAACGTCACCTCCTCAGGAGGAAGAGAACGCGGCTTTTTACAGTCGACGGTAACTCGGTTGACCAATCGAGTCGAATGGCTGTGTAATCGTCTGCTTGTCGGCGTTTTGGTTTGTCCTTGCAGAGTATCCGCAGGAAGATGAGCATCCGTGCAGAGGACAAACCAAAGGCTTTCGTGACAAACTTCTTGGACACCAGTGGAAGAGTTGTAGAGCACGGGGCCTTTGATTTCAAGCCTGGCGCAATAGTAAGAAAAAACATCATGTACATCCGTGACTAGTGGAAAGAAAACATGCAAAAATACTTATAGTTTTTTATTCTACTTTTTCCATTTGTGGCTGTAGATCCTAAATTCACCAAAACATAGCAACAGAACACGCCTTATTTGCATACTTAAATATAACATTCCCGAAAACGTTTTATAATGATATGTAGATATGTAGTTATAATTAGAATCACTATTTCATTCCATTAACTCGGATAATAAGGATAATAAGTTTCTGGAATTGTAAGCAAAAATGTAGATTACCCTTCTTACTAATCTAAATGTGTAAACATTATTAGGTAGTGTACTCAAAAAGTGTAGAAATGTAAATGTATGTTCCTTTGAATCTAGTCATAGAAATGTCTGGGATTTCTTGTTGCCAATATTTGAATTATTGTCCATGTCAATGCAGCCATCAGATGAACCATTGGTTCATATAGAATTTTGCTCAATTAAACTAATGATTGACTTCAATTATTTTTTATGTCACCTTTTACAGGGTCTTCATTTCATTTCATCCCCAATATCAACGTTGATAGTGCTGAGATGCTATGCTGTTGAAGTGGACACAGACGCTCTAACATTGTGTGTTGTGTTTGTGCGCCAGGGCAACTTCAAGATGCGGCTCTCGGCCCAACAGATGGTCGGCGGCAAACCTGTCTGTCAGCTGGAACCGCTTGGAAAAAAGGGGTCAATCAGGGTCAAACCGACAACGTTCAACGCTGCCGCCAATGTTGACGCTACAATTCTGTGTCCGAGCTGCGAGTGTGAGAAGGTACACAAACAGATTGACACCAAAATGCGCAAAACAAAGCCAAGGAGAAGCCATGTACACACTTGTTTGTACAGCACATTCATCCCGGTGTTTACTACCTTTCCTCCAGTCCGCCATCCCTGCAGCAGCCAAGTGCCACGGACACGGAGACCTTGTGTGCGGGAGATGTCAGTGCTATGACGGCTGGTGAGACTTTAACTGTTCGTTCTTACAAAGAATATTTCCCCCGAGGGACTGTTCCGGGTTCAACGACGTCTTTTACTCCTTCAGGCTGAGCACCTTCTGTAACTGCTCAGAAAGTTCTGCGGCTCAGGACACCAGCCGGTGTTTGGGTCCGGATATGAAAGACCCGTGTTCCGGCCGTGGGGACTGCCTGGAGTGCGGGACCTGTGTGTGCTACAATCCGGATCAGTTTGAAGGGGAATACTGTCAGTACGACAAGACAGATTGTCAAAGATATGGCGGCTTCCTCTGCAACGGTACGGCAATTTGCGGTTGTTAAATTGATGATGAGGGGTGAATGTGTGACTTTTTTCTGCTGCCCACAAGTGGCAAAAAGAAAAGTCTTTTATATGAATCAATTTTCACAGATCTTTATCTTCCTTTTAATGAAAATGTTGCAATTTGTTTGCAATGCTAAGTTCCACATTTATTTTCCAATACTTTTTTATTTGAATGATAACAAAGCATTGTATTTATTGCTTTGATTTTCTCCATTTTGACAACCAAGAGGTCAAAAGGACCTAAGAAATTGACTTAAAATAATAAATAAAATTGAAAAATAAAAATGAATTAAAACAATAACAATTACAATTATTTAAAAAACATGCACAACAAGTCTTGTGCTGCATTTGTATTATTTTTACTTCACTCTGAGTACTATTTATGGTTTGTCCTCAAACCATTTTCCCCACACACCACTTCATGATACAGTTGAATTTCACTCTTTATTCTCTCCTCAGACCGCGGCTCTTGTATCCGGGGTCGGTGTGCGTGCAATGAGGGCTGGGCAGGCAACGCCTGCGAGTGTCCCAACAGCAACGCGACCTGTCTGGACAGCAAGGGCGTGAGTAGAGCCGACCGCTGGTGTTAGTGGGTGATGTTATGAGGTCACATTACACGTATTCACGAGGCTGACTGTGCGTTTATCTGCACCAGGGCGTCTGTAATGGGCGAGGAGAATGTGTCTGCGGACGCTGTAAGTGTCCCGAGTCCGACATGAGTATGACTTCCACGTGTGCCCCAAATTTCGAGGTGAGTGGATGTAAGGTATAGACACGTGTATTTATGACTTATTTTACGGAATATTTATACGTAACTGTGTGTGTGTGTGCCGCCTCTAGGCCCAGTTGGGTGTTTGCGAGGGCACGAGGTCTTGCGTCCAGTGTCAGGCCTGGAAAACAGGAGAGAAGAAAGACAAAACGCAATGCGACAAATGCCCCTTCAAAATTGTCTTGGTGGATGAACTCAAAGAAGGTATGCACATTACAGAGAGGCAAACGGTTAAATGACCCGCTACGCTGTGCACCTCATCGCTTTAAGGTGGTTATGATGATGCTACTTAGCAGCAGTGCCTGAAGACACTCACGTGTGTACATGCTTTCAGAAAAGGACGTGGCGCATTCATGCAGTTTCCGTGACGAGGAGGATGACTGTACGTACCGCTACAACGTTGAGGACTGGAAACCTGATTCCAAAGTTAAAGAGCTGCAGTTCCAGGTGCTCAAAAAAAAAGGTGGGCTGCAGGTTTGATACGTATCACAGTAACAAGTGCTCGGTCTTCTCATTTCAGCAGCTGATGTATCGTTTTTTAAAACAATCATTTGTAATTTTGTGTCTTAGAGGGTATTTTTTATAAATTAAGCTACGATGATCAATGTTAAAAAGGTGATGGACATGTAATCCATTAATTTCTCACTTCGGTCGTTATGAACGATAAGTTCGGAGGCTTTAAGAAAAACCTGACCTATCCCCGCAGTACAAAGGCAGGAGCCTTGTGTACCTCCATCGTATTGTGTGTAGAACAGGTATCTTAAAACCTGGACAAATGACATCCAAAATATATGTATTACTTAACACAACAGGAAGTGAATATCAACAGCAAATCCTCGCTGTGTGAAACGACTGAAAATGCCTGAAAGCCCCAAACTGGAAGACAGCACAATGAGTCTAGAACAGTAACATGAGCCGGCAGCGCTCTGAATGATAGTACCCTTTGCGTCGTACCTTCAGATTGTCCCCCTGCCAGCCTCCTGTGGTTGCTCCCACTCCTCTTGTTCCTCTTGTTGCTGCTGGCACTTCTGCTGCTGTGCTGCTGGAAATACTGCGCTTGCTGCAAAACGTGCTTCCAGGTATGAAACCCTCACATTTACACCCGTAGATAATGTATATTTACCACGTCCCAGTGGAAGTAATGCCCCTTCTGTCTTCTCTTGACACAGAGCTGTCTTGCCCTGCTGCCTTGCTGTAAAGGAGGTAGGAATCACACATGACAGTCTCGCTGTAGATGCTTTACCCTCCCATCAAGGACTCTGCTGGATTTGCGTCACCCTTGTATTGTGTTCCCTCCAGGTCGTATGGTTGGCTTCAAGGAAGATGAGTATATGTTCCGCCAGTCTCTGCTCACCTCAGACCATCTGGACACGCCGATGGTGAGGACCGGCCCACCCAAAGGAACCGATGTGGTTCGCTGGAAGGTCACAGATAACGTGCACCGATCCCCCACTCACCCGCAGGTTCTGATGAAGCCCAACCCGAAAGAGATCAGTGAGTGATGCGCAACTATAAACTTACCGACTGCATGTGAGACAAATGAATTTAGAGGCAGGGGTGACGCCGGGTTTGGAGATGAAATGATGTAACTCCGTTGTTGGTTTTCATGGCTCCCTTTTCGCCTTGTAGTCCCGTTCCCCATCTCTCTGCGGCTAAACAGGCTGTTCTCTGAGAACCTTTCTCGACCCGACTCCAGAGATGCCGAACAGCTCCGCAAGGAAGTTGCCGATAACGTGAGTGTGTTTTTTTGTTTAGCTGTGGCCACATTGACAACTGCGTCTCTGAGTACTAATCCTAACCCTTCTGTTCTTCAATCCAGCTAAATGAGGTTTACAAGCAGATCCCCGGCGCCCAGAAGGTGCAGAAAACCTTATTCAGGTAAGATGTGTGTCTGACTAGTTACTGTACATACAGTATGTTACTTTAGAAAACAAACCATTCAGAGGTAATTGCACGCTGGTTCAATTCTATCCTTCATACTACAAATAAAACAAAAATGGAAATAAGATGTCTGTGCTTGCACTCATCAACACCTGTTTTCTTTTTGGCAGAAAGCAGAAAAATGCCGGAAAAAGGTAACATTTCTATTGATACAATGAAACATCAGCAGAGTTCGTTGTTTTTTGTTGGACACTCTGGTCGTTCATGTATAACTTCTCTGAGTCTTCTGTGCTCTTTAGGCAGGACTTTGCCATCATGGACACCGTCCTGTCTGCTCCTCGCAGCAGCTACCCTGACATCGTCAAACTCACCCAGAAAAATGTCCAGTCTGGAAACCTGCATGATCTCAAAGTGGTGCCCGGCTACTACACAGTGGCCACAGATCGAGGTGATTGTCAACTATTTCCTTGTGGGGGTGAAATCAAAAAAGAAAATTCCTGAACTCAACAGCGTGCATTATCAATCCTGCTATAAATCCTGCCGCCCACTGTGTTCTCCCTCTGCAGAGGCTGCAGGAGCCATTGAGTTCCAAGAAGGCGTGGGGTCGGTAGACGTCCACGTGCCACTCTTTGTCAAAGATGAAGACGATGACAAGAAGCAGTTGCAAGTGGAGGCCACGGATGTGCCTCTGGGCATCGCTGAGATTGGAAAACGTTTTGTCAACATCACTATCATAAAAGAACATGGTGGGAGACCTCAGACTGTAGATTTGTACTTTTGCGTCAAAGATGAGATGTATAACTGTCACTGAGGATTGCTCTAATGAAGTCTTCTCTTCCATTTTCCCAGCCACCGGCGTCTTCTCGTTCCTCCAGCCGGCTTACACCTACAGCAGGGGGGACGGAGTGGCCCACATCCCCATCAGCAAAGAGATCATTGAAGAGGGAAGCTCACAGGTCACATACCGCACACGGGACATCACAGCTAAGGATAAGAAGGTGAGCTGATGTGCTGCCTCCTTCTACCTTCAGCAACATTTAGACTTGCTATCCACAGTTGGCGTTTGTTGGGTGAAAGGACATGCATTTGTTTGTGACCACTAGGACTGCATTCCTATTATGTTTTGTATTGAAGGACTACGTGGCTATGGAAGGTGACCTGACCTTTGGTCCGGAAGAGACCCAGAAAATAGTGCCTGTTCGTCTGCTGGAACTGAGCGAGAAAGATGGCCTCCTGGCAGACAAACAGGTCAGGCAGTTTGCCATTGATCTTAGCAACCCGCGGCAAGGCGCCAAGCTGGGACGCTACCCAAGAACTACGGTCACCATCGCAGACGAGCCAGGTGAAAAAACGAAGCCTTACATCAGCGCCCCTCACCCTTCTCGTAACCCGGGGTGCCAACTGCCATGGTTCTTTCCTTCCCTCACGTGATTTTGTTTTACCCAGATCCCAGTGTGATGATGTTCAAAAAGGGCTCCCAGAACTTCAGCACAACAGATCCAACCTACACCATCCCTGTGGTCCGCACACGCAACCAGGACATCCCGGCCACAGTGAAATGGCGCACCAAGAAGGCCCAGCGCTTTGAATTATCGGACCTTCTGAAGTTTAGTCCTGGAGAGACGGAGAAGAACATAGTGATCGACCCGAGGGCTCACCCTGGCCCAATCCAACCTGAGACCATCCAACTGGAGCTGTTTGACCCGAGTGTCAACGCTACTGTTGGAGAGAGGAAGACCACCCTTGTCAATGTCGCTGACGGACGTAAGGCGCAGAGTCATTTGTTGCAAAGAATTTGTGGAGTTTCTGGCGTTGGAGTGTTTTCAATTTGATATGATGACTGAAGCGAATATTCTTAAGTAACGTATCTGGTAGATGTTTGACTCATCCTGTCCCTTCTTCCCCTTCAAGCACATTACAAACCTTTAGAGATGGAGCAGGTGCAGAATAAGAGCGCCGTAAAAGGCGGTCGCCTTTTCTCCCCAACTAACCTTAAGGCCAAAGCAACTGGACCCAGAAACATCCGCCTCAACTGGGACGCAGGGTCTGGGAACCCCGCGGGGTACAAGGTACACATCGATCCTGAGAGTTGAGAAGCCTCAACTTGGTCTCACAATCGTCATCAACATTGCCACTGTTTTCCTCAAACGCTGAATCTTGTCTTTTCATGTTTATTTCAGGTAAAGTATTGGGATCTACGGCGACCCAGAGAAAGACGCCCAGGTCTTAGATGTGAAGTCTCCCCAAGCTGAGTTGACTGACCTGTACCCCTATTGTGACTACGAGATGAGAGTGTGCAGCTACAATGCATTGGGTGATGGAAGCGATACAGACATTGTTACCTGCCAGACACTTGAGGATGGTAATTACTGACATTTCAATGAACTGATGTCAATCCAAGATTGATTTTGATTTGTATTATTCACTTCACGTTACAATCGCTCCCTGTTGGTTTTGCCTCCAGCGCCTGGTGAACCCGGACGTCTGGCCTTTAATGTCATCAGTCCGACTGTGACTCAGGTCAGCTGGGGAGAGCCTGCAGAGACCAACGGCAACATCACGGCTTACGAGGTCATCTACACACCCATCGATGACGACCTGAGTGAGACATCGGCCTAAACATAAGGAAATGCTGTACAGATATTTGCAAGATGTTATTTTTACCATCTTGCAATGATCTCCTCACAGAGGCAGTGGGCGCTGCTAAGAAAGTAAAGATCGACAACCCCAAGAAGCGAATGCTGTTGATCGAGAACCTCCAGAGAGCCCAGACCTACCAGTACAAGGTCCGTGCCATGAACAGCATAGGCTGGGGCCCCTTCAAAGATGCCAGCATCAACCTGGCATCACAGCCTACTAGACCTATGTCCAGTAAGTCGGGGGGTGTGCAAACATACCCCAGGAACACATCCAGTCGGTATGTGGTTCCCTGAAAATAGAAACATCTCCCTGTCTTTCTGTCCCTACAGTTCCCATCATTCCCGATGTCCCTATTGTGGATGCAGAGGCAGGAGACGAGTACGACGGCTACCTGATGTACAGCAATGAAGTGCTGAGGACCCCCACAGGCTCTAAGACACCGAGCGTCTCTGGTGATGGTGGGTACCCGGAGCCAAAACCACCAGCTACTTGTAACAGCTGATGGTGTAAACTGATTGTTCTTGTCACATTGTGCATGTCACACTGCCAGTGTGAGCTATCACTGTAATATGGATCCAATCCACATTCAAAGTGCCCTCAGGCCTTGTTCTTGCAGCCAAGTGTTTAGCCCATGTGCTCATGCCGTATGCCCTGTGGTGTCATTTGCCTGGTCAGAAGGTGAGGGAATGAACTGTCAGTCGTAGCTGTGTTGTCGGGAATGTCGGTGGCTTGTGAGACTCCTCTCTGTTACCTGTCTCATTTTTACAAGAGTGTCACTCAGGCAGAGCTGGAGGAGGTGTGAAGCTCAAAGCGGGCATCGTTTTTGCGTCATCTGGCGGGCATTTGTGCCTCCATGCAACACCACTGCCAGGCGGCAACAAAATGGCCGTCAAATATAGATAGTAGTGCTTTACAATGAGAGACTGCAAGGCCTTCTCTCCTCAAATCTGCTACTGCCCAACTTTCTGCAGACGTTTTTTTGTACTCCTTTCTCTGGAACTGAATGCAGAGATAATTTGGGCTGCTGTGACAAGAATTAACATATGAATATATACACTTCCAAGGTATATTGTAAAATCCCATTCATGTGCTTGATAGTTTTTTTGTGTGTAAAGAACAGCATAGTGAAGCCGACCCTTAGCACTTCTACGCTCCAAATCTATCCTTCGCCTGCTTGCCTCTCCCATATGACCTCGCACACAAGGCTGGAAATTTGTCAAGATGGTGGGGTCCAACCTGGATCTCCGCAAGGTGTCCTGGAAAAAGCGAGTGGACGTCATCCCCAGTCGGCTCAGCACAGACACAGAGACGAGCTCAGATGAGGTCCCCCACCCCAGCTACGCCCAAACGCCCCTGCCAGGTGAAGACCATTTCATCAGAGCCACAGATAGAAGGACAGGCATGCCAGCTATGATACACGGCCAGTCAGGTGCCCGGCAAGCCAACGGGCGTTATTTTCTCTCTTCCTTTTTGTGATTTGGTATCAACATTTTGTCTAATCATTTCAATTGGGGTTCCGTCCTTGTCCCCTTCACCCATGTATATTCCCGCCACCTGCCCAGACAGGGGCTCTGGCATCAACTGCCCCAACTCCAGCTGAATGGGGGCATGGGGCAGGGCAGGGTTTTCCCAGGTCTCTCTGGCTGTCCTCTTACCATTCCTCTGGGGAGGTAGTGATCTCAAGGCATCTTGTCAGGTGTGTGTGAAGGCTTAAGGCTGGCGCATGCTTCTGTGTCTGCGTCTTTACGCACTGTTGTGTCGACACACTTGTTTCAATTCATGGTTCTAAAAGTCTTGCGTGCGTTGCAGAGCAATTCACCGCCAGAACAACAGGTGGAGTAACGTGTTTTTGTCGAAGACGACCTAGAGAGTCACTTCTTTGTGTGTGGAAGTCGTTGGTTTGTTTATTTATTTATCATAGACTTTATTGCCCCGTGCATCACCACTGCTACTTTTCATCACGGACACATTTGTCCCGTATTTTCCTCCACAACTTTGTGCGCCCCTCAACCGGCAAACCGACATTGGAGATCTCCCTCCAGGAATCAGAGGCCATCCACGCGTCCTTATAGTCCGCCAATGACGGCTTGTATGAGTGGTCATATTTACGCATTTCTTCCGACAAAAGTTCTTGAATCTGATCCGTTCTCTCTTAAACATTCTTCGTTTTAATAATGGCGGTATTGTGCTATGAAACCGTAAATGTGGGACTCCGTAAAGGATGTAGTTAGCAGACCAATCGCAGCCTTGTGCGCTGCGGGAGGCTTGCAAGGCTTTCGACGCAAGCCTAGAAAAATGGGTCGACACACGCAAGGAGGTGTGAAAAGGCACACAAGGGACACGCAGGGGGCTCTTGCGTCTGCGTGTCCTTGCGTCTCTCTGAAAACGCAGAAGCATAAACTAGGCTTTAGTTACTCTACGGCTGTATGGAAATAACGGCTGTTTAGATCAGTGGACGTTGATCTCGCCACCCACAGGCTTACAAGGTCAAAACATCTCCAATTTTACCCCTGGAGGCGAGGCTTAAGGGATGGCAAACTCTTTATGGACCGAAAGTCACGGTCCCAAGTGGATGAATCAGAAGGACTGGTAATTTTTTCTTTTAGTGCCACCATGAAGTTTACTTGTATGAGTAAATGAGTAAATGACTTGTATGTACTATGTATGATAATCTATTAAATGGGTTAGCCGTCCATTCCATACAGATATCCGTTACTAAAAGGGATCTTCTAACTTTTCATCAAGTCAAACACCTACTGATTGGGACACACAAGTTCCCAGACGGATCTTGGTTGATTACACGTGGTACAGCTTCAGTGAGACTGAAGACATTCCCATCAGCTCTCACTTTGTGTTAAATTGGTAACTTTAGCTAACTGAATGGGTATGCTGATAGAAATTAGTTAAGAGTCACTAACGTAGCTGTAGACCCTTATTTGCGAAGTTAAATGACTTTCAACCATCTAATACCAACACGAGCAGTGAGTGTAACGTTTAAATCATGTGGTGAAATAGTGACAAATGTACTAAAAATGAGCTGGACAGTTAAGCTCTTCAAAAGAAACGAAAACTGCAATCGCTTGCTGCAGGTGGCAAAATTAACAAAATTCCACTAGCTGTTAGTTTTCCTCGCCTGTAGACGACACACATCCGCCAGTCTAACATGTTACATGTTACACATCTGCTACATGTCTCAAACTGCTGCTTACTCAAAATATGTTTACGGGTGCTCTACATCAATGGCTCTGTTTTTTTTCCAAACCAGCGTCAGAATGCTTGAATGTTAACAGCTGAGCTGCCTACATTCTGTCTGCTGACTCGTCTGGCTCCCATTGGGCTGTTTTGCAGATTACACAAGTAATGGGAAATGGGACCAGAACTTCCTTTTCCCAGGGGGATCAGCGACACGCAACTTGTCTTCATCGTCCTCTCCGATGTCCACTGTGGGCTCAAACTACAGAGGGGCAGGCGGCTCCTTCACCGAAACAAACACCACATACATGTCAGGTAAGACTGGATGGCAGCGTTTACATCGGATGGAAAGAGTCTACAGAAGATGACCATTTTATTCGTCTTCATCTTCAATCCGTCTCCCTTCCTAGCAGGAGGCTCTCAGAGAACTGACATGATCCGAGGAGGCATGCACTCATCGGAGGTCATCATGAGGAAGCGCTCAGAGAACAGGAGCTACATGGATGAAAACATCCGGGACTCTATTGTGATGGGAGACGTGTCGGGCAATTTCCCAGATCTAAGTAAGTTTCGGACCTCAGGGTGGGTTTGAATTTATTCCAAAGTAAAGGTTCAATGACCCTTTTCTCCCCGGTCAAAGAAATGTTTTTCTCTGGAAAGTACACTGTTTCAGATGCCTCGGCAGGTAAACTGCAAGCGCATGAGGCCGACGGCTTGGACATCTGTTAGCAGGGTTGGGGCTGTTGGCTGCAAAGCAGGGCTTATCCACACTCCACTTTGCAGGAGCTATGCTGACTATCGCTGTTTCTCCCCCCACCCGCCCCCCAACTCCCTCGTGTCTCAACTCCGCTCTGTCTGTGTCACTCTACCACTTTCTTTACTCTCACTCCCGACCTGCCCATCTCTCTCTCTCCTACCGGGTCCCACTTCCTTCACCTCCCGTCCCTCTCTACCAGCCCTTTGTCCTCCTCCTTTGTCCCTCCCCCTGCGAAATGCGCATCAGGTGGGTTCGGCTACGCTGGGACGCAGAGCAGCTTTAGAGCCAGTTCAGCTACAGCCTGTTTGGGGGCCCGAGGGCCAGACCGAGTCTACGGACGTCAATGACGCCCTGTACAATCTGGACAGGGTGCTCTATGGTGAGTCCGTGGCAACACAAGCACGAAGGCGCCGGATGTGTGTCGCCTCATGAAACCCCCCCTCTGTCATCTTCATTCCCGCCTCGCTGTTGCTCTCATACTCTGTGGTCCATCTCCTGATCTCGCCTGCTGTTAATGTGTTGTTGCCAGAGAACTTGCTCATTTTTACAATATTGATTGGTAACCGCTTTTCAGACCAAACTATATGCTTTCAGTGTATATTTTGCTTTTTGTGATGATTGTCACTCTTTCCATTCATTCCTGTTCCCAAAGAAAATGTCCTTTTATTAATCCAAGTGGTGTGTCACTAGATGGTAATTCAATAGATGGTTAAAAACCCTCTGTGACGTCCAACACGCTATGAGGTTGACAATTTCAACCCAAAACAGAAGTCAAAAATGGTTTATCCCATCAGATGCTCGACTGTCTCCGGGTATTCCGGACACCCCCAGCAGACTGGTGTTCTCTGCCCTCGGCCCCACTGCCCTCAAAGTCAGCTGGCAGGAGCCGCGCTGCGACAGAGACCTGCAAGGCTACTGCGTTCTCTACCAGCTGCTCAACGGAGGTAAACGAAGCCACACAGGGATCCTTTGTGTAATAAAGAACTCGCACTTTGCTGCATTAGGATACAACTTTGAACTTTATTTCAAATTTGAGGCTTTTTATCAAAACGTTTTTGGAGTATTCAATGTTGATGCGTTCTCTCCTGTAGGCAAGATGAACACTGTCAATGTGACGAACCCAGCAGAGAACTCCGTTATCATCCAGGACCTGCTGCCCAACCAGTCCTACCTATTTAAGGTGAAGGCTAAGAGCCAGGAGGGCTGGGGTCCAGAGAGGGAGGGGGTCATCACCATCGAGTCCGCTGTCGACCCCAAGAGTCCCCTCAGCCCGATGCCAGGTACAGGTTCTGTGGGTTTTTTGTCTCACTTCTAGCCACTGCGACTGTTTCTATGTCATTCCTATCATGCGCCGTCTCACTTTTTATTCGGCTCTCCTTTCTGTCTTTCACCTGCAGGCTCGCCATTTACTCTCAGCACTCCCAGTGCTCCGGGACCCCTGGTCTTCACTGCGCTGAGCCCCGACTCCCTGCAGCTCAGCTGGGAGAAACCCCGTAAACCCAACGGAGACATCCTGGGATACGTAGTCACCTGCGAACAGCTGCATGGCGGAGGTAAAAAGGAAATAAACCACATGTGTTGTGGACATGTCTACATAGTTGGTTCTTGGGGTGAAAGTATGTCACTTTCCGAACTGTTCTTCCTTTTGTTCCTCCAGGAGACGTACGGTCCTTTGAGGTGAACGGGGACACCGCTGAAACCAGTCTTACCGTCCCAAACCTGACTGAGAACATCCCCTACAAGTTCAAAGTTCAGGCTCGAACCACGCAGGGCTTCGGTCCTGAGAGGGAGGGCATCATCACCATTGAGTCTCAGGATGGAAGTAAGACCAATGCTACCGACATCTTTATTACTGATAAATAATAATACTGCTGATTTACTTTGTGTGGTAATTGCAAACTGACTCCTCATGGTAGAACTCGAGGAAAAAATGTAGGATCCTAGAACAAGACTGTTTATCCCGTAGGAGCATTAATGTATTCTAAAGTTTTTTATTTCTCTCTGCACGTAGGCTCCTTGTCTCAGTACAACAGCCAATCAATGTCGAGCAGGGAAGTTTTCCAAATGCCAACGGAGGTCAGTACGCGGATGAACATCTCCCACACCATGATGGACCCTTACTTCTCAGGTACAGATGAAGCTTCAGTTTCACTCGTGTTCTCCTAAAACATATTAATAAAACATGTTCACACATTAATACCGAATACCTACTTCTCCACCAGATGGGGCGATGATGACCACGCAGCACATGGAGACCAGCGGCATGGTGACTCGCCAAGTCACCAAGGAGGTAGTTCAGCGGAGCGTCATGGGAGGAACCACGGTCACTAAGAAGATGTTTTACGAATCGTAAGGTCTTAATTAACGGCGCGCGCAACTAACCAGCCGAAGGATCCACCAGACTGAGATTCTCTTTTAAAAAGAGTCGGCTTCAGGTTGCACGTGCGTGAACCGGTGTGTGTTTCTACATGTGTGAGGCTAGATGGTGAGGCTAGACGTTCGCTTGTTTGTTACAGACCACGGCCAGCTTCCTCCATAGATGAGGATCATTTTAACATTTATGTTCATTTTCACTGCCGGTTCCTACGCATATCGTTTATTCTTTTCACACTCAACTTGCTTTGCTCAGGTGACACTTTTTCATAAGGACATTTGGTTGGGGGCCCATTAATTAACACGTTTTATTTTTTTTCTGTTTTTCTATTTTGATGCTTTCTTCTAGTGATGGCACTAGTTTTTTGTTACAAGTACAACAAAATACCCCACCGTTAATGGATTTGAATGGTGGTCCGTACCGCGAGGGCAGTAAGTTCTGCTGTAAATTCTGCTGCAGTACTGCTGACTAAGCAGATTACATTTTAGACTCCGCCCCTCTGTCGGTCCAGGTTCTGTGACACGCCACAGCTTTAAATCATGGCCATTAATCTGACTGTGGTTCAGTAATCCAGAGTAACCTCCCCTAGTCCCCTAGTGTCCTTGTCTCCTCTGTCCTACACCCGTCTGCAAGAGATGTTTGTCTGCATGCGAGCGGTTTACACTGTTTCAGGTGAAACCCACCCGGTTTCAGCTTCACCGTCTGCTGGAGATGATGAAATGATTGTCTTGAAATTATGTTTCATAGGGTCCATTGTATTTTCAACGGATAGGTTCTATCCACCAAGAGAAAATGTAAAAGTGGATAGATTTGTATTATATTAAAGTGTGATTTTAAATAATAAATAAGAGTGTTTAAGCCGACTGACGCTAAATGTAATGCCAAATATAGACGTATTTGCTCGAAAACAGGTGGGTGCTTGTCTCGCTCATTAAAAGCACATTGGGTTAATTTTCTTACTGACTGGAACAATTTTACAGTACAAACAATCAGATGTAACATGTTTCTCGTGTCTTTTTGCATTTGGTAAGATATTTTATACTTTATGTGGTATACACTGCTTCAAGTTGGTACATTTCATATGCTTCTTTACTCTGCAAAGGTCATTGCATTTTGCATTTTTGATCTGAACGAGAAAAGGCAGAAAGATTGTTTTTGCCGTGTTTTGTATTTGCCGTATTTTTATTACACGTTTTGTTGAGAATGCTTTTGTGAAACATTGAGAGGATATATTTGCTGGGAAAAAAAACGTGATTAGTAGAACCTTTCTCCAAAAAGTATTTATGTTCTTTTAAACAGCATGACCTCTAAGTATCCTTTTTTGTGTCAGCACTATTGCAGAATAAAGATTGGAAATAAATACATTTGATTTGATGGTTTTATAGATCTGTGACTACTGACAAGTTGCAGCATTTGCAGTTTATTGAAATATTTCTTGGGATGGGAAGAAAGCAAACAGCGATACTTAACTCATCACATGCATCGACCTACTCATCTGCCTGCTGTACGTTAGCAAGCTGTTCTGTTCACATCAGAACCAGTGCCTTCAAGCTATTGTGACTTTGCTAGTCAGCAGCTTTCAGCTCATAATTTTAAAAAAGTAATAAAAAAAGGTATACCTTGCAGATACAGAAATGAAAAACCATGGGCCATTTGGGTTAATGCTCGAAGCTTGTTGAACTGCGTGGAAACGACCAAACCACCTTTTAAACACCCATCCTCACGATACAAATAGTGAAACACAGCATGTCTCCATGAAGCCAGAGTAACAGAACGATGGTGGTCGTGTTTGCGTGAAGCAGCAGCTCAGTTCCAGAGGCAGGGCCCGGGGCAGAGGCACGGCAGTCTCACACCCGCGGGCCTGACCACCAGGTCCCTGACCACCTCCACGGTCCCAAACACGGGGTACAGTTCCTCCGTGAACTTCTCGTTGTAGGTGTACAGGTGGGCTCGCTTATCAGCGTCGTAGAAGGACAGCTGGCCCAGCTCGTAGTCCAGGTGCACGCCTACTTTCCTGGGCGCAAGGCTCCGCGGCAGCGGGGCGGCGGGCACCGTCAGTGCCTTCAGGTCCGTTCCCCTCTCCAGCCGGAGGGTTAGGTAGCCCGCATCTGTGGTGAGCGAGCGGAAGCCCTGCCTCGCCGCCGAGGCCTTGGCCACGCCCAGCCGCCAGTCTCTCTCGCCCACCTCCACCTCCCAGTAGTGGCGCCCGGAGGTGTAGCCCTCTCGGCCGGCGGCGCACCACCAGCCGTCGAAGCGCTGGCGGCACCGCGGGACCTGGCGGCGCTCCAGGCCGCAGCGCATGCGCTTCCCGTCGCCGGAGATGAGCAGGTCCGCGTTGGCCGAGTCAGAGTCCAGCGTGACCTCCTCTGGGGAGGGGAACACGGGGTTTGTGATGAGACATAATAACCAGGATCGCAGAGGCTTTGATTTCAAATGCTTTTTTCTTTCATACCTGCAGCATCGCAAATCCAATTCCACACTGTAAAGAAGAAGAGAAACATAAATCAAGTTCATCATAAAAAACAATCCATCGTGACATATTGCCGTGGGGGGGAATCACATCACTACCGTCCACAGATTGATCACTGATGAGATGACTGGGGTCACTACATTGGTTGGTCTGCGTTCTACTCACCGCTGTGAGGGATGTAGCGGACAGCGTCTGAAAGGAGAAGAACGAGGTTTGCTGTGATTACAGGATGGAAATCAGGAACTCTATTCATTGCTCACATCCTCCCCCCCTGCTTTCACTCACTTTAATCACATATCAATACAAATTAGTTCTAATGAAATTGAGTCATCAAGTTTCACTCCGGCTAAAGAGGTCAACTGCCCTAACGCGCACACACACACACACACTGCTGGTGTAATTGAAAGCAGTTCAGTCGGTTTTTAAGCGTCGCCAGTCCTTGACGGACTTCTTTGTAACTTGGTTTTGTTAAAATGCTTATTTTTAGTTAACGAGACGTGGAGAAGGCACTCACCGATCTTCTGGCTCCTCTGCTTTCTCCCCAGCCACTGCTTGGTCACGTCTTTCTAAAGAACACAACAGAGGCAGAGGAATAAAGCCAACGCACCCAACAGGTGAGTCGTGTGGGGGGGGGGGGGGGGGGCATGTTGTGACGGACGTCCGAGAACCTTGACGGGGCTGTCGGCATTCATCACAGCCAGCATGACAAGCTCCACTGCGGGGAGCAGGTTGAGGAGACGGCCCCTCTTCCACTGGAACTCCAGGTCGTCCAGCATCATGAGCACCGGCTCGCCCGGCCAGACGGTGGGCTGGAGAGAGAGGGACGGAGAGAGAGAGGGGGGGGCTTACCGGGATGTTTACTCTGAGCTCCGTGCACGCTCCTGAGTACGATGGGTGATTGTCAAGGGCGAGGTTTAGCTTAATCATCCTGATCAGAACTGGGTCAGACTATAATTGGCAACCCGCCAGCATACAAAGCGCACATCGGACCCCCTATAGTCACCTGAGGTCTGCTCTTGATCCCCCGCGTCCACTCCATGATGACTCTTTTGTGGGGCCCCATGTCTCCCTCCCCCCTGGCCTCCAGCATGCAGAGGAGATGTCCCTTCCAGTCTTTCCTCTCGGCCTTCTCGTGCTGCTGTTCGGAGGGGATGATCCTCGGCTGGACACAGACATTGAAGCGCGGCCACAGCGTTTAGCGCGTTGACGCAAACTTTCCGGTGCAGAAGTGGCACCGCAAAAACAAGCAGTTGTACTACCTCCCATTAGAAGGGAGAACAACCAAGAAGCTTTTGGATCCACAATTTAATTAATTAATTAATTAAGTTATTAAAAACACCAACTGAAGACGCGCGTACCTGGACTCTCCTCTCCAACACGGCGGCCCACTCCACGATGAAATCACGACACACACCGGCCGGCCAGACGTCCTCACCGGTCCAGATGTGGCTGAGGATGTTGGACCTCTAGGACACATGGACACGCAGCACGTGATATAGACGGGACATCCCGCGGGGCGCGTAGCTCGTCTGCGACAGAAAGACGTGACGGAGGAAAGAGAAGGACGGCCTACCTGGCAAATTTTGTTGAGTTCTCGGGCCAATTCCATGATGAACAACTGACTCTCCACCAGCGGCTCCTTCCTGTCATGTTTCACTCGTCTACGAGACTCCTGGAGCAAAGAAACAGGAAACCTTTGGGAAGAGCATCACGGCCAGCGTACTATGGAGACCAGGGTCGCATAATCCTACCTTCAGGCGGACCTTGAGCTTCTTGGCCGGCTCAATGAGGAACTGCAGGCAGTCCTTAATCATGCTGATAGACGGAGAGAGGGAGGCCGATGCACCGGAATAAAAAGATTTGAAAAAGATTCAGTACTCTGGACCACACTCTGTCGAGTGCTGGAGCTCAAGTGCAGCTGACTGGGCTGGCATCGGCCACACAGAGCGATGAGAGAGCAGAAAGGGGGTAATTTATGAGATGTGGCAAAAGCGTGCGTGTAGAGAGAGAAGCATTGCAGACCTTTCTCACTGCTCTGCACTGACAGCTCATCATTAGGCCCTGTGAGCTCTCGACAGGAAAGGGGGGGGGGGACCCATGCATTGGCAGTAGAGCTAAAAGAGACAGCCCACTCAACACACCCACACACAAGCCGAAAGTGAGAGGCTTATTGCATATCTAAACAAGCAAAAGAAACGCATGGCGCAGCAGCCGCGTGGGTCGATGCGTCTCATCATGGTCTTGAAATTGGAAATTTATTCCCAAGGAGATGCAGGACAGCAGCGCAGAGCACTTTTTAGGGGGGAGGCGTTGGACGGGTTTGCTGTTGATTCAGCAGTCTGCCCCCCCCGCGTACGCCAGTTTGATGGCTCTGAGGGGATTTGCTGTTCTTTTTTTGTGATGTAAGGGCAGCCGCCATTGACTTTCTGACGACCAGAGATAATACATGGGACGGAGATTTTGAGGGCTTCGGGCAAAGGAAACTGAGGGTTCATCTTTCAGTGACCAATAACTGACTGACCTGTGAGGATGTGATATAAATATGAACATTTGTTTTTGACTTAGTCGAAAAAGGCACACTGTGGTTAACCTTTTTTTTTTTTTTTTTTTTTACACAATAGAGAAAGCCAGAAAGACTCACGTGTCAATGTAAGTGGTCCATATAAACTAGGAAAGCCTGTCAGGTGATGAGCCTCTGAGCCGGTTAACTGATTAAACTGATACACCGGAGGCCTATTGCTCACCTTCAAGTGCATTTGGGAGCAAATAAGAGGGAGGATATACCATGGCATGCCTATCAAACGTCTCCATGGTAACACCCTGGTTAGATGGTGGGTTTCTTTTTTGGCACTGAGGGGAGAGCATGTATGTAGCAGAGCTGGAAGATTTAGAGGAAATCCAGGATTACCTCTGCTGCTATTGCTGTACAAACCCAGGTACAGGCGGTCTATATCGGGACTGATGACCAGCATGCGAGGCAGCACCCAAACAAGACTGTAACCCTCCATAACAGGGAGTATATTATATAATATCTGACGTAAAAATAGAAACAATAGTACAATACCAGTCCAGTGTTTGGACATATTTTCTCATTGAATTAAATTAAAAAAATCTTTTTGACTGGCAATGTGGGTCTACATTGTGGGGTCTCTAGTGTTCTGTCGTCAAATTCAATCATTTTCAAATATTAGAATAAAGAAACCTCGTGCCGTCGATTCCTCCTCAAGGCAACAACCACCAACACGAAGACACTTGTTTTTCATTTAATAACGCCCAGAGGCAGCGATAATGTCCGTCGCCTTTTCCCTGGTGTTACATGTTTTGTTGGAGGGGAAAAAAAGGTCAAAGTCTAACCTTGTTACGGGAGAATATTCCTTTCCGCAGACAACTTCGCGAAGCTCCTCTGTGATGTTCTCTAGGCTCGGACTCGCTCGGTTTCTTCCGCCGGTCCTCTGACGTCCTCGCTCGGCTCGGATTCGCTCGGTTTCTTGCGCCGGTCCTCCTGTGAGCTCATATCTGCCACCGAGCTGCCGTTTGACAGGAGAGCCGCAGGAGGGCGCCAAAGCTCTTACTTTACCAGGTGTTCGCAGTCCTGCTTTTGCAGTTTCTTTATGGTTTATATTTTAATAAAATATAAACAGAAGTGTCATTAGCCAGTATTGAAGGTCTGTGTAAAACATAACGTTAAGTGTGTTAGCTGAAGGCAAAGTATTACCTTAAAGCCGATCGTTATTTTTAACTAGTTATGGATTTGTAGTGAAGTTGGATCGTCAAGGTGTGGCTAATAAGCTTCTGTGGCCTCGCTTATCAAAGCCGGCTACTTCACCTGATGGCGCACTCCGACAAAAATAAGTCTAGTCAATACTCCTTTGTTAAATTTTCTAGTCAGCCTGGACAAGCTGCTACAAATTTTTCGCTTTAGTTTTCTTGAAATTTAACTCCAAACACATGTATTCACTGGCATTGATTGTATATGACTAACAGAACATAAGGCAATACAGCCTTAGAGGCTTTGCGTCGAGGTGGGTATGAAAAAAATTCACAAGTTTACCCACCTCAAATTATATAACTACAGCAATGCAATTAGAAGAGGCATTGTATCACTTCCTGTATTCGCGTCAGTCCAGGGGGCAGAAAGTCACTTCATTTAACACTAGGCTCAAGACCCTTTTGGAGAACTAGTCAGCCCCAGGTAAGTTGCTATAAGTATAGACTGCCTAGGGTTCAACGAGACCATTCCACAGAAGTTCATGGCTCATTATTGCAAGGCACCAAGTCTACTTCTTCAATTTCACACAACAAACAATTTGTTAGTTTTATTTAACAGTAATTAAAAGTAGGTACAAGCAGAAAATGTCTAACGGTTAACTACTCGTCGTCGTTCAGAGTAGCGTTGACGCTCCACACTTTGTCGTTGCCAAAGGGGAGTGTCGTTACTCTGCACGTCGCCCCCAGTGCCATTGTTGTTGCCGCCGGGGTAGCTGTTGTCTCCCAGAGTGCCGTTGTTGCCGCCAGAGTAGTCGCCCGCTGTGCCGTTGTTGCCGCCTGCGTCGTCGGCCACTGTGACATTTTGGATTTTGTAGTCATAATCGCTCACTGTGCAGTTGGGGTAGCCGCAGTCTCCCAGAGTGCCGTTGTTGCTGCCTGCGGAGTAGTCGTCCACAGTGCCGTTCTGGCCCGTGCTGCCATCGTCCACGGTGCCGTTCTGGCCCGCGCTGCCATCGTCCACGGTGCCGTTCTGGCCCGCGCTGCCATCGTCCACGGTGCCGTTCTGGCCCGCGCTGCCATCGTCCACGGTGCCGTTCTGGCCCGCGCTGCCATCGTCCACGGTGCCGTTCTGGCCCGCGCTGCCATCGTCCACGGTGCCGTTCTGGCCCGTGCTGCCATCGTCCACGGTGCCGTTCTGGCCCGTGCTGCTGCTGCCCTTGTCGCCCTGCACCTTTTCAACAACTTGCAGGTAGACAGCTGATGTCGCCACTTCCACTTGATTGGTTTCCAGTTGGACTGAAGTGAAGACATTAAAATGAATGAATGAAAAGTACCATGAGCCAGACACAGCCTCTATGAGACGTAAATACCACATAATGTCATCAAGAACTAGAGACGTACACAAACAGCAAGTAGCGTTAAGCAGAAGTTGCTCACCTTCTTTAGACTTCCTCAGCAACACAGACTCAAGTGAATGCTGAAGTGTAAGGGCCTTCTTCATGGAGGAGTCATTAGGAGATAGATCTATAGTAAAGTTACAAAAATGAGTGTCATTAACAAACCTCATGAAATATGTAGTCTCCAATATTCTTACCTCCCATTGTCCTCTGCTGCCCATTACCACTCATTTCATTCTTGCCACCAACCGGCAAACCAGAGCCTGCAGATAAAGAAGTTGCTTTTCATCAGACATTACTTCATCACCCCTACATTTACTATACTCCACCGCAAAGTTCTTGAATTGAAGTCTCCAACGGGACATAGAGAAATACCTTTGGTAAACCAGACAGTCAGCACAGAAACAAGCAAGGCCCAAAACACTCCCATTACTTCGGTCACCAACAGAAAATGCAACCTGAGTCACGTCGCAGGTAAATATACCCATCTGCAGGTGTCACAGGAGTAGCTGATCAGCCCTGATTGGCTGGCTCTTCAGAAAGTCAGTGTTCATTGGAAAACTAGAAATCTGCTGTCCAAGTCATTTTCATTCATGTCCGTATTCAGAATTTCTAACTGAACTCCCAGAATTCTTATCAAGTTTAGTCCTTAAAGCAGAACAAGAAATGATAGACATTTCAAAGACATCTTACAGCCTTTTCACAGAACTGTCTTTTAATCGGACCATTTCCGAATAACGTTTGAACTCTTACTTGCAGAATGCACTCCACTAGACAACCGTTTCAACTGTAGTCAAAACGCTTTTCAAAAGCTACAGTTTAGCATGTCTAAAAAAGTCATATCAAACACATTATGCAATTAAAAATAATCATAATTAGTATGGAGAAAAAGGATTCCGTGTAGCAGGGTGAATAGTTATGAAGAGTGTTCACGTTGGTGAACAATGAACTCTCAATGACTACCAATAGCCACATGGTTCTGTGTTGGACCGCCAATTTTATTGACCTCATATGCTTGCGTTCGGTCTTATCAGAACAACCTCCATCAACTTTCATTGTTTTGCAGATGATACTCCAATGTATCTAGCTAGAGGAAACCAGCTCGTTGTACTTCAAGCAGGTCTTAAGGACATCCGAGCCTGCTACTTCACCTGATGTTAAACTCCAAAAAAGGTTGCTTTATTTGGACCAGTCATCTGTCCAGCGATAGTCTCTCTAGATGGCATTGCTCTGGCATCCAGCTGCACTGTAAAAAAGTTTTCATCAGGATGTGTCCATTAACTTCCTGATGAAGCTTAAAAGTCTTATGGAATCATAAGCGAGGCAGACTTTCTCAAAGTGATGCAGAAAAATCAGTTAAGCCAATTAATACTAGATGAAAATCACCCTGCGCGAATACATCGTTGCAGGAAAATTAAATAAGGAGAAAAAAGGGATCATGTTACTCCTGCAACACCTTTCGTCAAAGTGAGAGAGTCACCTCATTTAAGTCTATGGTCAATACTCCTTTGTTAAATTTTCAATTCAGTCTGGACAAGCTGCTACAAATATTTCGCTTTACAGTTTTCTTGAAGTTTAATAAACAAACTCAAAACACATGTATTCACTGGCATTGATTGTATATGACTAACTGAGAAAATAAGGCAATACAGCCTTAGAGGCTTTGCGTCGAGGTGGGTATGATCACAAAATTCATAGTTTACCCACCTCAAATTATATCACTACAGCAATGCAATTAGAAGAGGCATTGTATTACTTCCTGTATTCGCGTCAGTCCAGGGGGCAGAAAGTCACTTCATTTAACACTAGGCTCAAGACCCTTTTGGAGAACTAGTCAGCCCCAGGTAAGTTGCTATAAGTATAGACTGCCTAGGGTTCAACGAGACCATTCCACAGAAGTTCATGGCTCATTATTGCAAGGCACCAAGTCTACTTCTTCAATTTCACACAACAAACAATTTGTTAGTTTTATTTAACAGTAATTAAAAGTAGGTACAAGCAGAAAATGTCTAACGGTTAACTACTCGTCGTCGTTCAGAGTAGCGTTGACGCTCCACACTTTGTCGTTGCCAAAGGGGAGTGTCGTTACTCTGCACGTCGCCCCCAGTGCCATTGTTGTTGCCGCCGGGGTAGCTGTTGTCTCCCAGAGTGCCGTTGTTGCCGCCAGAGTAGTCGCCCGCTGTGCCGTTGTTGCCGCCTGCGTCGTCGGCCACTGTGACATTTTGGATTTTGTAGTCATAATCGCTCACTGTGCAGTTGGGGTAGCCGCAGTCTCCCAGAGTGCCGTTGTTGCTGCCTGCGGAGTAGTCGTCCACAGTGCCGTTCTGGCCCGCGCTGCCATCGTCCACGGTGCCGTTCTGGCCCGCGCTGCCATCGTCCACGGTGCCGTTCTGGCCCGCGCTGCCATCGTCCACGGTGCCGTTCTGGCCCGCGCTGCCATCGTCCACGGTGCCGTTCTGGCCCGCGCTGCCATCGTCCACGGTGCCGTTCTGGCCCGTGCTGCTGCTGCCCTTGTCGCCCTGCACCTTTTCAACAACTTGCAGGTAGACAGCTGATGTCGCCACTTCCACTTGATTGGTTTCCAGTTGGACTGAAGTGAAGACATTAAAATGAATGAAATCAAAAAGTACCATGAGCCAGACACAGCCTCTATGAGACGTAAATACCACATAATGTCATCAAGAACTAGAGACGTACACAAACAGCAAGTAGCGTTAAGCAGAAGTTGCTCACCTTCTTTAGACTTCCTCAGCAACACAGACTCAAGTGAATGCTGAAGTGTAAGGGCCTTCTTCATGGAGGAGTCATTAGGAGATAGATCTATAGTAAAGTTACAAAAATGAGTGTCATTAACAAACCTCATGAAATATGTAGTCACCAATATTCTTACCTCCCATTGTCCTCTGCTGCCCATTACCACTCATTTCATTCTTGCCACCAACCGGCAAACCAGAGCCTGCAGATAAAGAAGTTGCTTTTCATCAAACATTACTTCATCACCCCTACATTTACTATACTCCACCGCAAAGTTCTTGAATTGAAGTCTCCAACGGGACATAGAGAAATACCTTTGGTAAACCAGACAGTCAGCACAGAAACAAGCAAGGCCCAAAACACTCCCATTACTTCGGTCACCAACAGAAAATGCAACCTGAGTCACGTCGCAGGTAAATATACCCATCTGCAGGTGTCACAGGAGTAGCTGATCAGCCCTGATTGGCTGGCTCTTCAGAAAGTCAGTGTTCATTGGAAAACTAGAAATCTGCTGTCCAAGTCATTTTCATTCATATCCGTATTCATGAATTTCTAACTGAACTCCCAGAATTCTTATCAAGTTTAGTCATTAAAGCAGATCAATAAATTATTGTGAGTGGTTGGAATATGCATGTGGATTATCAAAAATAATAACCATGGCACTGCATTTACCTCACTCTTAGATTTGATAGGCTGCTTTCAAATCCCAGACGCCTACTCATTGTTTTAGTCACACCCTCGACCCTGTTCTGATATATCGTATTAAGATAACTTACAGCCTTTTCACAGAACTGTCTTTTAATCGGACCATTTCCAAATAACTTTTGAACTCTTACCAGCAGAATGCACTCCACTAGGCAACTGTTTCAACTGTAATTGAAAACTGTTTTCAAAAAAGCTACAGTTTAGCGCCTCTCAAAAAGTTATATGGCATGTTCAGCAAGAGCATAAAGAATTATAAAGAAGGTTCTGCTTAACCCTATTAAAAACATGAGTTTGTTTATATATATGGTTATTTAAGCTTCATTGATGCTCGATGTCAACACAATTTCTTAGCTATATTGACCATAAGATCTCAAAAGTTGCCTTTTATTATCATGCAGACAACTATTTTAGTATGCGTATTATATTAGACACATAATTTGAATATTTGTACCTTTTTTATTAACATATTTAATTTAGAATATATATATATAGATATACATATATTTATTTTTAACTTTGTAACTTTGTTGAAGGAGAGCGTAGGAAAATAAGAATTTCCTTCAAACAATTTCATAAAGGAGGCAATGGCACAGTTTAAGACTACATAGGCCAACTTGGCGCAGGGGGCAGCTACGGCAATGTTGCCGACGTAAACCACAGCTTCACTGCCGCACAAAAAGTCTACTAACAAGTGGGGTATGCGTTTTAGGAAGCATTACATGTTCCTCAAAGATGTTTCTGCATGTATCTACTATGATCTGTTTTAATGAAACTTCTTACTTCATTGGTGTCCATTGGTGTTCATTGGTGGCCACCGCCTCCTCCTTGTAGGCGGTGGCATTCTGGGTCCTGAACAGGTTCACCCTGATATTCTGCGTTAGGATTTTTTCCATCTTTTCCAGCCGCAAAATTTACAGTACACATTTTAGTAAACCAACTTAGGTGTTTGTCCATGCATGGTATGTGCACTTACGGAAGTTTGTTTCTGAGGATTTGTGCAGGACTTTTGCACTGCAGTGACCACTGACCTCATTTCAGATGTCCACATTTTTCCAATTAAGTTTTTTTTTCTATATTTTACAGGATGAATGTAAGAGTTATGTAGGCAATCTTTGGGCACCTTCATTGAGATTTTGTTTTTGTTTTCACTATTGAACAGGATGATAGATTTGACTTTTGGAATAACACTAAACTAAATTAAACTCTTAGCCTTTGGATCCTAGCCATGGAGCTCAAGATTAAATAAACCTCCAAATGAATTAGCCCATGAGAACTCATGATGGAATTTTTCAGACACTTATCCAAATAGTATAGAGAATTGCCTGTGAGGGTGACACAGATAAGATTGCTCGGATCGCCCCACCTAGAACATTTTTCACCACCAAGAACAAACCTTTTACATGTCGCTTGTTTACAAAGCCTCGCCATGTGGTTGATCCGGTTGTTCGGTGCCCGGCTCTCCGATGCTCCCGGGCAGCCTGCGGATGAGTGAATGGGCGGGTGTCTCGGTACGTGCGGGACGCGACACGGAAGTGTGATGACGGTTTACCGACGGGAGGCTGCGTGTGTCCGTACGGGTGCTCACAGACGGTCCTCCGAACATGGCACCCAGAGACCCCCTGGTCGGCACCCTCAGAGGTAGGTCTCCATAACAGCACGTACAGTTCGATGGGATAAAATGACTGTTGCACATCCTTATCTTCTGCGTCATCGTGCAGCCATGCTGATGTGTGATACGGCGACGATCACGCGGGTTGCATGACAGATATGCTTATTTTTGGTCGTGCAACAGATCGTCAGTCAAATCGCGTGTTTGTTGGTCCCCCACAGTGTGCGTGCTGAACCTGCAGTCAGATGGAAGGATTGTTTCCGACACCCACCCTCATCTTGCCTCCTGCTGTGAGCTTCTGGAGCTGGTCCTGAGGAAGGGGCTCCAACGTCAGTATCCCCATGATGAATATGCACTTCCTTGATACATATTCCTTGTTAAATTGATAAATGCTGAGAGCAAATTGCAAGGCTGTACAATCCGGCTCACATGTTCTGGCGTTGGCCGTCATAGTTGGCACATAAGCGCAGTTCCACAGAGTCAAATGTTCCTCTCCCCCCAGAACCGGTTCTCAGTCTGGCACACAGAGACTACTGGCATTGCTTTGAACAGCTCACTCGCCAAGACGCCGGTGGCAGGTAACAAAACAAGAGACAACCAACAGACATCACTAATAAAAAAAAGCCATGTTAATCTCCGTTGTCTCTGCTGATGCATGTGTGTGTGTCTGTCTTTCTGCGTGTGTAGGCTGTCTGCCCTGTCCCTGGTGGTGGAGCAGACCAGGGTTTGCAGGAAGCTGCTCTCGGCTCAGGGCCGGGGCCGCTACCTGCTCAGACTGGCCCTCAGACGCAAGGCTCTGCCGCAGTTCATCACACACCTGCTGCACACACCCAGAGTGCTGGAGGTCACACACAGACATTACTTTGTGATGCAGAACGTTGAGACTGGTAGACAGAACCCGATTCGGTTCAAATATCTTTGTTTCTCGCCCCCTCCAGTGGTACAGCGCGGAAACGTCAATCCTCAGGAACAAGGGATTTGTAGGTGAGGCCTTTTCACTCGCCTGCTTCCACTTACCTTTACAGATTGTTGTCTTGTTGGTTGTGGCGCCCAGTGTCTGACAGCAACGTCGCTGCTGTCTCCCTTCCAGAGCCGTTCATGTCGCTGAGATTTAGGGAGCACTCTGCCCGGCGTACTCGGGACATAACGCACTGACCGATCTCTCAACAGGATTGTGTACCGTGTGCAGTTCTTGGGAAAGGCGAACATTGGAATGGTAAATGATTGCTTTACAACCTAGTTGTAGATGGGTTGGTCTTTCTGGTAACTGCTGCGACATCCGGTCTCATCCTCAGTGTGGGGGCAAAGAGGTGCTGCAGCATGCCATTATGAGAGTGCTGCAGAAAAACCTGCCGATCAAGGTAATGGGATCGTGCCAAAGGCCACATGGGTCAAATTAAACCCAGCTGCAAAAATGCACGGCAACACACTGAATTGGTTTAATTCACTTGTCAATTTAAACATGCGCTCAACCGATTTCTCCTGCAGGATGTGCTGTTGGATATGAAGGAAACTCATCTGACGTGCACAGACCAAAATAGTAAATCTGTAAGCATGTGATACCCATCAATTACTTGTTCAGCATTTTCTCAGTGAATGGTCAAATCACATCATGCTTTTTGCATGTTGCGACACAACTATCCAGAGATTTCATGTGTAGGGAGATTGGATCAATCAGACTACACAATATTTGCATTCTGCATGGCGTAAGTACACACGCCAAAGATTTGATGTCCAAGCAGGTCCATGTAGACCGGCTTGGTTGGGATTCTCATCGAAGCACGTGATTTGCTCCCTTCTCAGAGACTCCCTACAAACCGCTCCTGCCACAGGCTTCGGTTGCGTGGCGCTTCGAGCAAGCACCACCAAGGAGTGTGAAGAAATAGTCTCCCGAATTGGTGAGGATGAGCGGTCTTGCGCTATAGTAGTCGTTGCCACCCTCCCCCATGTCTAACATCTAATGTTTCTTACAGCTACTGGCTTCAAGCATACAGAGTGGTTTGTATGACAATGCCGCGAACGCGACCTCTTGATTGTGTGGATGTAAATAAAGGCTGGATATACACAAATTACTGACTTATTACCACAAACATGTCGAGCAACACAAGCATTTCTACTCATAAAGACCTTTAATAGAAAGACACGCGACAACATTTCATAAATAGTATTAAATGTAGCTGCCAGGGTTTAGGTTTAAAAACATGTAAAAAGCAGTCAAGAAAAATAGAGGGGGGGTGCCGTACTGTCGATCAGAGTGTGGCATAAGTATTTACTGTAGCAGCAAACACCTGGACACTGAGACCAACTGAGCAGGACATGCTGGCATTTTGTGACGAGTGGTAGAGTTAAGAGACCCTGGACCCCCCAGAGAAGATATGAAGAATTTATCCCTTCGACAACTTCCATCCCCAGATGGAGCCTAATGTCCACAATGAGTTGATGCAATGGCTGGAGTCGTGACCCCGTGATGGAAAACTAGGAAGATACACTTGCTGCACAACACTTCCAATTATCTTAAGTGTAATCAGTCTCGGAATGATTGATCTCAATCTAAAATACAAAAGAAAAAAAATACCCAAGAAATAAAATGTCCACAAATAGTTAATTACGATAAAAGGGAGCATTGGTGCTTAGGCCCTCTCCCCTCTTATCCTACGCGCCAGCTGGATGTCTTTGGGCATGATGGTGACACGTTTGGCGTGGATGGCGCACAGGTTGGTGTCCTCAAACAGACCGACCAGGTAAGCCTCACTTGCTTCCTGTTGAAAGGAAAAGAAGTTAGGTTCATGGCTACTTTTCTTTTGCCCCAGCCATCACCCGCATGCACTGAGTCAACACGTTTACCTGAAGAGCTCCAATAGCTGCACTCTGGAAGCGCAGATCGGTCTTGAAATCTTGTGCAATCTCCCTCACCAGGCGCTGGAAGGGCAGCTTTCGGATGAGCAGCTCCGTGGACTTCTGGTAACGCCGAATCTCCCTCAGCGCCACAGTTCCAGGCCTGAACAAAACAAGGTTTACAGCAGCATTAACGCAAGTGTACGGCCCTTACAGTATGGAATAGGACATGTCCGAGAAAAGAGCGTATGCAACGCATTGGGGCCGGTGACGTCACTATGGCGTACCTGTAACGATGGGGCTTTTTCACCCCTCCCGTGGACGGCGCGCTCTTCCTGGCTGCCTTTGTGGCGAGCTGCTTCCTTGGCGCCTTGCCTCCGGTGGACTTACGAGCGGTCTGCTTGGTACGCGCCATCTCGAGCTTTCTAAGGGTGGAACACAGCCAGTCGAATTAAACACAGCCGACAAAAAAAAAATCCACGGCAACACACAGAAAGCAGACGAGGTAGAACGGTGTGGTTTCGATGGTGCTAGGAGGCTAACCCCGCCTAGCATACGGGCTTACAGTCCCCCCTCCCCCCTCCAGGTTAAACCACTGGGAGGCGCAGTGTTTGCCCCGGTAACGTTACGCTACACCGCCATAAAACGAGACAGCCAACGAGGCCTTATTAAAAGCACAACAATGTCAGGTTTCAGTTTCAGTTTAAATGGCCGTTTTCGCAAATGGCACCAGGTCTAAAGTAACAAATTAGTTACACCGTCATCACCAATTTAGACGCCGCCAGAATCAAAACACTCGGTTGGTAAAGGGGGCAACGGCTCCGCCAGTGAGCCGCAGCTTCCCGACCTCGCCATTTTAACAGTTTCTCGTTTCACCCTCAGTCGACATTGAATCGATTTGAACAACATTAACTTAACGTTAGCTTACAAAGAGTTAACGTGCCAGGAGCTGTATTTCAACGGTATATACGCATTCAATGTCGACAGTTTGTTATAGCAATTACTTCACATAGTCTAGTTTTCAACGAGCCGACAATCCTATTTAGCGTGGGTTCCAAACTGCAAGGAAATCCATTGTTCCAGCTCAAGCTAATGCTAACGTTAGCAAGTCGCCATGTTAGCTCGTTTGTCAGAAAATGCCTCTACACACACTCAGATACACAAACAGAAATCACATTATCGACAACTAGGACCCTGTACCGTCAGCCAAATAGATGCCAATAATATAATAGTTACCGTTAGGACGTGAGACGAGCGGTTAGTCAGCTGTTTGTTGTCGCGGAAAACGATATGTGACGAGAAGCGGTTGAGGCCGACTATTAATACTTTGTTGTGACGTCATGGATGAAAAACAGGACACCCTCATTGGTCCACATTCCACCAATAAATGCGATAAAGAAAATGACAAATCTGATCTGAAGTTTAGACCAAACTGAAATAATCCTGTTTCCATTAGCATATAAACAATATTATTATTGAGATTATGTGAGTTTTATTCTAAATATTCGAAATGCTAGACACTGTAATTTACACTCCATACCAGTTAATGGCGGCATTGTACCAGTGTCTGTGTTGCCAGGCGCCAATACGCCTAAAAAAGAAGAATAACCCACACAATTGTAGATTGTAATACATCAAGGGTTCGGTTTTCTACAATGTGTATGTTCTACATTGTCGCAAGGAAATGTGCCCAAACCTTAGTCAAGTTATGACTGAACTACAACTCGAGTTACAACTCATATACACCCGTGACTTCATGCCCCACAATCCCGTGCGGCCCCCCTGCTACTACTTCCTCCTGCCTTGCGCAAGCTCACATCGATGTAGAATGCGGATTTGGGAGCTAGCAAGAATAGCTAGCCATTAAGCTAAAAACAAGGTTCTTGTTGTGAGGCTTCAAACGGGTAAAATGTCTAAAACACACCCACTGCCCCCTTCGTCTTCGGCAGTGACGACCACCGGGGGGGCCTCTTCGTCCTCTTCGTCCTCGCCCGCTGGGGGCTCGACTTCCCCCGCAACCGTGTTGAACGTGCAGCCCGAGAAACCTCAACATTACACGTACGTAGCTAGTTAGCTGGGTTAGCTTTGCCAAATGTACACAACCTCACGTGTAGCTTAATCACAACCCACATTGTATACGAGTGAACGGGTGAGTTAGGAACTGTAACGTGGCTGAACCAGCCCCACTTAGCGCCAATGTGCCCAGTGCGTTAACGTAACGTTAAGTAGTTAGCAGCAGGTCTCCATGAAAGAGGCCTCGCGTTGACGTACGCGCTAAGAGTTGCCATGTCTCCCCTAGTTTGTGCCACTGCACCGTTTAAGTTGTGCATTTGTGAATGGGTCTCGCTGTTCACTTCATGCGCGTTTAGTTGCATTTCATGTATTGTATGTAAGTACCACTGTGTTCACAGTAGCAGAGAATAAGATGGAGAAGAATAAAGGTATAAAAGATAGGGTCCACTAGACTAGACTGCGAGCAAAGCCATTCTGAATACTGTAAATAGAAATAGAAAATTATGACTTGATGAAGGAGCCTTTATAGATTTGCATTTAACTGGTGTTGCTTTCTCCCCCAGATATTTAAAGGAGTTCAGAACTGAGCAGTGCCCCCTGTTCGTACAGCATAAATGTACACAACACAGGCCGTTTTCCTGTTTCCACTGGCACTTCCTTAACCAGCGGCGCCGCAGACCCATCCGCAGGCGGGACGGGACCTTCAACTACAGCCCAGATGTGTACTGTACCAAATATGACGAAGGAACGGGCACCTGTCCCGATGGAGACGAGTGAGTGTGACGTACAAGGCGGCTTCGCGTTACGTTTAGAGTTAGAACCCTCATCATACTTTTGTGGGTTTGCAGAAGCTGCTGTAACTCCAAATGGTCCAATCTGGCTTTGGGTTAGGGTAACCTTTTACATTTGAATCTTGAATTGTTCCACTGAAACCACCAGATGGGGGTGAAAATTGCATGTCAATGGAGCTTTGGGCGAAAGACATTAAGGTAACGAGGATACACCCTGTCCTAATTTAAAAGTCGTTGGAGGGCATGTTCACATTGTGCAATAGCATCTGCACAAAGCATTTCTCCCACAATTCTTTGAGACTGAACAGTTCTGATCTATTTCTCACCCTGTTGTTGACGATCACAGACAAGGGGGGCATGAATAAAGGACAGAGGGAACTGGGGTATCTGTGATGTGTGCTAATGAACCACATAGTGGAGCACTGAGTGAACATTTCAAAATATTCCTCTTCCAGCTTTTATCACAAAAGAGGACAAAAAACAACACCTCAGTTTAATTTATAATAAGCGTTACGCTGCTGAAAAGGAGTTATGTTATTCGTGTGTAGTTGTGTCAATAATCATACAATTTCGTATACTATAGATATAGAATATTGACCTGTGCATATGTTTTTTTCTGTGTTCCAGATGCCCATTTCTACATCGGACTGCAGGGGACACAGAGCGACGGTACCACCTCCGCTACTACAAGACAGGATCGTGTATTCATGAAACTGATGGAAAAGGCCACTGTAGCAAAAACGGCTCCCACTGTGCCTTCGCCCACGGATCACATGACCTGCGCACCCCTGTCTATGACATCAGGTACCAAAATAAGATAATATCGCCACATGTTTGTCTATTTGGTGCTGTCGTGTATCACCTACAGTCTATTTACACTGCATATTTCACAGGGAAGTGCAGGTAATGGAGACTCAGGGAGGCTCGGGGCCAACAGAGGGAAGCGCAGGAGACGGCCAGTCGGGACAGGCAGCAAGCACAGCCCTCATAGAGAAGATACTGAGTGAGGAGCCACGCTGGCAAGGTAAGTGTGTGTTACAGAGCTTTAACCGTGTGAGAAGAAAAAAGGCCTTTGTTGAATCAATGTAATACTAGTAAACTATAATTACGAGTTAAGCAATAAAAAACATGCTGATGTTGTTATATATGTGTTTATTTAGTATTGTGAAAGTCAGACAAGGTTGATTCGTCGTTTTTTTCCAGATGACCCTCTGTTCGTCAGTTGAGTTCTTTGTTTTGTCTCCTCTGCTGCATTGAAGGACTCAAAAGTTTTCACTGTGTGCCATTTTCTGCTTCACACTTAAATTGAAGAAAGCCCTATAAAATATATGAAAAAATCCCCGTCGGCCTCTCATCCATCGTCTATGGAGCAGTTGCACGCTTTGTGCTTGGTGTCATCACGAGTATGAGACTTGAAAGAGGAGCTCATGCTCACAGCTATTGAATTAACCTTTCTAAGCCACGGAAATAACACTTTCATGATTCACAACGTATCTCCCTCCTTGCAGAATCGCCAATCCTTTTATTTTGAATTCTCTTGATCGGGTCACTCTTGACACTCCTTCTGTGTTACTTGTGTTTCAACCCCTCAGATAACAACTATGTGCTGTCCCACTACAAGACGGAGCTCTGTAAGAAACCCCCCCGCCTCTGCCGTCAAGGCTATGCCTGTCCGTATTACCATAACAGCAAAGACCGGAGGCGCAGCCCGCACAAGCACAAATACAGGTGCTCCCTCATGTCTTGCAAAAGGCTCTTGCAAATATCTGTTGCGACGGTGTAATTGTGAATGTGTTTAACAAATGGTGCCGTTCGCCCGTGACACCGCAGAGCGTTGCCTTGTCCAGCTGTGAAACAGAGTGAGGAGTGGGGGGACCCCAGTAAATGTGAGGGAGCAGAGGGATGCCAGTATTGCCACACCAGAACGGAACAGCAGTTCCACCCAGAGGTTTGTGTGAAAATGCCCTCAGAAAAGAATTGTACGCATCTCACAGGGGATAATTGTCGATGTTGTGTTGATTTTTCTCTATTTGCCCCAGATCTATAAATCCACAAAGTGTAACGACATGCAGCAGTGCGGCAGCTGTCCCAGGGGGCCGTTCTGTGCCTTTGCTCACGTTGAAAGTAAGTCTTCATAACACTTTTCCAAGCGCCTGTCGAGTCTGATGAATCATCCCGCAATTCACCAATACATTGATATCATTGCTTTTTCAACCTTCCCTCCAGGGCCCTTTGTACCAGAGGAGCCCCCATTCCCCACACCAAGTTCCCCTCCGCCCCCCAGACCTCCGGACCCTCTTCCGGCCCAGGAAGCTCCTCCAAGCCCCAACAAACACAACATGGGCCACGGGCCTGGTTGTGTTTCGGATCCGTTCTCCCAGTGCGTGGCGGAGCGCGGACTGCTGGGTAGTGTTCTGTCTCTGTGTGAGAACATGAGGGAGAGGGCGGAGCCTCCGTCTCCGTGGGCAGGAGAGGGCGGCTACGGCAGGGCGCCGGGGTTTGAGAGGGAGGATCAGGTGAGAAGGACCCATCTCTTGAGCAATGTCAAGGTTTCTAATAAATGGCGGTTCATTTTTTGTTTTACTGCTGGTGGTTTCAGGCAAAGCAAAGAAGTTTTGCTCTCGAGCAACGCAGCAGGGAATTGGCAATAGTACAAAGCAAACAGGTAAAAACAGTTGTTTCTTACTTACTTTTCTTGTTTATAATAATCTTGCTGCAAAGACACAACAATAAACTAAACACTTGCTCCTCCAGAAACCACATTGAACGTTTGTTCCCCCTTCAGGACTTGTTAGTGTTTCTGCCCGTCGGTAGCCCTTTGAGTCTGTCCTCCAGCATCCCTTCCAGCCTGGCAGCCACCCCACCAAGCCCCGCCCCTCTGGGAGCCCCGGGATCCGCCTTGTCCTCTGGGATGAACGCCAACGCCTTGCCCTTCTACCCCACCAGTGAGACAGTGGAGTCAGTCGTTGGTAGGTTTTGTACAGAAATTTCGGACACACATGTCAAACGGTTTTGCCGATACAGATCTGCAAATAACTGCAGGTCTGGTGTGTGTTGTGTGTGTGTGTTGTAGAGTCCGCCCTAGACGATCTGGACCTGAATGACTTTGGTGTGTCGGTGTTGGAGAGGAACTTGGAAAGCAGCTCTGGTCTGCCCAGCGTGGGAGTTATGCTGGGTATTTTTCAGAACACAAATATGAACACATCATTTAGCATTAACTTTACGGAGATGAACATAACTTTTATTTGTCTCCCATTATAGGGGGAAGCCACTTTCAGAGTTCTGCCCCAGTCAATATCCCCGGCTCCTTTAGCAGCTCCGCTCCTTTCAGCTCCCCTTCGCCGTCTCCCCCAATCAGGCCGCACAGTTCACCGTTCTTTTCAACACCCCTCTCACAACCCGGCCAATCGGAAAACACCTTCTTGGGAGCATCTCACAACCATTTAGGTTTGGCGGGAATTTGATCACAGAGACACAGTGGTGTAGGGAGTGATAATCTGGCAGTTCCTCATGCGTATGCTTTTCTCTGCAGGTCTGAATGGTATGAGCACTAATATCTGGGAGCATTTTCCATCAGGCCAGGGGTCCCCTGGCACCCCCCCCACCCTCCTGCCCTCTGGCCCCGGTCCAGAGACCTCCAGGCTCAAGCAGGAGCTGGACGAGGCTCACGGGGCCCTGAAGCAGTGGGGGCACAGCTGGAGACACACGGCTCAGGTAGGTAGGTAGTGGGGCACGTGTGCACGCATGCTTGTGACGGTGCTGTGAGTGGAACTAACGCGGTTTTACACGCGCTCCGATCGGCCCTAGTTCACGAATGAGCGCTCCGTGTCTTGCAGTCGTGGGCCGCACTGAAAGCGGACGCCGAGGAGTCGCGAGCCCACGCGGCCCGGTTGACCATGGAAGCAGAGAGAGCCAAGCAGTCCGAGGAGGAGGCGCAGAGGCAGGCGTCCCTCCTGCAGGAGGCGCTGGAGAGCCTACGGACCGGAGACAATCCCCATCTAGCGCTGCACCAACTCCAGCTGTTGCACCGGCTGCCCTTGGAGTCGGTCCTCAGCTTGCAGGCTCAGCTCTGCAGCTGCTTACACACCGTGGAACAGGTAATACCGGCGACCCGCTCGGTGGACCCAAACATTGTGGGCCGCAATGCACTATGGTCTGATTTCATTTTAAATAACTGATACGAAAGAACTGATAATTCTCGCATGATCACCCTCAACATGTTTTTTGTATTTTTTTTAATTGAGAGCAATAATGTTGTTTTTACACTTATGTGTGGCCCCCTAAATCGTCCAACGTCCTTCCGTTTAAGAAGTCTAAATCCTTTTGCCCTTTTTTTTCTTTTTCAAGGTGGTGTACAGGAAACAGAGACAGTGCTGTGTGACGTGTGGCGAGCAGGGCTCGGTGTCCCTGACCTGTGGCCACGGACTGCAGTGTGAGAGCTGCTCTGCCTCCACCGAGTGCCCGCTCTGCCCCGAACAGACCCAGGAGCAGCAGCTCTCTTGACCCCCCCTGAGCCCTGCTGGGCCACCGCAGATTCCAAACCAGTCGCTCCTGATTCCACAGACACCAGCCTTGGATCTCAACCGCCATCCAAAATCATGTTGAGGTCTTTTTTCATAATGTGCTAGAGACACAGGCGCTGACTTGGTTTTGTATTTTTAAGATGACGTTTACTGATGAATGACCAGCACAGGTTTCTAAGTGAAAGTTGTTTATGTGGAATTTAGAATTAATAATTTTTCTAGTGGCTACCTGCGGACCACCAGAACTTTTTTACTTATGCTCTTGACCAGCAACACTGTTCAGAACCCCTGTACTAGATTTGTGAAAATCACTTTATGACCTGCTGTTATTTCTACTCTAACCCTAACCTATACATCATGGTTGTTATCATATCATATAAGTACAAGCTCACCCTACAGATTAGTTCCTGGAGTGTTATGGAGCTTCTGGGCCTCTTCTTTGGGATCTGTGGAGGTTTTTATTGATATTTGCTCTCGCCTTGTGACAACTCTTGGATTTGATAGAAAATAAGTGTTGAGTCTCTTTCCAGAAATCATGACCTTGACTCGTGATAATTCAGTCCTTAATAATCACTGTCCTCGTAAACCACAATAATCATAATCTAGAGTCGGGGTCAATCCACATTACAAGCAATTTTCTAAGTAAGTAAGCGTACTAGCTGTGTATCACATGTAGAATAAAGCAAAACAGTGGTCGTCTTTACTGACTTTTAATACTCAGTGGCCAGGTCACATTCAGTGTTTGCATTCTATTTAGGGTCAACATGAGAACTGTTTTATGATTTCTGAAAAGAGGCATGTTAAGTTGTTGTACAGCAAAGCTGTCCAAACCTTTTAGGTGGACGCACGATACAGCGGGTTAGCAGTTAGCAGGGTTATGAGCGGTCTTAACAGAATCAAGAGGTCCGACTGAAAACAATTAAAGTGCATGTTCAGCATCCTCCAGTGAAAGGAGTGCAGCTTATTATTATTATTTCTTTTTTAATTAAAAACAATTTCCATAGTTTCTTTTCTACCAAAATATATATAAAAGGGTCAATTACTGTTGAATAACAGAATTTATTTAAAAATGTATTAATATTTGTTTCAATTTACAACAGATGGCCTCTTTTAAAACTCTCAGGTTATCTCTAATATTCCTCTGCATAGGCTGGAAGAGGAACGCATGTGAACACAATCAAAGCAAATGTATTCAGTCGTCTTGTGTAGTCTTTGAAATTTCTTTTCTAATTTTACTTAAAAGCTTTTCATGTCAACTCAGACGTACCAACTTTTATTAAAACGCGGCCCATTTTCTGTTTCGAATCAATGTCTCACCGGTTTCTTTGCCAACATAGTTTTTTACATTTGTAGTATTTTTTGACATTTTTTGTGTGTCAAATGTAGTCTGATATATATATTATACATGCGTGTGTGTATATATACACACACACACACATAGTTAAGTGATACCATACGTTTTTCTTGCACTGATTAAGACCTAGCATCAGGAAGCAGCCAGATGTGTGAGGTGCATGACGTTTAAATGCAGGTGTGAAAGAGTTGATGATCCCCCTCCCTAAACCCATGCTCACTAACGCAGTTCATCCGACGCCAATGGATATCTTTGTTTTTGGTACAGCTCATTAAAAATAAATTGTATATTTTTGGAAGGAAGAAGTTGTTGTGTGGTGTTTGTTAGGGTTGAATCCCCTCCTGGGACTGTTTCTCTCTCTGCCTCCGCTTCTTCACGTAGGCTTGAGCCTCTTGCTCTCCTCTCCTGGACTCAAGAAGTGCCAGAATGCTGTCGTCTGAGAAACGAGAAAGTTTCAGGATTAGATTATGACTTTGTCTTTTTTTCATATCGTTGTACCACAGCAATTCTCTAACATCTGGGACCTAAAAGGGTCCAAAGTGTGCTGAAATAAGGTCCCAGCATGTCGTTATTTTCCCTGTGCTCCTTTAGTTAACAGGTCGATAAAGTGAAAGACTGTTACGTTGGTCTAAACCCACAGACGGATCATACCATTATGTTTGGGATGAATTAGAGGCAATCGGATCTGAGCAGGCGTGACTTCAGGCTGTAGGCTGAGTTCATCTCCTTTCATATCCCTAGCGACTCCCGGTAGGCCCTTGAGGGCCAGGAAGGCCTCGCCTTCAAAGTCATCCGTCATCAAGGTGTCGTGGTCCAGAACCGTCAGCACCAGGCATGCCCCCGGAGCCCGGCACTGATCCAGGGATACCAGACTGTGATGTAGAGGATTCAGAGATCAGGGGATGGTGACAAGGCGGCGTCTGAGACATCCGCGTGGTTGTACAGCATCGGCAAGATCAACAACTTACAATTCAAAGGCCTCCTCAAAAAGCGGATTGAGATCACGGCTCTTGGTGCGAGTGCAGCGAGTCTCCACTTCTTGGAAAACGTGGTTGGGCTCCAGGCACAGCTGCACAAACGGATCGCTGAGACCTGGCAGAAGCACGGGAAGCATTAGGCCACCGGGAGAGGTTTCCCGTAACGGTTCTATGGTGGCTGCGCAGCCATACCGTTAGAGTCCATTGGCAAGAGGTTGACCGCATTCAACACCTCAACTCTGAGCCTTTGGTCTGATCTGCTGTAGGAAGCCAGGAGGGTGACGGCACCGTATTTCTCCGAGGTGTTCACGTTCTGTCGGGAGAAACGGAGAGCATGGGTTAACAAGCAGCGGGAGCTTTTACAGCAGCTGGAGAAGCGTTTCCTGCCCCGTCTCTCACCTGCTCCTGTATTTTCCTCTCAAGGAACTTCTCAATAAGCTGACAGCTGCTCAGAGAGTTGTGAGTCAGATGAGCTTTGAGAGCCTGGACGCGGGAAGAAAGAAGGAATGTGAAGAAAAGACGATTATCACTTCACGTCGGCTGAATAAAAGCCTAGTCTTGAGTTTCTCACCATATACTCATCAGAGTGGAGCGTTTTCTCCGGGAGCCCATTTCCCTCAGCGAGGAAGCACTGCTCCAGGCACTGGAATTCACACAACATAACAATGTGTTGGCTTCAAAGAATGCAACGTAAAATGTGGATTTGTGAGCTTTGGAGCTGCTCGCAGGTGGATTTAGAGCGGGACCAGACTAGCCCCGTCCCTCTGCTTACAGTCCTTATGTTAAGATAAGCTAAAAGTGGCTAAAGCGTAGCTGGCGGGAATAATAATGACGGTTCCCTCGTTTTTTGGTTTAATAAATCCGGTTGCTAAATGAGAAGGCTGAACGCCGCCATCGCCACAATCAGAATCAAATACGTTTTATTGGGTATGCTGACGCATACATGGAATTTGACTAAACCAGGTTTCTTTTTGCAAATAAAGAAAAATATGAAAAAAATATGAAAAAATAAAAGTAATTATCTGTAAGTTAAACATATTTATACTTTATATTAGACCACCATTACATAGTGGTTGTGTTAATTCATCGCGCTTTATAGCACTGACGTTTACTTACTGCCTACTGCATTGAACCTTATTTCTTAAAATATTGAGGTGATACGTTCAGTGGAATTCTTTCTGAGCTGAAGCTAATTTACTACAAAAGTTTTCCTCTGACAGACCTGCAGCGTATACAGCAGTCTCTGGCAGAACACCATGAGCCCCCCTTGCTGTGGATGCTGGGTGGCCACCTGGTAGAGGATCTTCACCGAGTTATTCCACAGAGGAGTCAGGAGACTGGACTCGACGGGTAGAAAAAACAAAACAAAACGCGAGGCGATTTCATCAAGTGGTGCAAAGCGGTTAAACTGGATTAAATCGACGCGGTTCACACGTAGCCTGTGTACCTGTTGAAGTTCTCTTGAACCAGATTTTCGTTCATGTACTGCAGCTCCTGCTCCAGGTAGCGCATCAAGGGGGCTGCGGCCTAAAAGAGAAGAGGCTGGATATCAGGCATCCACAGAAGGCAGCTGTGTTTATCTTACAGCAGCGGTGATGGTCGCCTACGTCCTCTGTGGACTTGGAGGGAAGCCTCTTCCTGGTTGACATGTTCCGGACTTGAGTCTCGATGTCTGTGTTCAACTGGAAAGGCCAACAAGAGGCAGAGGTCACGTCAAGGAGGTTTCCCCTCAACTCCATGGTCAATTCTGTCGGTTTACCGACGAATCAAATGTCCCGTGTTAAATCTCGCACCTTTTTCCCAAGGGTGTCCAGAGCAGAGCGGATCTCTCGGCCGAGGACGCTCTGGGCTTGCTGCAGCTGTGAGGGCAGGGTGTTGTGGAACTGGCTTTCTCCGATCACGTTTTGGGTCCGGTCTCGAAGTCCTGCCCAGTTCAGCTGTGTGGGCAGTCGGTTCAGCACTGACCGCAAGTGCTCCAAGTCATTCACCACCACGCACAACTAGAGAGAAGAGGACAATTTGAGACACGTACACCGCACACCATGCTTCTTTTCTTCTTTTTTTTTACCCTAGCCCGCTCCTTACCATGTTGATGGCACTGCCGGGGTCGGAGTTCTCCGACAGCACCCTGACCCTCTCCTTCAGTGTGTGACAGTAGTTCACCACAATCTTGCACACATCCTGAAAAAAAACACAAAGACAGCAAAGGTTCCCACGCTCACATCCTCTGAACTGACCGTCATGCGATTACCGCCGTGTCAACGTCTGCATAGCGCACCTCGGTGAGCTTGACCATGAGCATGAAGGCCTCCTCGGGGTCGGGCCAGGACAGCTGCTCCCACAGATGGCAGATAGGTTGGATGCAGGCCACCAGGTCCACCGCTGAGGTGCTGTGTTTTATGGGCACCGCACCAGACTGCAGGGGCTGGAGCTGAGAGGAGAGGTTAGAGCACATTATGCTGAAATCACCTGTGAAATAAACTATGTTCACCATAAAAGGAGAGCATCAAAGTCCTGAGTGTTACCTGGTCTACCTGCACAGCCCTCTCCACCCTCTCCTGAGTTCGACTGAACGCCTGGTTCAGCCAGTAGGGCAGAGCGTCCCTGAAGTCCTCTTGAAAGTTGGTCAACTCAAGTGATCCCCTGAAACCACAAGTAGATACTCCTGACATTTAGATGATGCACGATCAGAGAAGTCAAGCTACTAGATATAAACATATGCATCTTGATTGTACCGCGAGGTTTTTACTATCATCCAATAATATAACGTTGAAAGAAAGAGGTTTAGGGTTAGCTTCTAATTTAAAGTGATCACGCAAATCCAAATATGGTCCAAACAGAACATGGAAGGAAGGATTCTGTTGTGAGCGTGACAGCTGACCTTGTCTTTAAGAAAGCCTTGTCTTTGTGGATGGCCTGCAGGCTCAGGTACACAGGGAAAAGGGTGTTGGCCAGAGCCTGCTCCATCTGACCCTGCAGCAGGGACAACGTTTTCCTCACTTCTTTTGCGATCTACGGGGCAGAGAAGATGAGGCGAGAAGATATGAAACCAGACTAAATTGTTTAAAGGACGTTTTTGGAGGTTGAGGACACGTACCAGGGAGTCAAACCTTTTGTAGACAACAGTGAACACGTCCACTTGCACGGCACTGTAGTGATGAGAGAAAAGCATATCAGTAAGTGTACATCTTGTTTTACTAGATTTATTTTGGAAGTTTTGATCTCTTCTTTTTCTTTTTAACACCAATAAAATAAACTAGTAGATTACATGCATGTTTTTTACTTTGTTAATAATGCCGCCCATATTGACAACTTGACATGTCGTAGCAGGTAAAGAAAAGGTTTGATGGTGGCTTTGTTCTAGTGAAGTGCTCTAGTGAGCCAGCCAGTTTCCACCGAACCCGAATGTAACGCTGCCAAGGCCACTGAAAAATATCTGTCTGTTAATGACAGACCAATTGTCCTATCTCACCTGAGAAAAACCCGATTCCAAACGTCCTTGTTGTGCTTTATGTCTTCCTGCACCTCCCCAATCAACCTGGAGAGGGCGTTCACGATCTCTGCCAGGTCCTGTATGTCGACATAGTGCAAAAACAATGTGACTTCAGTACCATATCCAAGGCCTTTATGATGTGTTTGTCCTCACCTTAGTCATCGGCTGATGCAGACCCTTTTTGAGAGTGAACCACTCCTGTGTACCTGTCTGAAATAGAAGTCCCATCATCATCGAAAAGGACAGCTCTCATGAACAGCTTCATCCCTGCGGCTGTCATCCTACTGAACACTGCCTCCCCTGAACTCTGAACTCTGCCCCCCACCCCCCCCACACACATCTCCCTCAGTGACTGTACTTCCCCCCTCCACCCTGGCTTGACTGCCACACACCTTCCTCCAGCCACGGAACATTTGCACTGTTATTACATATCCATTTCTTACTGTTCATAATGCAAAACTATTTCTTACTGTACATATCTATTTATTCACTTATTACACTTTACATATGCACATACTCTGCACTTTTTGCTATTTTGCACTTCTAGTTGGATGTTAAACTGCATTTCGTTGCCTCAGTACTTGTACCCTGTGCAGTGACAATGAAGTTGAATCTAATCTAATCTAATCATGGGTAATTAAGGACTAAATTACCCATCATGGGTAATTAAGGACTTCTGATACAACAAGTGGTGGTAATAATCTCATTAGTTTTTTATTACTCACCTGTATGGCATCGCTGACCTCGTCGTGTAACTCAAACTGAGCCGGGTTCAGTTTCTGAAACGCCTGAGTCTTACAGATCTGGACCAAGATTCTGAGACGAAAGCACATTCCTGTATTGCCTGATCTGAGTTTGAAATCACAACCATCATTTGGGCTAACCTTAAAACATACCTGAGCAGTGTGTGTAGTTTCGGAGTAGCGCTGGGAGTCGGGGGGAAGATGTCTCTGTATTTGGCCACCAGACACAGTCCGTACTGCAGGAAACCATGAAGAGAGTCCCCAAGTTCCTGTTTCTGTTAACAGGGTGAAACACCTTTATCGGACCCTCATGTGTGCTTAGATAGAAACTCCTGGGTTCTTTTCATTTCATTTCATTTCATGTTTTAAGAAAAGGAACCAGGAGAGTCTGGGGCAAAAGGAGTTGTCAAACAGCTGTAAAACAAATAAGAAAGTAAAAGTCTTGCTTTCAAATGTTTCCTTTTTTGGAGTATAGAGACCTTTGCCATTAGTCATTATTGGTGAAACAGAAACTGTTTCTGATGGTCAAGGCCTAATTTGAACTAATCTGAGTTGTGTAATATGCAACAAGGACACCACGTCAAACATGACACACATGTGAGATAACAGTAGAGTTTAAAAAGAGTAAAATATTTTCCCCTGAATGGTGGGGTAGTACAGCTATAAAGTAAAAAATGTGCGCTCAGTACTCAGTAGAACGGGATCATACTAGTAAAGTGGACGTGCTTTGTTAGTGGACGCTCGTACTTGTTGGTGCGGCAGCTCCTGCTGTCGCCAGTGGTACTCTACGCTGGTCAGCTGCTGGAAGAGCACAGAAGAATCCACCTCTAAACTCTGGTACAGCTTGCTGTAAGCCACCCACTTCCTGTTGGAGGTGCACAAATCCACAAACTCACTGAGAAGTGGAAACTGAAACAACGGCATGCACACTTTGTGGTGGTAAATAAGGGTTGGGGGATGTGTTTGAAACAGCTACCATGATAAAAATCCATTGATGTGAATGAATATATATATATATATATATATATATATATATATATATATATATATATATTGGCAAGTGGATATTAACTGACACCGTTTTCCAAATTTGAATGCAAATAATGATAAATATCTTTATATTTGATGTGCGAGGAGGCAGAACTCCTCGCTTCAAGTTGAAGTTTGTAATCTTAGTAAAAGTTACTGTTTGTCAAATTTGCTCGAACTGTGTCTCTATGTCTTGCCAGCAGAACATGATCATCTGTGAAAAGATCATGTTTCTCTGTTTTCTTTTAGTGCTGCTGAAGTCTCCACGCCCAAAGTAAATCAACCAATCAGAGCTGTTCATCACAGTTCATCTCATCTATTGTTAGTTAATGACCATCTGAGCAAATATGACAAAAAGTTTCTTTTATAAAAGTTACCCACTGAAGCTTTGAATCATTGTCATTAGAGTCTATACTTTGTCTGGTATTATTTATATAGACAGCGGGGCTTTGCTAAAATATGTCACATCACGTCATACAATACCACTGAAAGATGATAAATAATATAATAATAACAATTCTTCGCCATGTGACCTAAACATGAAACCGGTCCGTGAGGCAGAAAAAGGTTGGGGACCTGTGTACTATAAAACCCGCTTACGCCAGGTCCTGGAGGAAAGGTGAGAGGTCATTCTGCGAGGCGTAGAACTCCAGCAGAGTCTGAGCCTCGCCACACAGCGCCCCTTTCCACGGGGCGGAACTCTGAGAGGGGCCGGACGAGAGGGGCGATCCAAAGGAAAGAACAAAAAGTGAGCCACTCTGATGTTTGTTGTTTTTTTAAAGAAAGAGTGTGCGTGTCCTTTACCTTTTGCTTGGAAATGTAAGCCTCAACAAACTGCTGCAGAATCCCGCAGTAGTTGATGTAAGCACTACGACCGGCACTCAGCGTCCCGTCTCTCTGTCAGACACAAAACACAAATCCAGTCTCATAAATATACCCAGCTGGATCCGTCATCTGTTAGGGAACGCTGGGGGCTTTACTAGAGGCCGTAAATTCCAGTTCCTCCTCTGGTTGCACACATTTCACCAACAGAGACCAGCACTCTTTTATTCTTTTGTTTGTTCTGTTTGTTTCGTGCCTTAATGCCATAGATCCAAACATAAAACAGCGTTTCAAATGCACTCTTTTTTTACCGCTTTATGGATGAACTTGAGGTTCAGGTGGCACTTGCCGCGATTAGGATACGTCTCTGTTCTGGGCTCCAGATTGTACCAGTTGTCTTCAGTACAGTGGAGATCCTACAGTGAAACGGTGCATGTGAGCATTAGAACTAGAAGTAACGAGAAAAGTTTAAAAAAAAACAGATGAACAAATAACGTCTAGTACCTGTAGTTTCAGGACCACCTTGCCCAAAAAGTCATCCTGGCCTTTCTCCTTTTTGGCATCCTTGATCATCCTAAAACAGGTACAAGTGCACACGTTTACCTTCTCTGCTGGGTCTTCTGTTTGTGTCTGGGTCACCAAGATAGTGTAGTCAGTACCTTTTCAAACTGCTGAAGTTGGTTTTGATGTCCTCTAGTTTCTGGGTGAGGGAAAGCTCTTCGTCCTTATCCCTGAAGAGGAAGGATCACTGTTAGGGTCATGGGTTATCCGTTCATGTAAAGGTGAATGCAATAAACAGGACGATTTAAAAGCTAAGGATGTTTTCATCACCACATCTCAAGATGGAAACTGGCACCGGCGATGTCTCTGAACTCTCTAAACCGAAAAGAAAAACCCAATGAGAGAAAAAATCACTTCCACCTGTTTCACCTGACATGCAGCAAACACACACGCGGACTCACAGTATGAAGGTTTGGTTCCAAATAGGGTTTAGAGTCTGCTTCTTTATCTCTGACTCGTAGATTTTGTCATTGGATACAACGTCCTTCACAATAGATTTAGAGGGTTTGGCTTTGGAGCGCCGTGTTCGGCTCTCCTCCTCATCCTCCATGATGGTCAGCAGGCAGTATGGGTCACTGAAACCTGCTCAACACCCCAAAAATGTGAGGTAACTTGTAGCATGACAGATTTTTATAATTCAGAGTTACACAGTCTACTCTGCATGAACTACAGACAGTGAAAGTTAATGGCAATCCATCTGCGAGTTCTCACGGTCTTGCAAAAAAATTTGAATGTGGGTGGAGCTAGATGACAATTGTGGGTCACCACAATGTCTGCAGTGGATTTTGTCCAAATACATTGAGTAGATGTCGACATAATGGTGGCTGAGTGAAAACTGAGTGAAACCATTCAGTGTGTCGTCATGGGGATTCATCCTCACCACTGATGTCTTTTCCCAGGATTTCCTTGGCTTCCTTTACAGTGGCCATGAGGCAGTATACTGGAGGCTGTGCGGGTCACATAGTTATTCAAACACGCAGGTTAACTTAAGATGATTGCTATGAATGCTCTCGATAGATATCCGGAATGTTTGAATGCGCAGGATTAGGCAACAGGCGTAGCGGATCTTTTTTCTCACCTCTGTGCCGTGCACCCTCTCCATCAGGCTTCTGTGCTCTGCCTCCGTCATGGTGAAGGCCTCCTGGATGTACTGGTGGAGCTGGCTCTCCGTGAAGACCTCAGCGGAGGACGGTTTGCCCATTCTATGAGTGATGGTGTACAGCAGCTCTTTATACAGAGGCTTCAGCTTTGAACAGAAATGAACAGAGTGTGAGCTCGGTTTGGGGGAACATTTTTTTTTTCTTTTATGCAAAGCAGAGCACATGAATGGTGATACCTCCAGCTCCTTGTGTTTCCTTGCCCTCTCTTCTGGGTTGTGATCGTCCTTGATAGAAGAACAGAAGATTTTCTACTCTATTTTCTCTAACGCAGAAGGTAACTTCAAGGCATTCGGAGGTTTTAATGGACCCCACATTTGCATTTGCAGGACAAGGAGCGTCGCTTACCCTCCTGTCTCTCGTCTTCCTCGTCAACCCTAGTTTACGTACATTGGCAGGTGAGAACTGCCAAGAGAAAAACAGAAAGAGAAAAAAAGTCAGCGGGTACAAAACTCTTCCTTGATGTGCCGTACCATTCCCTTCACCTGTTCTTGTCCATTTGGTACAGATCAAGACTATGGACTATGGTCATTTGAATGTGTTCTCACTTTCCATAAACATCCAGTGGTTCATTTATTTAGTTTTCATTCAGAATTCATGGTCTGTATTTTTGAGTTGGGTAATCTATCACTTCCATAAATCACTTCAATTGTAGTTGGGAGATGTATTCATAATCAGTATTTATTCAAATCAAAACCCAGGAGGACAAGACATCTTCCGTGCTCCGAAAATGTTAGATTATACATTTCACATTAAGTAATTCGGTAGTGCAATTTGGTTGAGCGTTCCTGCAACATTGATAAATCTGTTAAACACACAGACACACAAGCAAGGCGGCAGCCACCAGCTTTACCTGTTTGGGTTTTGAGGAGCCGAGTTCCTGGAAGACAGATGATACAGGTGCTTATGTTTAAAATATACAGAGTCAAATAATGATGTCATAGCGCCCGGTTGAGTGAAACAGGCATTTAAAAATGACTTAAATTCATCATCAGCTCTTTATAAGGCAAGAAACCCTGAGATACTTCAACTTGCAAGAAAACCCAAACCCCACTAGGTTTAAGAAATGCTGGTGTTTTTGATTACCAATAAGGCCTTCCTCTGCAAGGGACTTCCTCTCTCGCTGACAGTGAGAGCAACAACCCACCTAATATCCAACTGGGGGATTTCGCCTTAAAGGAAATGACAGTCGGCCAAACTACAAATAATAATACAAATATGCCTGTGCCTATTCACTTACCACACAGAAATCTTCATAATCTTTGCATACAGCAGCAGAGCTACATCTTCCGTGAGCTAATACTTTGTTTTGCACCATGGGATTCAAACATGCATCTGAGGTAGTTATGATTCATAGTCACAGCATCTTGAAACAGCCGTTTGGAAAACTTGACTCAGCGTGTAGGATTACTCGGTTGCAGATCATTTTAGGGGATTTCACAAAGAACAAAAGAAAATTATCAGCTAAAGGATTAATAAATAAAATAGATAAAGCAACACAAAACCCCATGAGAACAGAAGAAGTTAATAAACTGATACGTTTGACAGCATCATCAGTTGGCCCATCGACACAGCGCCACATAAACGAGGTGGTTGGCAGCTGGCATTCAGAGAGCCAAAATGAAACAAAAATGTACTCTAGTTTAGACTCATCGCAAAGTTTGAGTGCATTGTAGTGCGTACCTGTTCAGGTGTTTGCAGTAGATTGTCTCTTGTGATGGTTTGCTCGCTTTGACTTGACATGGTGATGCTAATATATGAGAACCAGACGCCTGCTGCTGCGCTTTGTGTGTGTGTGATATGGGGAAGCTGTGTTTCGATGAAGTATCATGCAGCAGCAGGAAGCCATTACTTCCTGCATACGGTGGTAACGTCAATAACTGACTTGTAGCGTTTTGTTAAAAAAAACTCCCAAAACATTATGCCTGGATGCGAAAGATTCCGGATAATCTTTTCTCTGACTCTAGAGCCACCACATTTGTGATATTCATTTCAATACATGTATGATTCATTTTAGTTTTGTTTTTTACTTACTTTAGTTTTATTGATGTAAATAAGACAAATACTGCAAATATAGTGAGAATTGTGAAAAATGACAATGGAGAAGACAAAATGTATTTTGGATCTTGGCACCAACTAGCAATTGTCATCATTAATTAATTTGTGGATTTTTTTGGTCAGAAACATTGTTGGAAAAAGATTTTCTTTTTTAAATAGCCACAATTTTCTAAAGCCTTTGTTCAGTTTATCGAATGGCTTCTTTTGTCTGACCATCAGTCCAAAACCCACTGAGAGAGAATAAAAAAAAAAGACATTTGCATTTGAGAAGCATAAATGGGTGAAGTCAACAGAAGATAAGAGTTGCGACATTTGACCCTGTGTTTGAAAAAAACATTTTTTTAATCATTTGACATACAAAAAAGACAGTTCCATCCAGTCCCACTTTGTGGTTGGTACCTTGTGTGTATGTGTGTGTAGGGGGGGGGGTGGGTGTGGGTGTTTGTGTGTCACAGAGACAAAGAAAGGACAGACTATTGTTTGCCAACCCACATGAAGTTGCATTTTTTTTCACAACCTTGCGGGCCCTTTAGCAACCTAACTGCTCTTCTATCCTTGACTGATTTGCAGAAGAGTTGTTTCTAAAAGCCTCATGTCGTTTTCTGGATGTAATTAAACAATGGCTTTAGACCAATATTGTTATTAAAAATAACCTATGGCGTCTCACAAAATAATCGTCTTGTAATGTGGACTAAAAATGATAATTGTTATTTTCATTATTATTATTTTATTCAACCTTTAGTTATTTATCCAGGACAATCACGTCCTAAATTAGAGCAAAAAAAGTATAAGTAGCAATCTTGTAAAATGTTCAAAATGTACCTCCAAAATGAAGTGCACCTTTAAAGATTACTGTAGAATACTGTTATATTCCCCATTTAGAAACGTCTCTGTGTACTCGCCCTACACATTATTTTTCACCATTCATTGCATTATTTTAATTCTGACGAAATATTTCTCATACAAAAACGTAGTGGGTAATATTATTTAGAAAACAACTGTAACTGTAAAGAAATGGACGTAAACGCATTTCATTTACAAAAGGACGCGTGACGTCACGCGGTGAGCGTGTCACGCGAATGGCGGAAGGACAGGTGCAACATCACAACCAAGCAGAATTATCGAAACAACCGTTATCAACGCAGGGGGAAAAAAGCTACCGAGGCGGCAGACAGGCCTGTAGACACGTCGTCTGGTAGAGGAACACAACCGTTCACCTTTCTGCCGTCGGGAGAGTCTGGAGGCTGGTCGACATGACTCTGAACCAGAACAACTCGGAGTCCGGCGGAGTCATCATCAACAACAGCGAAAGGTGACGTGTGCAACGCTTTAGCGTCAGCTAACGTTAGCCGTTACCGTTAACCGGACTCACGCGTCACGCTCTCACCGGGGAGAACGTCACACCGTGCTCGTTTAGTTATAACGAAGGCACCAAAAAAAATAAAACAGGTGTCTGTGCGAACTGATTCTTGACGTCACTTTGACTTCACCGAGGAGGCAACTTTTAGCATCGGTTAGCTTCATTTTCACACGAGCCGGTGTAATTCTGCGATAAAGCAAGTGGTTTCTGACAGTCGAGCGGTTATTCTAACGTTACCGTCGCTTTAACGAGGTGCTACGTAAGCCGAATTGAACTGTGGCTCGCGCTTATTCCAAAACGAAACCAGATATAACGTCACGCATACGTGTTACTTTCGTTGTTGTAAAGCCATTTTTGTTAACAAGACTATTCGGGTTGTACCTCACAGAACCGGGTGTCAGACCCGAAGCCCAAACACGGCCTACAAGCGGTTATCACCCCCGCAGTCCGCCGTAGAAGGCTTCACGCGACTGCAGACGTACTTACGTATTCACAACTTGTAAAACTACTTGTTTTAAACGTTATATTTAGCCCACCTGGCTGAGGCTACAATATTATTAAAACCTTTTTGTTAGTTGAGTTGATTTTCGGTGCTTGTGATGCTGCATCATCCTGCTCCACCATGAATCGTGTGTTTTTGTTTTGCGCCGTCCAGACCAAGTCACAGCGAATCACACGAATACACACAAGAGACAGATTCTGCTTGAACACACTGGAGCGCAGTAATAACCCCATTACAGCTGACCCAGAACCAGTAGTTAGCCTGTTACTAGATGACACTTCGGCTAATCCCTTTATTGTGGTTCTGTTAACTGAAAACATCCTGATCGGAGTTACCCAACAGTTACACAACAGCCGAGTGATCTTATTTTAAAAAAAAGTTGTTAACAGATTATAGTTGTGGGGTTTGAGTCTTACTGTTTGTCAAATAAAGTCCTGTACAGATAATGTAGAAGTGCACCAAATTGTTCTGTCACGTACTGATTGTGTCCATTTCTGTCACCAGTGTGTTGATGAACTACGATAACGTGGAGCTTGTCTTCTGTGATGCGGACAGTCTGCCAGAAGCCTTCAGAAAGAGCAAGAAAGGCAGCATCTACCTAACTCCATACAGGGTTTGTTAGCCACAGCCTTGTTTACATAAATGTGTCACCATCGATGGCAAGTAACACAACAATCTGTAGAACTCTTGATGAACTACTGAGCAGTATTTGGTTTTGTTTTCCCCTTGTCCTTTAAGGGAAAATGCTTTGTGAGTTCATGTGAGTGCTGAGATGATGTTGGTTGCTGTTGTTGTCTCTCAGGTGATCTTTCTGGCTAAAGGGCGGGATGCACTGCAGTCCTTTATGATGCCCTTCTACCTTATAAAGGGCTGTGAGATAAAACAACCTGTATTGGGAGCCAATTACATCAAGGGCACTGTCAACTCTGAGCCTGGAGGTAGGTATATATATATATATATACATGTGCATGAGGTGCATGTGTTTCATTTGGGTTGCATGTGATTGGAGAGTATTCTGTGTCTGCCAGTTTGTTGGGCAGACCATAACTCCAGGGATTTTTATTGTGTTGTCACATACAGGTGGCTGGGAGGGCACTGCTACGTTCAAGCTCATCTTTGCTGCTGGAGGAGCTATAGAGTTTGGCCAGCACATGCTGCAGGTTGCAGCGCAGGGTATGGTTACAATGCCACATTACTAGTATGATAAAATCCTGGTTATGGAGGTTTTGGCTGATAGGCCACCGTTGTTTCTTCATGTCTCGCAGCGTCAAGAGGTCAGCCAGTGACTTCTGGGTTTGGTGGATGCCCTTACATGGCTAACGGGGCTTATGCTTACCCTCCTCCCCCTGCTAATGGGATGTACCCCGCTGGACCTCCCCCCGGCTACTCCTACCCCAACCCTCCTCCACCAGGTAGGGGCTATAATAATCACCTCCTTCAACTCTTGTGCGAGTGTTTGCCGTCTCGCTCGTCTAATCTGCAGCTCTGTCCAACATCTACCCAGGTGTATTCTACCCCAACCCTCCAGCGTTTGATGCGTCTGCGGCCTACATACCCCCGCCTCCTTATTCTGCTCCTCTAGGCCAGCAGCCCCCACATGACCCGGACCTTCCCTCCTCAGCAGCAGGTGAGGCTCTCTGGCAGAGTCTTAAGTGGCGACCGCTCCAATTCCTTCCTGGTGCTAATTCAGCCAATGATAAATTAGAAAGAAAGAAAGAAAGAAAGAAAGAAAGAAAGAAAGAAAGAAAGAAAGAAAGAAAGAAAGAAAGAAAGAAAGAAAGGGAGGACTCTGGGTTGCTGTATGGTGCTTACATTGGGAATCGATTGCAGCTGACTTGTCATTTTGTGTGACAAGGTTTGTGTTGCTGATGTTAAGCAAATCAGTAGAACACAGTTAGTTGCATTGAAAGTATATAATCACTTGATATATGTCAGTATCAAGTGAGCGGGAATCTTTATTCTTAATCTTGAAAACATTCAAACAAAACATAAAAAACTGTCCGCCACATCACTTGTGGTCTCCATCAGTCATTCTCATGGAATTAACAAATGAACGGTGTGAATAACTGTAGACAATGCTATAAAATATTGTGGCCCTGAGTATTGGCTTGGATTGCACATTTTAAAGAACTGCAAAAGAAAACATTTTCACCTCACATTGTAACAGGTTAAGTAGCTCCAGACACAGAATAAGGTATTTTTATATTTTAAATTTCCTTCTCCCACGGACATGCCACCCTCTGTACCTCAGACTTGATACGCATCAGCAATTTAATGTCAGTTCCGTATTAATCTTGAACCCATCTTCTCTCTCATTATCCGTCTCTGTCCCAGCGGAGGCCAAAGCTGCTGAAGCCGCCGCAAGCGCTGGCGGTGCCACACCAGCTCCTACACATGTGTACCTGCCACAGGTAGGCGCCCCTGCATCACTCTGCTACATATCTGCTGTTGCATTGATCAATCTACCAGTTTGTATTAATTATTGATTACAAGTATAAGCAATGGAACGTCACTCACCTTTTGTACAGTAGTTGCTGAAGGCCCACTTGTGCTCTTTTTATATATATTTTTCAGTGCTTTGCTAAATATTACAGGTATCTGAGACAATCCAGAGTTTGTATGTGTCCTCTTTTTAAAAGCTTGATTTTTAGGGGATTCATTTTCATGTCATTTGGAAACATTTCACTAAATTAGAGCTAAAACGGTTGGTCACTTAATGTTAGTATTTGGATAAACAATGACAAATAATCCCAAACTAATAGAATGTAGGTGTAGTGTTCTTATCAGCATTCCTAGGTGTCCCAGTTTACTTTGCAGCAGTTAGCTGTATGTTTGTTGTAGGCTGTAGCAATATGACTAATGTGCAGCAAAAAATGATTTCCCCAATCCAATTTGTTACGGTGTGACGCAATACAACAGATCACCAAATTACTTGGCTTTCAAGACGCAATCCCTGTTTACTGGAGGGCTCTCGCTCTCTCTCTCTCTCTCTCTCTCTCTCTCTCTCTCTCTCTCTCTCTCACACTCACACACACTATTTTAAGGCACAGTTGAATGAAAATAGCGTCGCTCAGAATTGTATCTGTGCAACAGTGTTGTCTCAAACGATGAATTTCCTCCCTCTGTAGGACAAGCCTCCCCCTTACTCTCCTCCTGAAGACAAGAAGAACCAGTAGACCTGCCGGATCTCCATCTCTTGTTCTCTCTACCCTCGGCCAACGTAGACACCCCCCCCCCCCTCCCCCTCTCATCTCTCCGGTCACCTTCCGACTCATTCCTTGTGGTTTCACCTTCTCATCTTCTACCTTTCACATTGCTTTTAATTATTCATAAATTGTGATAGGTTTCATTCCCTTCAGAAGCACGGAATGGGAGGAGTTGGTAGCAATCTTTGAGGGAACGCCACAGTTGTCTGGATTTAGAGGCTATGTGGTTGACAACATTTGTTTTTAGCATTTGTTTTTAGCATTCAATTTGCCTTGCAGCTCTCCTGGGAATCATACCGCCACCCTAAACTTCAGATTCATATTTTTCTCTATTAAAACTAGGAGGCACCTAACCACGTTTACTTTGCTAGTGGCAAGCTGAATGCAGTGTTTTCTTTTTCTATTATTTGTTTGTACAGGCTTTTAATATGTAGACCTTTTGAACATGGGAACATTTTCTCGAGAAGACTAACCTAGAGGGTTAAACAAAACTTTTGTAAAGGGAGCGGATTGCCCTGGCATGTTTTAGTGGACGAGAGGAGCAAAGATTAGAGCAGCGGCGAGCCGACGCGTTGAATTCCTGATCCTGGATTAGAGCAGAGAGCGAGGGCAACGAGGCGGGGAGGGATTATGAGCAGAGCAGTTACCCAATGATGTCACTTCCTGTTTCTCTTATGGCTCTAAACAAATCGAGGAAAACAAATGGTTCGACTCACTGTCATTCTGCTTCACCTTTCATTCTTCTGTCATTTTAGACGTTGTGGAAACAAATAAAAGGCGTTTCTACTTTTCTGTGGTCGTGATCTTTACTCCGCAGTTGGAATCTAATGTGAGCGCCCTCAGTATCTGAGTATCTACTCTTCCTTCCTCTCTAGTCACATATCTATATACTGTATCTGTGGCACATCCGCGGCTGATTCTTTGCACTCTCAGAATGCTACGTGTCGGGCTCCTGTTCGCTCTGTCATGGCTGTGTGTATTATAATAACAATAAAGCTCTATTTATTTCAAACTAATTTATCGAATAATTCATGTAAAATGGCTCAAGTACAAAAAAGAAAGCACGATCTCAACTAGTGCATGTGTGCATTGGATTTTATTAAACGGATGTTGATTCATGTGAAAAACAAGTTTCTTTTGCCTTTATTTCTACACTGAGCATCGCCAAATCACAAATTGATGGGTGTCCCACTTAAAACAGAGCATTAGTGTACCGAACACAAACCTATTCCAGTGTCTGCACAAGGGCTGATGTTTCATGTCATTGGGCTGAAAACGTGCTTTTCCCATCTCTGACAACTTGTGCAAATCCACGGCAGCTTCCCACATTCTGCCGCATGATGTCGTGAACCTCGACGCCTCAAGCTCACAGCCATCCGTTCTTAAGTGCTCAGGATGTTTTTTTCTTTTTAAAAGACCATTAAAAACCAAATGTACAGCACAGCAAATTCCATCACAACACTGTCAAAGTTTAAAAAACTGTACAGGCCGGGTGAACTCCCAAAGTCCCTTGTTTCAGTTTCGTAGTGTCAGTGATGTGCAGCCTACCATTTGGTTTCACCAAATTCAGTGCTTGTGGTACAACAGAAAGGCGTTGTACTTTTAATGGGACAGTACCTAGTAAAATTCTATCCACTGTAGCCTGGTGTGGGTTATTGTCCCACATGCACAACATTATAAACTGGCTCACAGCTTTTCTTTTGGTGAATTCTGCTAAACAAACCCAAAACTTGTTAGGAGATTTTGAAAAAGGAGAGAAAGGGTTCTGAGAACAAAAAGAAAACCAGCATGGTTTTCTTTTTGTTCTTCATAACATTATTTAATAATTCAAGTATAACCAGCGATTCCAGAGAGCAAGGGCCACTTAAGTTGAGCCTGAGCAATTCCTCAACAATTGCCGTACTACAGCAATGTAAAAAAGAAAAGTGTGGCTGTCTTATACTGCTACGACTTCTCGTGTGTGTGCCTGTACGACTCGAGTCGGTTTTATCTGTTCCCACCGCTGCATGAGAAGAGCGGACCGGATGAAAGAGCGGCTGGAGGCTCTTACCTGGAGGAAATGTGCTTGTTCACTTCCTGATGGAGATTAAGAGTAAGTATTCTACAGCAATCAGATGCTAACTAAACTTAGTTTAACCAGCACCTCTAGAGCTCACTGATTCTAATCCATAGGGAAAAGGTGACTTTATGACTATTTATTCTACTTTCTGCCATCTCAACTGGTTGCCAGGCAACATTGTATAATAGGCGCTGTTATGCGTATCCAATACCTTTGGTCAGAGCCAGCGTAGCTGTTTCCAGCCTTCATGCTAAGCTAGGCTAGCCAGCTACTGCATGTAGCTTCTTTAAAACCAAGTATTGATTTTCTCATCTTACCCTCAGCAAGAAAGTGAATAAGCAGATCTCCCAAAAAGAAAGAAAGTCAGAGGCAATACTACACGTTACTTAGTAATCACACTATTTTGTTTGCCTTTAAAATCAAACGGCAGTAATACATGATCCCGCCTTGCGTTGCAACAAAGAAACTTTTGAAGGAATGAAGGAAGTGTTGTCGTCGTCCAAATAGAAACCGAGGGCTCCTTAGCACCCGGCACTAACTCCCCTAGCTGTTTTTGTTGTGTGGTAAGTGCTCCTGTAATAAGTCAAAGCCTCTGCTTAAAACATTCAAGGAAGGCAGTCATTGTAAAGAAAAAGAACACAATTAAAAACCTAAATGTCTTAAAGGGGGGACTCAGCCAGTGCCATCGGCTCACGGGGAGCAGAGGGTGACGCTGACTCCCTCACCTATCCAGCAGGCGGGGAACAGCTCCCGGCTGAAGGCACAGTGGAAGGCGTGCAGCCTGGTCTGTCCGTCTCCGTAGTACGTGAGTGTCCCCGCCTCGTAGTCCAGCAGCATGCCGATGCGGCTGTGCCGCGACGCGCCGGCCACAATCTCCCGCCGGCCGTCGTGCCAGGCGCTGAGCTGGTGCTCGTCGAGCTGCAGGCTCCAAGACAGCTCGTTCATACCCACCATGGACCTCTTGGCCTTCTCCTTCCTGGGGATGGTCTCATAGGTGACCTGATGAGAAGCACGAAGGAAGATGAGAGTGAGTCGTGTGCCGCGGCGGTGGAAGCAGACCCCGGAGGAAAAGCCGAGGCTGATCACCAAAGTAATTTCTCCGGGGGCCATAAATGTTGATGAAAATGTCTCGGCAATCCACCCAATCGCTGTGAATTCTTCTGAGTTTTAGTAAACTGCCGCTGAAGATATTTGAAGTGCTATCCTGTTATTGCAGCAACGCCAATGTCAATGACAAAAAAGCATTGAGAGTCTTCAAAACGACTACCCAGCAGACGAGGTTCCCTTGTCAAATACTTTTAAAAGGCTCAGCTATAATATCTTCCCCCTAGAAGTCTGTCAGACTTTCCCACGTTTATTCCCGACCATCAGCAAATCAAATGAAAACTATGGAGTAGATTGACACGTGGCCCTACAGGTCACCGTCTCTTTAAGATCGCATCGTGGTTCCTGTCGGATTTCTATCCAAAACGGCACAAAGACAACAGGCAGGGTTGTTTACCCCGAGGTAGGCCCAGGGCTTGGACACCTCCAGCTCCCAGTAGTGCTGCCCATGTGTGAAGCCCTGAAAGCAGAGCACCTGCCACGTGTGGTCGAAGCGCGCTTCGTGGGGCGGGACGGTGCGCGGCCCGGAGGTCAGGTGCTCCGCCTTGCGGTACTCCTGAGACAGAAACAGGTGCCCGTTGGCCGTGCGGGGGTCGAAGGTCAGAGAGCAGCGGTCTGTTGTGCCAAACAAAGGAATCAGACGGATTGCAGGCAGATATCCACAGTGTTAGCATGCTATGCTACGGTCACAGGAATAACTAAGGCAATGTGTGACTTTGCTGCCCCCCGTCTTTGACTTTCCACATTCAATGTCATCCAAACACTGAGGCTTATTACCTCTACAAATTACAATCAGCAGGATTGGGTTGATAGTCGGAGCAAACGACTTACAAGCAGTAAGGCCCTCCTTCCCCCCCGGGTGGCACGGAGCGGCCGGACTGGGAACGACAGCTAGGATCGGCCTTTTGTCCTGAGGTGAACCTGGAGACCGACAACAAGCTCGAGAGGCACGCAGCAAACAACGCGGAACAAACCGCTGGCATTCCGAGCGAAGGCACGTTACCTTCTTCGTCCGCACTCACAGCGGCGTTCACAGCTTTCTCCAGGTCCTCAAACACCAGCTTGGAGACTCGGGTCAGGACATCGGTGACGCCGTTCAATCGATCTTGAAGGTTTGAAGTCACTACTGTGGGGATGTCTTTGAAACGTGGGACTTCCAGGACCATTGATTCCTGAGAGGAGACATGGCGTTTGAAAGAAACCCTCCATGACTTTGGCGGTTGGTGATTTTACCTCCCAGCGTTAGTTGAGCGGAGGCACTGTTTCTGGTTGTTTTGGTGTTACATAACGGTCCCTGCATTTGAGTTAAATGATGGTGAAAGGGTACAAACCTTGATGAGATCTGTATCGGAGAGGTTACGTACAGCTGCGATCTGCGACTGGCTCTCTCCGAGTTTCTGGCAGCGCTCCTCGAGCTCCGCTTGCCGCGCCGCTGCCTCGTTCATGGCGACTTTTTTCTGCTCCTGAATAAAGAGCTCTGTAGCCTCCTGCTTCTCAACTAGTATCTTGATCAGGGCGGAGAACTTGACACTGACCCAGCTTGAGGTCTGCTGAAGAGTCACCTATTGATGGAAAGTGTACAATCATACCTTAAAAGATGTGGCATCATTAGGTTAAAATTCTTCTTTTCCAGGTGTTTTATGGATCTACATTATCTTCATCGTACTTTCACCGGGGGAAAGGTTTGTGGTTTACCTCAGCTTGATTGATATTCTCAGCCAAGTCTGCGATACTTTTCAGCGTCTCTTCAGTGAGTTTTCCCACCTCGTTACTCTTCCTTTCCAGCAGCAGCTGTAAAGAGCACACGTCAAAGTGAGAACGCACACGCTTTGCACAGTCACAATTACACCCCTCCTTTTGACGCTCGCCATCGGGGGAATCGCGAGCCGCGCCGCAACACCAGCTTGTCGTGTTACTTTACCTCTTGATTTTCCCTTTCCGCCTCCAGCAACACCTTGTCGTGGTTTGCACACTCCGAGATGCCGCACTCGCAGCACACAGACATTTTGTCCTGCCTGCAGTAGTAAACCAGCGGCTTTTTATGGCGATCGCACAGCAGCATGGGTCTCGTCGCTTCGCCCCCCCTGGCGAGTGACTCTCTACAGCAGGGGCCGGTGCTGTTTGCGGCCTCGGTCAGGACCGACATGGACACGTTCCTCTTGAGAACGGGCCTGGTGGCGAACTCCTCGTTGCACATCGGGCACCCAGGGCCGATGCCAGACTTGCTCTTGGTGTCCCAGTGAGTGGCGATGCACTTTTGACAGAAGGTGTGACCGCAGGGGATGGTGACGGGGATCCGGAAGCGGTCCAGGCATATGGCGCAGATCAGGCTTGAATTCTGAGACTCCATCTGTGACGGATGAGTGGACCTCTGTGAGGAGACAGGAAAGAAGACAGTGATGTGATGAAACTCAAACATAGAAGTGTCTCATCGTGCACCTTGATATTAATGGAACATAACTGTTTATTACGTTCCTGTTAAGAGGTTAGTGTCACATTGCTATTAGAAGAAAGCTTCCCAAAGGGGTTAAATAATAATAAAACGCTCATAAAAAACACCGCAATTTTGGTTAGTGCCAGTTATCAGACTGTGGAGCAGCAAAGCCACGGCGAGACTTTCGTCCTCACGGTAACGTGGACTACACACATTAAGCCAAGTGGAAGGAACAGCTAGCGCTTGCTAACATCACCCTGGATTCAGGTCACTTAGCAGCCGTAGAATAGAGACAAATAACAACATTCAAGCCATCACAACAGTCCGCGCTCACATTTAAGCTCAAACCGATATATACACACGTATGTATATATCATCGAAGAACACAATATCATTCCTTACCCCTTCAACAGATAAATACATTCGTGTACGGCATTTGTGTGAATGCTGAATGTCGTCAGACGAAGCCTTCCCAATGACGACACACGTAAAAATGATGCATTCATGGGCTGTTGGAAAAATTGTTAATCGCATTGAAACTAGACAGTAACTACAATGTAACACGTTTATACATGTACGATTAATACTAATTTAGGGGCTTTACAGTGTCGTTTTTTTTACAACGAGATGCAATGTCTGCTGCTGTCAATACAAAAGAATCCTTTTTGGTAAAAAAAAAAGAAGTAATTGTTGATTACTCACAAACTACGACAGAAAAAAGCTCGTTTCTCCCCTCTCGGCCACCATATCTTCTAGAAAAAAAGGAAATAATCATTCCAAAGTGGCGTTGGGTTGGTTCTGCATCAGTGCCCTGCGAACTGGGACAGATTTTGGGGTCAATAAGGCCAGGACATTTGTTCCAACAGGTATCGTGACGGGAGCCCGCTTAATGCCTCACATTTAGCATTCTTTACAGCATGTAACGTTACACCCGTTACCGCGCTCTCTCATTTATTAAAGACTTTCTCTGAGCTGCCCTAAATCGGTTGCGGAAGCTAGCCTTTCTAAATTTTCGGCGTGACGCTGCTTAGCGGGATATCTTAGTGTGAAGGACATAGTTGGTGTCCCGGACATGTTGACAGCGGGAAAAACAATGTTTACAATGACGATGTATGAATGACCGGATCAGGTCGATACCAGCGCACTGCTAATTCACCGGCGTTAGCGTCCGTTTAACCGACTCTGTTTAACACTATTCAACGTTGTATAATTAAAACAGTATTTGACTCAAAAGTTAAGGCGCTGACGCTTACTTTAAGATCACCTGAAAACGAAACGCAATCATTTCTATCAATAGATTTCAGGACAACGTTCGCTAACTAACCGCCTTTCGGGGGGGAATGTGTCCACACAACAGCGGTCCTCTGCAGGCGGCCCACACCTCGGGGTCCACTGCCCAATGACGAGTTTGACGCTCAAAACCTGGAGTCGGTGGAGCGGTACCGCAGCTACACTCGTTACCTGAAACAAGCCGAGGAGACCACCAACCAACCTGCCTGGTGGAAGACCTACAGGAGCTACGTGGAAAGAAATGACCCCGAGCACGGTGAGACGCCGAGGAGGCCGCGACTGTTGACGCCAACACGACTAACGTTACGTCCAGCGTTGCATTTCATCCCAGAAGAAGCTTGTGAAATCAACAATGTCCTCTGGTTCTGCGTTGGATACAGGAGCAGAAAAAGTGGACATTGGACTTCCGTACTTTCGACCCAGCAGGACCAAAGAGGCAAAGGAGAGGAAGCAGGTGATGAAGGAGAACAAGAAGAACGTTGAGCTGGAGAGGGCTTGTCGTCTGCGCACTTGTAAGTTTTACCATAATGGGAATACCAATGCGTTTTTAAATGGTTTAAATGGATATTTGTGATAACAATCTTTCCCCTATGCCCCACCAGTTAAGATCCCCCTGGATCGAGTGCATGAGACCTGGGAGAAGAGCAGCGGTCCGTTTCATGTAAAGAGGCTGGCCGACCACTACGGCGTCTTCAGGGATCTCTTCCCCATGGCGTATTTCCTTCCTCAAGTCCCACTCCGGATCCTCTATGGCCAGGACAACAGTGGTCAAGTGCATTGTGGGAATCGGCTGACACCAACAGAAGT